GGATGATCATTAGTCAAATCTGTAATTGGTTTGTATTAGTTATGACATTTGATCATGCTGATCTTGAAGAGTATTCAGAATACTTTTTAATCTAGTTTCAACTTGGACTTTCCTTAAGTGGGATAAACCATTCTGAACTAGATATAGCTGTGGATACTATTTTAAAATGGACTGTACTATTGGAATAAACCATTCTGAACTAGTACTATTTTAAATTGGACTAAACTATATCAGGAATAATCCATTTCTAAACAAATCTACCTACTTTAAAATAGATTAGACCGTCAATAAGGATATGTTATGCTCTTGAAATAGATTGATACACTAGGTTAAAAAATTGCATTCATTTTTCTATATACCTAGTGGTAGCATGCTTGGCACTTGCATTGTGTGGGCCCAAACTAGTGTTGTGTGACGGGATGGCTTCCCTTAGAACATGTAGTAGATACTTAGCCAGCCGTAAGCAGTTGAGCTAGGGAAATACTTCTTTAGCTCAGTCAATTAGAGCACTGCCTTGTAACACAGTGGTCCTGGGGTTTTATAATGAAAATCATGCTCTCCCGTTACAGTTGACTTATAAAATTGAGAATGGAAATGGGGAATGTGTCAAAGAGACAGCAACCTGACCAAAGGACAGAAAACTTAAGTCTACCCTCAGACAAGAAAGTTGATTTGCTGCTTTTGTGTCTTGAGCATTATAATCACATCTACTTCAAACTTATTTGCTGCTTTTGTGATGAGCATACCACAATAAGTAAGAGCAAAGACTGGTCAACTCTATGGTATAATTACATGTCTTCGTTGGTAGACAAGTATTAACAGCACACTTTTTTTTATCTTATGGGCTAAACTCCTCGGTGGTTTTGTGTTGGTTTCTTACCTTGACTTGATTTTGATCTATGATTGAGTCGAACAAAACTTAAAAAGGTATTAGCTGCTTCTGTGCAAAGCACACATTTGGCTTTATAATGTACTCAGAGTTCGTGGCATTAACGCTTTCCACAATTGCTTATGACAAACCTATTAAAAGAACCAAGACGACCAAAACAATGTTAAAAGCCCTTCACAAACAACTTTATATGCATACAAAGATATTTTAAAAAGACATTTACATGTATTTTAAACTTCAGACTGAATTAAATTAAACCCAAAGTTCAAATGAAGCTTGTCACTATATTCATAGTTCAGTTAAATTCCGGACTATTTAAAACTACTCTCATCGTGAACATGAATCAAGAACAGTATTCACTAATGAATACAATTTAGGTTTCATGGATCAGTCTGTAATTTCATCTTGCATATGATCACAAAAAATTTACTAATCAGTGATTTGATGCTTAGTATAAATCAAAAAGTGATAAATTCTTGAACAAATGTATCTATGTTACTGAGTGAAGAATGATTTTTACTCAGATCTCACTGATTTAGTATATGTAAGAGAATGATAATCCCTTTCTTCATGATTAAGTACGAGCGTTAGCGAGTACTTATCATGAAGTAAGGGATTATCATTCTCTTACAAACTTAGAATATTGTAAAGTGCTCAAGGCTCAAATGATCTCTTGATTGGTTTTACTCAGAATTAGTTTCATTGTCAGTGCAATGTTTATAATTTATGCATGACTTCCTTTTTAGGCATTTCATTTATGGATTAGTTTTAGTGATGTCAGGACTTTCTTATAATTTGGGAGTATTAAATAAAAATGCATTTTAGACATTAGGTGACACAACAATACAAAGAAAAAGGTAGGAATTGTATATGTTTCCTGATTGTGAGTATGAATGTAAATCATGTAATATTTTAGTGAGGAATTATCCTTTTTTTATTTACAGTTTAAATCAACAAATACATTTGATATACAACTAATTTTATTTCACAGCCAATATTTTGGTCCAAATACTATTTCATTATGTCAGGGGAATGTTCAAATAAAATGATTTTAAAAGATTTAAATATATTCAAAAATTAAATTCCTGTTTTATTTTATTTTATCGGAACATTGGAAATAACTCTTTTTTCCCAACTGCTGGTCCAGTAATCAGAGTTTTGGAAAGCTAAAGATTTTGGTTGTTTTTGATTTTAAAACTTTTTTTTTGTATTGCTTTGATATTGTTTAATTTTTTAGTAATTTGAAGTTATTAATATTTTCATAATTAATTAAAGCTACCAATTTTACTGCACCAGTAAACTTCAACTTATTTTGATTTTTTTGTTTGTTTCACAATTCAACAATCACTGTGTGATAAATCCTTTCAATCTGATAAATGTGCTTCCGGGCAGTTGTTACTAATTTATAGAAACTCTTTGTTTTGAACTGTAAATAGACCCAAACAATAGGATAATCCTTTACTAAGAACATGATTTACATTCATTCTTCACAATTAAGAGACATCAAATCCTACAATTTCATTGGTCGAGAGCACTTTGCTATATTCTAATTTATGAAAGTAACATAGTCATCTTGAGAACAGTATTCACAATCCTTTTTTACCCAATATTAACATGGACTTGGTTATTATGGGATAACACATTCTGAATTGGGTTGGACATAGATACTATTGAAATGGTCTAGGGGGATATATCATTTTTAAATGGACTGGACTATATCAGGAATAATCCATTTCAAGACAAATTTACCTATGTTTAAATGGGCTAGACTGTCATTTAGAACATGTTATTCTCTTCCCTGTTAATTTTTTTGTATTTGGGGGGAAAAAATAATATCACTTCTGTTTAAGTATGAAGAAAATGGACATGGGAAGAGGAAACCAAATTGAGAATTTTACAGCCACTAGAAAAATTGATTTGACCTTGGAAATGTATGACTTTATGATTTTTTTTAAGGACAAAGATGTGAACAATTATGGGTCATTGTATGACCTTCAAAAATTAGGGTTCAGATTCTCACAAAACATGTTTAACCCCACATTTTTGCAACTGTTCCAAGTTAGGAACCTCTAGCCTTTATCAGTCTTGTGTTTTTTTTAAATTATGGTTCATTTGCATGTTTGTATGTTTCAGAGTTTAGTGTGGAGTCCATTTTGCTAAACTGGTATACTTTATTGTTTAGGGGCCAGCTGAAGCCCACTTCTGAGTGAAGACCCATTGATGGCATTGGACTGTTTTCTGCTCTTTGGTCAGTTTTTGTCTCTCTGACACATTCCCTGTTGCCATTCTCTATTCTATTCCATACAGTAGCATAAACTACAAAAGGTTCAAGCCTGAAAAAGTTGTAAAGAAATTTGAAAGAAACAAGAATTCTGAGAGTATTGCATGGCAATACATAGTCCCCTACCGATTAAAAATTAATTGTACTGGAACAAAATGCTAACTTGATCTATAACTTGTCATGGTGTAAACTATATAACAAATATCAAGACAATATCTTTAAGCATGACAAAAAAAAGTGTGAAAAACTGATTATTTAAGTGAATTTTCTAAGTCCAAGGACCATAACTCTGCACAAAATCATCAGACCGGAACAAAATTCGAACTTGATCTGTGACTTGTCATGATAAAACAATGTACCATTTATTAAAGCATGACGAAAAAAGTGCAGAAAACTGAATATTTGATTGAATTTTCTTAGTCCAAGGACCATAACTCTGCACAAAATTATCAGACTGGAACAAAATTCGAACTTGATCTGTAACTTATCATGATAAAACAATATACCAAATTTCAAATCAATATCTTCAAGCAAAAAGAAAAAAGTGTGGAAAACTGATTGCCGGACTGACGGACAGACAGACAGACGGAGTGCAAACCTAAAGTCCCCTTCGATCGGTAGGGGACTAAAAACTACAACATGATTTATACTTTAACAATAAAAGAAATAAAATATGGAAGACAGTAACCAACAACCACAGGTAGCTCAACCAGCAATAACCTGGGACAGTGGCGTCACAGCACAGCATAACCATTTTGCTCATCTGACAAGTCATATTGCCTTGAATTTATTTTCAATATCAACAATACCTTAATTCAGAAACTATTGCAAGGTTTTCATAAATGCAAATAATATGACTGAATGAGTATTGCAATAATAAGAACTCACATTCTTATATCTGATACATATAGCTGTATGCAGATTATCCTAAAATTGCAATCAATCTTTACTCACACTCCTAAATGCCTTGTGCTAAGTGGAGAAGCAGCCAATACCAATTTGGCTGTCCTTGGTTTGACATGGAACTTGATGAGAGAACACTATGTTGTACTGTTACACCACTGTCCCAGGTTAGGGGGAGGGTTGGGATCACGCTAACATGTTTAACCCCACCACATTCTGTATGTATGTGCCTGTCCCAAGTCAGGAGCCTGTTATTCAGTGGTTGTCGTTTGTTTATGTGTTACATATTTGTTATTCGTTCATTTTTTGTACATAAATTAGGCCGTTAGTTTTACATTGTCATTTCGGGGCCTTTTATAGCTGACTGTGCGTTATGGGCTCTGCTAATTGTTGAAGGCCGTACGTTGACCTAAAGTTGTTAATTTCTGTGTCATTTGGTCTCTTATGGAGAGTTGTCTCATTGGCAATCATACCACATCTTCTTTTTTATAACTACCAGGCAGTTATTATTTATTGGTTTTGATGAGACTATTAGAAAGCTTTACCATACTATAAAGCTCAACATGGACTTGTCTGCTATGGTGTGTTCAGTAAATTATAAAATCTCAAATCATTGTGATTGAAAGATATTACAAATCTTCTTTTCCATGTGGATAAATAGTGAAAAATATATTGTTATCGAGAAACTAAGATAGTGAAAAAAGCCAAAATGATGAGAACTCTACCAATATAATATTATGTGCTGATTTATCTTATTCTATGGGATACTTAATAGGAACAAAGGCTATTGTACAGACACAGACAACAGAATCATACATTTAAACGACTGCAAAACCATTTTGCAGTAGTATGATAGAATTAAATCAATTTAAATAATATTAATGACTCACATTCACATGTTTTTGACAAATAAAACTAATTCTGTAATTACTTAAAAGTTTTAATTCATACTTATATTCATAAACAAGTTTTATTTAACAGTAATTCATCAATGCTCTTAAATATATAAATATATGAATGTTAACAGGCAAATATAACATAATCACAATAATTATTACATCAAATGTCAGAGACACAAAAATATGAAATCTGTTAAAATATTTCAAATGATAGAGCACTTTTTTAGCTCCCTAACTGAAGTAAAGCAAAGATAACAACAATACTGTAAATTCAGAAATTATTACGAAAAATGCGACTGGATGAGTATCGCAATAATATGATCTCGCATTCTGATTTCTGATACATACATCTGTATGCAAAATTTCCAGAAATCACCATTATTAAAATCGCATTATTGTCCTTTCTTAAAAAATTGCAATAATAAATGCATGCAATAATTTCTAAATTTACAGTATTTGTCTTTCTACTTTTGGATGCTCCTCTTAGCTTGCAATGAGTAGAGATAGGAAGATAAAATTTGTTTTTTCTTATATTTCTGTTCCCTTATGTTGGAATATTAAACAAGAATGGAAATGCTGAAATATCTCATCCACTTTACTGATCATAATTGAATTTATAATGCAAGTCTCAGAGAAAAAAATTATACAATAAGTATAACATTAAATAAACTTTATCATTGATCCATTTAAATAAGATAAAGATCAGACGGACATGTAGGCTTTACTATCATTCCATACAACAATTACAGTTAGCCAATTGCTTATAGTATCTGAGAAACAGACCTATCAAGAAAACTAAACTTTGACCAATGAACCATGAAAATGAGGTCAATGTCAGAAGAACTCTGCAAGACAGAAATGTACGATTTGCAATCATTTTACACACCATATATAATTACCCTATTGCTTATAGTATCTGAGAAATCAAATGTGGCAAATGATTAATCTAAAAATGTTTGCAAAATGTTCTGTTGTTGCTAAGACATAATTTCAAAAACATTCATCACAAGCAAAAATACGATATCGTAATTATCATAATCAAATTATGATATGAAACATCTAACTTTCTAAATTTCTAATTACATTATAAACATTTATTTGTATTCCACTAAAACTTGAAATGTCATAATTAATCATACAATTACACTACAATGTTTCAATCTTCTTTTAGGCTAAACAAAATGTGTATGTGTTTCAGATTTCAGTGTTAAGAATAACAAGCTTAGTAGCTAGGAAAACTATTTTTGTTTTACCTGGGTTTTATCTGGTGATGTTTCAAGTGACAAACCAGTGGTTTTTCAATTCTTCACTACCATACATGCCAATAAAAATTTAGGGTAAGAATTCTTAAAATACAGTAGATAGGTCATAGGAGAGAAACCTGAAATACAGATTTAAATTTTTTATTTCTATTTTAATGTAAACAAGATCACAGCACAGCATGTCAAAATGAAACACACCAAATCGCACTCAAAAACTATGATAAATGCTTTCATTCAAAATAAACAAAATCCTGAAATTTTGCACAATAAAGACATAACATGATTCATATTATAAATAAAGCACTTTATGCAATTATGAATCACTATAATTATACTCATGTTACATTAAAAGACATGATCAATTAAGAATTGAAGATATCATTTTGTAAAACCTTGACATTATGGGGTTCTTTATAGCTGAATAGTAGTAAAAAAATGAACGAAAGCAAGGCGCTTTTTTCTATTTTGAAGTTTTGTACCTAAAGCATTCAGTCTAGTTAGAAATTCAAACTGAATATGACTTTATTGTTTGATGAAATCATTGCACTATGATTGATAGTAGAAATATAATGGAACATCACTAAGAATTAAAACATTATACATTTTTTTTGCCAAAAATATAAATAATGCAATATAATTAAATAACACTAAAAATCAGAAATGAAATATATTTTTTTGTCAACATAACAATGCAATATACTGTAAATTCAGAAATTATTGCGATGTTTTTATTATTGCGAAAAATGCGACAGGGTTATAATCGCAATTATTTAAACTCGCATTTTGAAATTTTTTTATATGAATTAAACAGGATTTTTCTCAATATCGCAAAAATTAAAATCGCATTTTAGTTTAAAATGACAAAATCTAAATAATAAATGCACGCAATAATTTCTGAATTTACAGTAACCAGGATAATCAAATTTTTATTGCAACAGCAAACATTCTTATTTTCAGTCATCAAAATATTATGAGAAAATTTGTAATGAAAATTTTATATTCCTATAAAAGGATACCTTTACCCAAATAATAATGTTTAATTTATATCATAAACTATGAAAATAAAATATGAATACACTGTAAGAAAATGGTTTGAAATACAAAAGATGAAAAAATTCATCGGTTCAATTAACTGAAATTTTATCTACAATGCTGGTGATTACTTGCTTTTTTGTAATGGAATGCAAAATCATTTCCAAAAGATTGATTCATTGATTGTTGTTTAACGCCATTTATAAAACAATTTGGCTATCAAGTAGCCTTCAGTTTTTATTGGTGGAGGAAGCCGAAGAGCCCAGAGAGAACCACACCCTTCTGTAGAAAAACTAACAATCCTACTCAATTAGGATTTGTGTCAAACACACCTGTCATGTGCGGGAATCGAAATCACAACCCATGTTGACAGGCTAGTGATACAGTATTTAGACTACTCAGACCACTCAGCCAACATGGCCCCTATCCGAAAGAGCACAATTTGCACTCTATTGCACAATTAGAGGTGACGTGATATATATTAACAATCATTCCTGTAAATTTTTTAAAGTGTTTTTATCACATTTATTTACAAATAACACCATAAATTATTAATTGTTGTTTGCTAAACATCCAGTGGCAAACATTACAGGTATGTTCAGGACTAAAACAACATTACACCATTAAAAGAATTGCATCACTTCTATATTATCATACAGTTTCAGCTATTTTATACTGCAACTGGAACACATCCTATTGTCTATTTCTAAATTTAGTAACAAAGTGCTATTTTGTACATTATGTCTATTTCATGCCAAACCTCTTTTCTTCATAAGGGGATCATTTAGGGACAGAACATGAGTTTAAATGTTGTGTTACTATTTTAATGGCTATCTATTTAAGTAGCTATTTTAAGCTGCAGTATAATATCAATACGAGATCGATGTCCAAAACAATCACTCTTTTATTATCTGAATGAAACTGTTCAAAGGCTCAGTGACCTCAGTTTCTAAGCCTCATAAAAAAAAGTTGATATTTTTCTGACATTTACCTAATATCATATATTCAAGCTTTTGACATTATATCATTTTGACTTTATTGTGACAATATTTAAAAATTTTCACCAGAATGGACACCATCCTATGTAACACTGACATAAATTTTCATGTGACGTAGCTTGTTTTATTAAAAGTTCCACTTGAGTGGACACATCAATAGATTCTTCGGTGGGGAAGTCTTTTCCTGTCAGTTTATCCCTTACTCTCTGTACAATCTGTACAGCCTTCTTGTTTAAAACTTCTGATGTAGAGTTGTCTCCACCTGGTGCATTTCCTGTTGCAACTGGTACTGACTTCTTTGCTGTTCCTGCTTGTCCAATGTCTACAGTTTCAAGAATATCTGCCTGTTCTTGACTTCCACTGTAGGAACCAGACCTGTTAGCCTTTGGTTTTGTTTTAGTAGTTGCTGAAATTGAAAAAAATTATAAAATGGTAGACTTGATTAGCTTGTGTTTTAATGTATTTGTAGATTTGTGTCTGTTTCAAAAATTGTTTCTGTTAAGTCATGTTTACAATTCATTGTTCTCTTTCTCGAGAATGTACAAATGCATAACCATAGAAATAAATTCTTCTTTGTAATTAGAAAATACACTGAATAATTTTACAGAAAACCAGAAGAAATGTAGACAGCTATAATGTAGACTGCTGTACTTTCTTTTCAGATTAAAAAAATATTGGATTTAGATATAAACGTTCATTAGACCTGGTATTTGTGTTTAGCTTAGTCATATTTCACAGTATATTTTTATCATCTTACACTATACTTGTTATAAAGATGAAGTTTTTCAAAATAAAATATAGATTTCCATTGAAATGTTTGAACTACAATTATCAATCTTAACTTTTAGGCTTTTTGTGTTTTTCGTGGATATTTGATTTCGTGGTTTTTCCAAAGTCTGCAAACAAGCATAAAGAAAATGTGTACTTCCCTCAACATTCAAATTTGTGGTTCTTTCCTACCCACAATATCCACAAAAATTGGTATCTCACAAATAATAATGAATCCACAGTATTCCTTTTTATGTATGTTATTCATAATTTCCAGTGATAAAGTTTATACTGTGGATTCACTGTTATTTGTGGGGTACAAATTTTCTGGTTACTTTTTTTGTATAGGTAAACCCACACCTGCCAACATTTCAAAATACCCATTGGGTTTTTATGTGCAAGATGGCTCTTATAGTCCTACAAAACCCTCAAGGGGGCCTTCAAATGTATTTTAATCTTGTTTTTTGGCTTCTTCATACTTTAACAATCCTATAGCCTTTGTAAAATTAATTGCTTTATTTAAAATTGTGGACAAAATTGCTCTTTCAAAATCTCCATTTGGGAGCTTTCATGTTGTAAATCCCCCACAAATACTGACAGTTGGCAGGTATGGTAAAACACAAATTTAAATGTTACAAAAAAAAATGTAAGAACATCAAACACTTACTGTCCATAAGTCTCCAGTTCAGTAAAGGATCATAAACAAAAGCTTCTAAAACAGCCATCAGACTGTCTTTGTGTTCTCTGAGCACAGCCATTACACTCTCACATGTCATACGATAATTGCCATCAATACCAGTCACCTACATCAAAAACAATCAAAATAACTCAAATATCTTTAGAAATAAAAAAACTTCCAGGAACTATCTATTTTGTTAAAAACAGCTTCCGGTAGTTCAAAAATGTTTTTTAAAATGTTTTTTTTAAATGCCTATCCCTACACAATAACCTATAAAAATCAAAGCGCGAAAGCGCTGTAAAGGCAGTTAATTACAGGTTGTGTGTATTTTTAGTCCAGTTATATCATTATCTTGCATAGTACATTGTACTTATCAGAGGTGGCTTTCAGTATTTAAGATTTAGAGTTCTCTAATGATATTGGACAAGTTTTATGAATGTCATATTCTGAGCACTATATGAAGGCGATTGTTCTCACTTGTTTATCAACTAGTGCATTATGTCCAGTTTGTACCTTTTTTATCTATGTTTATAGTCAAATACTGTTTAAAATAGTTTGGCATTTTCTTTTAAGTAATAAGTAAATGTTATCAACTGTATTTTATTCAACTTTGCAAATGTGGTTTGTTACTGGTAAGTACAATGTATGGATGATAGTTGTTTCATTGGCAATCATAACACATCTCCTTATTTATATAATGATCTATATTCAACGACCTCAGGTACAAAAAAAATGTATGTAACTAAACTATGATGGGAAACCTTTGACTTCTTTCTTTAATATAAACTTTTGATTTGGTACCATAGAACTATGTAGAATAAATGTACATTGCAACATGTCAACTCTTTCAATGACAATACTTTTTTTAGAAACTATAACTCCAAGCAAAATTATATTTCCAAGTATAAAGTAATTTATGAATGAAACAAGAGTGCACACGCTGAAATGTCTCGCCTTCTTTACTAATCATTGATATTATGTTGATAGTCCTAAATATAAAGCTTTATTACAACTGTCACATAAACTTAACATTAACCAAGTAAACTAAACATTGACCAATGAACCAAGAAAATGAGGTCAAGGTCAGATGAACCATGCTAGGCAGGCATGTACAGCTAACAATTCTTCCATACAACAAATATAGTTGACCTATTGCTTATAGTTTAAGAAAAACAGACCAAAACACAGAAACTTAAAACTGAGCAATGAACCTTGTAAATGAGGTCAAGGTAAAAAAAAACCTGCGTGACTGACATATAGATCATAAAATATTTCCATACACCAAATATAGTTGAACTATTGCATATAGTATTAGAAAAAAAGACAAAACTCAAAAACTTAACTTTGACCACTGAACCGTGAAAATGAGGTCAAGGTCAGATGAAACCTGCAGGCTAGACATGTACACCTTACAATCATTCCATACACCAAATATAGTAGACCTATTGCATACAGTATAAGAAAAACAGACCAAAACACAAAAACTTAACTATAACCACTGAACCATGAAAATGAGGTCAAGATCAGATGACACCTGCTAGTTGGACATGTACACCTTACAGTCCTTCCATACACCGAATATACTAGACCTATTGCTTATAGTATCTGAGATATGGACTTGACCACCAAAACTTAACCTTGTTCACTGATCCATGAAATGAGGTCGAGGTCAAGTGAAAACTGTCTGACGGGCATGAGGACCTTGCAAGGTATGCACATACCAAATATAGTTATCCTATTACTTATAATAAGAGAGAATTCAACATTACAAAAAATCTTAACTTTTTTTTCAAGTAGTCACTGAACCATGAAAATGAGGTCAAGGACATTGGACATGTGACTGACGGAAACTTCGTAACATGAGGCATCCAGACCTTCCACCTTCTAAAATATAAAGCTTTTAAGAAGTTAGCTAACGCCGCCGCCGGATCACTATCCCTATGTCGAGCTTTCTGCGACAAAAGTCGCAGGCTCGACAAAAAGGAGTTCTTAATTAAGTAATAAACTGATTCGCTGAGCGCAGCTGGATACACCCACAGAGGTCCAACCCTGAACAGTTGGGGCAAAAATGGACACAATATTCAAGCTTGATACAGGTCTGAATTTGGATTGTAATTAAATATTTGACATATTATAGTTTCTGAATAAATGTAGTCAAAGAACTTGAAATCGGTTATATGAATTGAATTTATATTCAATTAAAGATTTCTTGCTGTTATGCAATACACTGTGCTGTTGCGCAATACTTAATAAATCTGTTGCCAGACTTAAACAAATAAAGTTCAATTTCTTCTCAATGTCATATTTGAAATTTATGAAAATCAATAGGGAGATTACATCAATAGCTATAAATAATTCACCAAAGTTTCATGCGAACTGCTTAAAGCATTTTTGAGTTGTTGTCCAAAAACTGGAAAATCCCCCCCCTTTTTAATGAATAAAACCCCATAACTCAGAAATGTAAAATCTAAAATTTATAAAATTCTAAAGGGAGCTTACGGATTGATAATTTAGTCTTAGATGCAAGATTTTTTATCAGTTGTTTGTGGCTTTGAACTAGCTGTCAGTAAATGCGAGTACTCTCAGATCTGTACTTAGTGTCTTTTTGTTGTTTGGATGTACAACTACCCGGCCACGTCCACTTGTATTTGTATTTATCCATCTGATGAGTTAAGCCTCTTTCAACTGATTTTTATAGTTCGCTCTTATATTGTACTGTTACACCACTGTCCCAGGTTAGGGGGTGGGTTGGGATCCCGCAAACATGTTTAACCCCGCCACATTCTGTATGTACATGCCTGTCCCAAGTCAGGAGCCTGTAATTCAGTGGTTGTCGTTTGTTTATGTGTTGCATATTTGTTATTCGTTCATTTTTTGTACATAAATTAGGCCATTAGTTTTCTTGTTTGAATTGTTTTACATTGTCATTTCGGGGCCTTTTATAGCTCACTGTGCGGTATGTGCATTGTTGAAGGCCGTACTGTGACCTATAGCTGTTAATTTCTGTGTCATTTGGTCTCTTGTGGAGAGTTGTCTCATTGGCAATCATACCACATCTTCTTTTTTATATTTACATCAACAGATATAAACAATTCACCAAAGTCAAGGTGAGACAACAAAACTTAGTTGTAAGATCTCTGAAATTTTTTACACGGTACAAGTTTTTCTAATTATTGGAGATTGTATGGTGACAGTAACACCTGTAACTGCTTAACCCATTTCTTATGCACTTTGGTTCGATAAACTCACTGAATATCATACCACATCTCCTTATTTTTATATGCATTACAATTTACATGTGCATGTAATTGTAAATAATATTTATATATATATATCAGAACAAACTTCATTGCGTCACTTTTATTTATGCATCCTTTGGCACAATACAAGTTCTAAAATTACACAACATAAAACAACTAAATGTTATTTCAGATGAAAGTTTTGTTTCAGTTCCATTCATAGGATTTATTAGAATTTTGTATGTTTTGCCAAGTCCAATAATTAGCTTTACATGTATGTGCACGTGTTAATTGGAGACTTTTCTATCCCGTATAAGAGTTTTGGAACTAATTCTGTTTCTTTTTTTGAAAAAAGTGAGCAAACAAATCTTGCACATTTAAACCTTTGTCTGCCATCACACTGTCACCTGGATCACATAATTGAACTATTCTACATCTTTCAATTATTTCACAGTCACTGGTACAACCAACATATGCATTAGAGACATAGTTGACTAAACCACCAGGTGTCGAACATACAAATATTTTCAGTGTTTCTGTTTTTATATGATGAAAAGGTTGCGTGAGCTCTAGGAGCTTTAGGTTTTATCACGGAATATTCTGTGCTGTCAATAATAATCCAAGTTGTAGGAAACTTTAATTCTAAGTTGGATGGCGAAAAATACCTGACTAAACCACTAAATGGCCAAGTGTTAGCCTCACGCCACTGTTTAGACATAAAAACAATCCATGTTTACACAATATTCTTAACACTAGTTTCAATCTAGAATCTAGACAGTTCAAAGTTGGTTGTATAATGCATCAATTTCATCAAAGTCATAAAAAAACTGATTTTCAAATGACACCCTATCAATTTGAAAATATATGTATCTCAAACAATGTGCTGTTGGACCAAGTGTGGTCAAAACAAATAAAAATTTAGTATACAACTCTAAACCGGTATAAAAATGCATGGCTGTGTCACGTGTCTTCATTTCAAAATTCTCTGCTGAAAATATAGGCATTGATGGTGTTTGCGTAATTCCATCTGTGAAGCTCAACATTAGCTCGGCAGTTGGTGGTGGACAGTCATAAATCCTGTCTGCAGTATGAATTACTTCTTCAGGAAAACCAACTTTACAATCAAAACTTTCCTCTAGATTTCTACTACAATTATGACAATATTCATCAAGTTTAGTTCTTTTGTTTTCACAGGAAACTGCCCTGATTTTTCTTTATGCGGACGATTCAGTCTCTTGCTTGGTCCAGGAAAATAGGCTGGGATTGGCAGTAGACTTAAGTCTCTGTATGGTGGGTTTGTGCCCTGAAAAAGGTTATAAAACATTAGTTGTTTGATAATTAAATGAACTTCCATTAGCAATGCATACTTTGTACAGAAGCAAGTTAACTCGTACCATTGTAAACTCGTACCACGTAAACTCGTACCAACGTAAACTCGTACCACTGGGAAGTCGTACCAATCAGAACTCGTACCACTGCAAACTCGTACCATTAAAAATATATTAAAAAATACGAAAGTTTTATGATTTTTTTTTTGGTAAACTAAATAAAAAAAGTTGAATTACTTGAATTTTATACTAGATTTTAATGAAAACTTAGACAAAAATACGAATGTTTTATGATTATTTTTTTTTTAAGCTTTATACAAAAAAATTAAAATATCTTTGAAAGTTATACCAGATTTTAATGAAAACTTAGACAAAAATACAAATGTAATTTCTTAATTACCATGCTAATAAATATATTAAATTCCTTTGATTGTGTGATTATTGGTTGATTATTAACTAATCAACTTGTTTATTTTTATCTTTAACTAATCAACTTGTATAATCATATAAGCATGGTCATATTCTGCTGAAATGTGCTGAATACTGTATAAAAATAAATTTCTAACTGTTGGTCATAAACAATTTTAAACCTTTAAAACACAATCAATAAATTCTTTCATTAAATAAAATTCCTTTTAGAAACAATAGAAAAATACCCAAATCTATTCAATGTTACTGATTTGGAATGATTAAAAATTAAATCAAATAGTTGTCAGTAAAAGTTTAAAAAAGAGTCTATTCAAGGGAGACAACAAAGCCAATCTGCCACGGTTTTCTCTATCCAATTAGACAAGGAAAATTAGCTACAAATTGGTTATTGTAATTTCAAATTATATACATTTTACAGACTTAAGAGGTATTGAGTGAAATTAAAGTATATATTCATCATTAAACACCATTTGAATGCATTTAAATAAGTTGGTACGAGTTTACAATGGTATGAATTTACCGTGGTACGAGTTAGCAGTGGTACGAGTTTGCATTGGAACGAGTTTTTGTTTAGTGGTACGAGTTGACATTGGTACGAGTTACAATGGTACGAGATAACTATAATTCCTTTGTACTCGTAACCAGGCAAAATATTAACTAGATTTATTCATTACAATCTGGATAAAACTATGTTAGCCTGATTCAATGTACATCAAAATGTATGTTATGTAAATCCAAAGGACAAACAATGAGAGACGTATGCAACAAACATACATTGTTTGTACCTAAATAACTATAATATAGATGAGAGCATGTCATTGTTTTGTTCCTGTTAACATTGTCATTGATATTTTTCAAGAAAGTCTATGAGGCATAGCTTATGCATTCCTGTCATTACTACATAAGCATAATTACTGCTAAAATAATTCTCAGTATGATATACCTCTTGTAAGAAATCATTATAATTGTAGCAAGCACCAAAAAATCTCAAACAGATCACATTGAATCGTAATCCAAAAAATTATGACGTCTTGAATTAACCACCCCCTTTTATTCTAAAACGATAATTGCGGTTGTAAACTGACTTTGGTTATTCGCATGGCGATTACATATATAACTATATATTTTAAAAAGAAAATAGAGTTTTACCATGAATAGTTTCCTGCACGTAGTCTTTTTCAGTAAAATGTGCCTTGCAAACAACAGCTGATTGAGATGGACTCCACGATTTCATCGTGTTCTCGTCCAATCTGCGTATGGGCCATGGCGTTGATCCAACTTTTCCTTCTTTTTAAGTCATTTGGAAATGCATGTCCTCCTCTTAAATGACATCCAGGTACACAACAACATGTACTTGGCATCGTTTATTAAAAATGCAACTGTAATAGTTGCACAGTGCAGAAACCGGAAGTTGAAGTACAGGATCGGCTACCACGGCGCCACCTATTCAGGAACGATAATTTGCTACTTTATATAACTGCGAAATAACAATAATGTTAGACGGGTTCGCGTGCATAAACAGAAATGCGCTTTAAATTGTATAATATAATTCATGTTCAGTCGACCTTTAATTATTATATCAACGACTGAAATGATTTATAAACATCTAGATTGCAGATAACACTCTAAATTAACCCGACCTCTTTCCACACGGAATTCAAATAATTCTATTTTGTCAATCGGTTGACTGCTTATAATGTAAAATACAAATATATCAAAAGTTTTTAAAACTAACAAAACACAATGATCGTTTCTCTATTTCCCAATGTAAATGAAATGAGACAAAAAACATTTTATACCACAATAAGAAGAGGAGAGAATCAACATTTTCCGGATCTACTTGGAGCTAAATGACCCCCCACGTAGATAAGTTGGATATCGCGGAAAGAAATATTAACACGGCAACTAGAAAGGCATTAAAGCACTGCCTTTAAAAATAACTAAATGACAATTTTCCTAGAATATGATATTTTTTTTAAATTACTGACTGAACACTATAAAGTAAATTATCAATATTTTTCCTTCTAGCCAAAATGTAGGTTTTAGATCACTAGGTATATCAGTTAGTATGTAACTATGATGTGAAATAATTATAAGAATGTTATTGCCCGAAATATATAAAATTCTTTTCAAAACATTAATTGCACTAAAAATCGAGAACATTTAAAAAAATAATAAACAATTTACCTCCATGGCACTTATCAACATTCTAGTAAGTCTGAATGGTATCTTTTCTGGAAACTTCTCCCTCACCATGGCAACCTCAAAACAATCTCCAAAATCAATATGGATGATTTTACCACTCATTCTGTCCAACATCAGGTTAGATGGATGTCTGAAACAAAAGATGGAAATGTTTCCATTGAGAACATGAAAACTTTCTAAAAATTGTAAACATGTAAACAGAAATGTCAGTGAGGTAGAAGCCTACAATATAAAATTCGAAAGGGTTCCGCGGAACCCAGTGTCTCACCTACTTTTGCTGTTAATCGCAGGCTCAACAAAAAATGAGGAAAAAAATTAATAAAAATATTCCTCTCTATACTATCTTTTGATTGTAAGTAGCTTCTGTCCAAGTTTGGTAAAAATCCGGGAGAGTTCATGAATCTAATAAATGTTTTAAAAACTTAAACTGCAGACTGTATGTAATGTTAACTGGAAGAAAAACTAAGTCTATTTATAAGTAAAATAAGGAAAAAATGGAACAAAATTTTAACAAAATTTCCTTCTAGATACTAGCTTTTAATCATAAACAAGCTTCTGTCCAAGTTTGGTACAAATGCAAGGTAGTTTAAGAAAGTTGTTAAAATTTTAAAAACTTTAACCACAGCGTGAATGTAATGTTAACTGGCAGAAAAACTAAGTCCATTTATAAGTAAAATACTAAAAAATGATTTTTTTTTTACAAAATTTACTTCTGGATACTATCTAATGATCATAAACAAGCTTCTTTCCAAGTTTGGTAGAAATCCAGGATAGTTTAAGAAAGTTATTAAAATTTCAAAAACTTTAACCACAGGGTGAATGTAATGTTTCCTGGCAGAAAAACTAAGTCCATTTATAGGAAAATGCGCAAAAAATGGAATTTTTTTTTTACAAAATTTACTTTTGGATATTATCTTATGATCATAAACAAGCTTCTGTCCAAGTTTGGTAGAAATCCAGGATAGTTTAAGAAAACTATCAAAATTTCAAAAACTTTAACCACAGAGTGAATATTTGTGGACGCCGCCGCCAACGCCGACGGAATGTAGGATCGCTATGTCTCGCTTTTTGGACAAAAGTCGAAGGCTCGACAAAAATGACAAAAATATCACCATAAAGGCATCATTATATTTTATGATAAGTCTGTTTAAAAATGGTAAGTCCATAAAACGTTTAAGTTCTGTAGCATTATCCCTCAATTTAGACAAACTAAAGTATTCAATAATATAGAAACTACTATATCATCTGACTAGGTTATAATGCAAAATTGACACATTTCCACAAAATTCATTGCAGATCTAAGGAATCTATTTGAAAATCTTTGAAAATGGTTTTTATCTGTTTGAATGCTGTAGACATCCTTATTGGTTATGAGTAGCTTTTGATGTTTCATATAGTTTTTTTAGTTCAAAATCAAGAACAGGCTGAAGGCCCTTATTGTAAAAATACAATTGTACAAATGTTGCTGCATCCATTTTTCTGACACTTTTGTAAATTACATACAGGCTCCTACTTTTTTTGTAATTAGCTTACCTGTCTCCAAGACCTAGAACATAACCAACCATTGACATAACAGCTAGTGATCTGGTGTAATTTGTTCTTCTATCAAACCAAACCTGGAAATCATAAATGTGTTCAAATGAAAGAGAGATATAGTCTTATATCTAATACAGCCATATTTCAGCTGAGACTGAAAGTTTTGCTGGTATATGCTGTTTTAAAATGCATGAAATAGTGTATTGATGTCATAAAATAGTTCCTGATGCATTTTTTAGCTAAAATTCTTTATCTTAAATTCGTTTTTTGATCAAGGATCAACAAGGTCTCATATCCCAAAGCAAATATTTAAACGTAGGTAGAATGGAGACCAAAACAATGGATTCTGGCTAACAGTTTTAGAGTTTAATTGTTACCGTACATGGAAAATATTTACAGCAATTCTATTTCAACTATTTATAAGGAAACATATCTTTGGATATCATGTAAAAATGACTACAATATGTTGCAGAGCAACAACCCTTTTTCCCTCATTTTACATGCAGTAATGTTTTATATGTATTCAAAATGGAGAAGTTGAAAGACTAGGGTATTCTAGCTAGAATTTGAAATTGAACATATACATGTAAGAACATATTTTGTAAAGTTTTATTTCCTTAAAAAGATCTGAAAAGCAGATGATAAAATAACACCAAACAAAATTTTTCTGTTTTAAATAACTTCATCTAATGACTTCGAAATAATTTCCAAAATTAACATAAAAATTAAAATGTACTTTATTTAGCTACTGTGGATTCATTATTATTCACGGGATATCAATTTTCATGGATTTCGTGGGTATATGTTAACTACAGATTTAGATATTTAATGAAATACAAGTTTTCTATAGGCTTGTATGCAGACTTTTGCAAAACCAAAAATCAAATATCCATAAAAATACAATTGTTCCTCAATACACAAAAGTATGTACCTTTTGATAGTACAACCTGATGTGAATTTCTGTAAACTATAAATCACAAAGCCAGTGTCAAATATTTATCATCTTATAAAATGGGTTGAATACAAACCTCAGAACTAGGACTTTTGTACCACAGTATCTTAGCCAGATCATCCCCTTGTGTGTGTTCCAATGCATGCTCAAACACTTCCACTTTTTGCATCAAGGTCAAATGATCATAATCTGGGGCCATCTGTAAGAATTACAAATTTACATAAATAAAGAAAAGAAATTTTTTTACAAGTAATTGTCAATATTTATGGCTTGTCAAATTGATCTTTTGAATTATAGTTTGTTTCCCTTTTTTTTTCTCCCTCCAAAGACGACTTAAAAATCTAAGAAGTCATGTTTTCACTACTCCGTATACAATATATATCTTGATTTCTACTGCCAAAATTTTGTTTTTAATATAAACACTACAAAACAAATTTTACCCTCAACATAAGCCTGTGTTCGATATTAAGTAGAATTTTCTTCTTCTCTCTGTAGTCTCTGATCAGTGAATGAAGTGTGTCACAATGAGGTACCCAGCCAATCAGACCAGAGTTTGTAGATAATGGAATCACAGAAAATCTCTGTATTCTGTAAAAATATTAAAATAGAAGTACAGGGAAAGAAGATAATTTGTATGTAATTTGAATTTTTCTCAGAATTAATGTAGAAAATTCAGTGTTTTGACAGAAAAATGATTATGTAATTGAAACAACAAAACCCATAAATTAATATTTCATTTATAAATTTATACAATATATCTACAGATTTATGAAGGACAATTTTACTTTATTGATACATGAATCAATTTATGCAGATATATAATAAAGAAATATTTATTTCAATCTTGCGGATTTAAATCTGACATGTTGAATCATGGTATGCATCCGCAATATTCCCAGCTGCTCTTTTTTATTGACAGGTGTGACAAGAATATGTATCAATAGGACACCATGCCCAGCTTTCACTTACAATTCCATGTCCATGTTCAGTGAACTGTGATGTCTGGGTGGAAACCCTAACTTGGCATATATTTTCAGAAGTTCATGTGTGCTAAGTTTCAAGTTTATATGACCACAATTTCAAGGCAATTTCAAGACAATTTCAAGGCATAAGAATTGCCATAGGTATTAACTGTCAGAATTAAATCACCACAAACAAATGACTACCGGTACTTAAACTTTTCCCTCCTTTTAGTCATTTCTTTGAACAACAATGTATGTTGTCCTGTGATTAACTGCTGATAAAATCTACCAAATACTTCAAAGGTTTGCTTTTGATGGCAACATATACTGCTTGTTAATACTCTTAATATGAAAAACATCTTACGTAAGATTTCTGCGGAAAGTTTCAGTATTCTGTAATAGTAGAGAATTAACCAATCCAAACAGCTGCATCACTCTCTCATCCTGTCTTAAATCTTCATGTCCCTTTAGTAAAAACATGTATTCCTGACCATTGCTACCTGTTATATAAAGAACTCAAAATTTATTGGCCAATTTAAAGTTAAAATAATGAATTTAACTTTCAACATTTAATTTATTCGAACTAAGTAGATATCATCATACCATTAGAAACTCTATTGACATTTGACAATAATGGTACAGTGCAATCAGTTTTTAATATTCTGTTACCAATTTTTTGATAAATAGAACCAAAATTTAACAGTATGACATTGCTTTCAAACTTGTACTGTGAATTTGATTTAGCTATTGGATAATCTATTATAATACAAATGATTTAAAATATTCTGAATTTACATTTGAAACCATGTCTCTCCAAAGAACTGTACTGATATGTAACAGAAGATGGTACAGAAGGCTCAATTTTATTTTCTCTTGAAACGAATCACATATATACTGAAGCCCATTTCTGTAATAATTGAACATGCATTGTAAATTTCACCCTAGTCTACAATTGGATAATCCTGATTCATCATATGAAAAACAAGCAGCTATTCAGACAACATTTTTAAAAAAAAATATTTCTCTGTTTACATAAAGGACTATTTACTTGTATATTAAGTTTTACAAAAAAAATAACATACCAAATATGCTGAGTTTCCTTGGTCTCTGTTTGGATGTGATAACCTGTAATGAACTTTGAACTTTCCTTATCTTTACGATTGGTTGATTTGGATCATATGTTCCAGGTACAGCCAGTTCTAAATCTTGACATCTCAGAAGTTTAGGGGAAACATACTGTAACTCTAGAGAGGTCAACTGAAAGAAAAACAAAACATATGAAATTTAATCAAAGAGTTACTTCCCCTGAATGCTTCACCTACACTGAAAACTTGAATGAACTTTGTAAAAAATTTATAGACATGAGTGAATGAGATGCAGTACATTTTGCATACTGTAAATTTCAGAAATTATTGCGAGATTTTTATTAATGAGAATAATGCGACTGGGAAAGTATACTTACGTTCTTATATATGATACATATATCTGTATGCAGATTTTTCTGAAATCGCAATAATTAATCTCGCATTTATGTCCATTCTTCAAAAACCGTAATAATAAATGCACGCAATAATTTCTGAACTTACAGTATTTGCATAATTTGCTAAATCTCCTCATGTTTATAAGTGCCTTTCACTTACATTTAATTTGTATCCTATTCAAAACTTGACAAAAATTGGCTGAAGACACACATGTTTCAAAAACATCAATGCCACCAAGTTTTGTCTTACATCTTTTAAACATCAATGCCGCCAAGTGTGACTTACATCTTTCAAATATCAATGCCACCAAGTGTGTCTTTCATCTTTCAAACATCAATGCCACCAAGTGTGTATTACATCTTTCAAACATCAATGCCACCTCAACCATACTTTTAACTGATAGAATGTTTGTATCTTACATTAAGATGAGCCCTAATTTTAGAACTCGGCTAAGACAATGCTACTATAAAAATTTCTTTTATATACATTTCAAAAATCTGACAAGAAATGTATGAGTGAAAATGCTACAACATCAGATGGACAGACGCCCAGTATTTGTATGTCCCTTGCTCTATGTTACGGCAGTGAAAAGATAAAACTTTCAAAATTTGCGGTATTTCTAACTATATCAAAAGTACAATTCAAACCTGTGGTAACTGTTTAGATATCCTTCTGAACACATGATAATACAAGTCCCAAGCTTGTGTTAGATCTTTGACATTTCCTGATCTCTGGTACTTTTTACACCAGTCCTGAGCCTCCATCAAATCTCTACCATAAGCCTGAAATACAATATTGCAAAGGTGTAATAATCCATTATTCTTACCTGACATATCTATTTTTTATATCAATATCAAATTTTCAAGTTCCTTTTACCTTAGAAGCGTTGTCTTATATACAGGACTATGTGGTATTGGTTTTGCTCATTGTTGAAGGCCATACAGTGACCCATAGTTGTTTTATTTCTATGTCATTTGGTCTCTGGTGGAGAGTTGTCTCATTGGCAATCATACTACATCTTCTTATTTTTATAGTACATAGAATCTATTTTGGTATTCTTATGCTGAAAGTGTAAATGAAAATAAAAATGAAAATGGGTGATATCTGGGCCCTCGGTCATAAAACTTTACTCAGTACTCGGAGTACAAAATTTGTGCTCGAAACACCAAATCCAATAATTTGATTGGTTGATTTCCTAGTCTGAGTACGATAATCGTGCTCAAAAGTTTTATGACCGCAAGACCTGTTTTTCATAATAGTATGAAATATAAGTATCTTTTCCTGACCTCTGGCCTTTTGGTCATAACACTTTATTCTGTACTCGGAGTACACAATGTGTGCTCAAGACAACAAACCAGTATTTGGATTGATTGATTTTTGAGTCTGAGTATAATAATTGTTCTCTAATTTTTTATGGCTGTAAGGGCTGGATTGCATTTCACAGAAATTTACATATTCATAAACACAATCAACAATATAACTAACCTGAAATAAAAGTTCTACAAACCTGGTTAAAAGAAGTTTCCTTCAGTGTTTGTGGTCCTCTCTCCATCATAGCATGTAGAGGCTCTAATGTGTTAAACATTCCCTTCACATCTCTCTCCCCAAAATAAAGTCTGGAAGCTTCCTCTAGCCCCTCGTGCCAGAGCTCATGCCAAAGTATAGCTACTCTTATCAACTCCTCACTCACCTAAGATAGCAAAAAGTTTCATTATGATAAGTTTCATTTAAGACTAAATAGGGTCTAACTTGAACAAGACTAATACCGGCTCTGGACCTGTGTCGCTAAATGAAATTGAGGTAACAAGTATACTGAAGTTTAACTGATCATTCCCTCTCATTAAATAGCTTTCGCCAATGTTGCAAACATATTAAGGTAGATCATAAGTATATATTTTTTGAGACAGAATTTTATTATAATTTGTCAAAATGAAGATTTTAGTATGCTTTTTTCAAAAATATAATAAAAAGTATGGGTCACCGTGCTATTTTTCAAGCTATGAGTCGTTGAAAATTGCCTAAATTTGGTTAGATTGTTCATGAAAAAACACATTTGTGTGCATAAGAAAAATTCTATGAGATAGAATTTTGAAATAAATTGTGAGAAGATAGGTTTTATAATATGTTTTAAGAAAATAAAAAGAAAAAATGGTGTCACCGAACTTGTTTTCTTGCTACAAGTAAAAATTAAAAATTTCCCTATTAGTGCAGTATAAATTGTTTACTAAAAGAGTTATTTCCCCTGAAATGGCTCATTTAAAAAAATGATTCTAAAAAGAAACAAAAAATGATATTTGTTTAAATGTTTTAAATTATACAATAAATAACCAAGTGTTCTTTATATAAATAAACAGTCTAAGCATTAAATTGCAAATCTGTCTCCAAATTTGCAGATTTGGGCAAATAACTAGACCGATTTTGTACGGCGATTGTACAATCCAAGATGGCGGTATACCATGAATCTACCTTAAGATTTGATAAGATAATATGGCACTATATGTTATTGATTAAGTCCAACAGTTTTATTCCATTATAAGATGTCTATTTAATTGCAAACTTTGTAGTACCATGTAGTAAATAATTCATATCATTTCAAATAAATTTGACACTGATGATTAATGTACACAAAATTATTTTCACAGATACTTTATTTTGCATTTAACACTTTCCATAGACTTTGGGGAAGAATTATTTTCAAGATTTTCTTATTTTCTTGGTCTATCTATATAAAGGAAAACCCAAGTTTTTCATATTCAACAAGATTTATATTTGCATTATTTTTCTACTTGCAAATGTTGCAAAAAATTAATTGCTCACAAAAGTTATCTGGTTTACAGTCTATCTATTTTTATCTAAGTTTTACTGATATATATATCTTTTATTTCAAAAGTCTGTTGAAAGATTGCCAACCAAATTTTTGAGGATTTCAAAAGTCTGTTGAAAGATTGCCAACCAAGTTATTGAGGATCTATCTAAATAAATCAACTGCTAAAATGCAAATTGCGTTAGGTTTCTAAAATACCTGGAATGCATTATTTATATGATCTTCAACTTCGTGTTTGATTTTGGGCTTCCAAATTTTGAAAGGAGCAACACTGATAAGTCTTATGTAGATTAAACGTGTGTCAGGTGAAATAAACTATAAGCCTTGGTATCCTTGATGAGTTTTTTCTTAACACATCCACTATCAAAACCAATCACTAAATATCATTACAGCTATCTTATCATGGTGTAAATGAGAGGTTCTAATGTATGCACCAGAGTCTCACATTTTTCAATTTGTTCGTCTATTTTTAACAAAAGGACTTATGGATGGATTTATAGACTTTGGTTTGGGAGACAAACACACTGGTTCCTACATACCATCTCCTAAAAGGAGGTGGAAAAACATGAAATTTATACTAACCAACATGGCCTGTTGTACCAGTGTATTACTATGTTCTCTCATACTCTTTAATACTTTATTAGCCGACACTTGTCGAGCTGTAACGTTAGATTTAGATGCTACTGTCAATGGGTAGATCAAGGCCTACAATGAATAGTTGTGAAAGAATGAATATAAATCCTTAGTTTCACCTTGTGGTTATACAAGTATAATAAAATTCAATCTTAACAACCAATATAATATTTAATGATACAACCTTGTCACTAGGAACTGTTTGTACAAATCTAATTGCAGTTATTTTCAATGACGGAATATGTTCAGCACAAACTCAAGATTGAGATTATTCCTGAAAGTCTGTGGTTTTCTCTGGATAATCTCATTACTTCATCAACCCAAGTGCCCTCATTTCATGAGTAATACATTTGCAAATAAACTAATTATGTTTTTGCAAATATATATATATATATATATATATTCCTAACATCACTGAAGAGACATTAATTGTCGAAATCTGGATATGGTGTACCAATTTTTGCACCTTATGTTTGCGGTATACTGTCTTTTCCGCAAGTTTATTGTTTTTTGTTTGGTATTAAATTAATAATTAAGATCCATTTTGTTACATCTGGTGATCCGTTTATTTGGCAATTGCCATGACAGTCAGCAAGGTTTAAGAACATCTGTTGTTCAACCTGCTAGTCAAATGCATTTTTTTAAAATATACTTTTTCACTTTTTTGGTCTTTTGGAAAATGTTGTTTGTGATGTATTTAGACCCCTCTACCAAGAAATTTGTTTTGCATGCACACATATAAAAATTATGGTTTTTATTCAATGCAATCATAGGTTTGAACGTTGTTTTCAAACTAGACTTGTTTATATTTTTTTGTTTGGGCTTGTATTATATTTGCCTTCGGGTTTATATAATCCGTTCATCCTATTTCGACTCTTCAAAATTCAAGAGTCAATCCTAAATTGAGGTAAATTATATGGCCTTCCAAATACTATTTCGATTCCTAACATCACTGAAGAGACATTAATTGTCGAAATCTGGATATGGTGTACCAATTTTTGCACCTTATGTTTGCGGTATACCATCTTTTCCACAAGTTTATTGTTTTCTGTTTGGTATTAATTAATAATTAAGATCCATTTTGTTACATCTGGTGATCTGTTTATAAGGCAATCGCCATGGCAGTCAGCAGGGTTTAAGAACATCTGTTGTTTGACCTGCTAGTAAAATGCGTTTTGTTAAAATATACTTTTTCACTTTTTGGTCTTTTGGAAAATGTTGTTTGTGCTGTATTTAGACCCCTCTACCAAGAAATTTGTTTTGCATGCACACGTACAAAAATTGCAGTTTTTATCCAATGCAATCATAGGTTTGAAGGTTGTTTTCAATTTAGACTTGTATATATATATAGAAATATATACTGTTACTATTTATTTAGGTATTACTTTTTCAAGGATTTAGGAAAATTGTATTTTAGTGGACTTTGTGGTTTAAACAAATTCTGCTCAAAACCATATAGGAAATTTGTATTCTGTTGACAAATAAATTTGTGGTTCAACTATATCCCCTAAATCATTAATAAGAATAAACATAGATGTCTGGCTATATGAAAGACACTTCTTGAGTAAATATTTATTTGGTACTTGTATGTGCCCAATATTTCTAACTCCTAGACATGTTAAAATATGGAATTTGTGTACTTTTTTTTTTATATAGATTAGTTTTGTCTTTTTTACTTCTATATATTACCTGTGGATGAGCTTTGCCAACATCTATCAACAGCTGTGATATCAACCTTCCTACCAGATTCCTTGGAGTATCTATTCTGGCTATCAACTGAGGAATAACCTATTAAATAAATACAAAAAAAAAAAAAATTAATAAAAAAAATATATTTTGGGGGAGGGGGGATTTTCTTTTGATGTTTTAGTTAACTAAAGAATTTGTACCTGAACTTGTAAAATCAAAAGAAGTAAATTTCAGTCATTCTGTTTCTGAATTTAACTCTTTACTGAAAGGTGATAACACTTCTTTTGTTGTTCTTCATGCTAAAGATAGTTATAAACTTTTAAATAAAGAAAATATACAACAACACAAAAAATACTTTTTTGTTTATATTAACAAATCATCAAATCTACCCATACTTTAGTATAATATATTACACTCTGTTTATAATCCGTCCTATTTCAAAGTTACCTGTAGCCAATTATCTATCTGAATGGTCTTCAGTCCTTCAACAAGAGCTTCATACACCTCCATCCATTGACCATAGTCAAACCATAACGTCAATAATCTAAAATAAACATGCAACAAAATTCTAAAGTTGTCAAATGGAAACTGCATTGCCCTGACTTGGGACAGGCGCAAAAATGTGGTGGGGTTAAACATGTTTTGTGAGATCTCAACCCTCCCGCTATACCTCTAGCCAATGTAGACTAAAGAAACACATAGCAATACGCAGAGTAAAACTCAGTTTAAAAGAAGTCTGAGTCCGATGTCAGAATAGGTAACAAAAGAAACTAATCAAAATGACAATGATACATAAATTAACAAAGGACTACTAGCAGTTACTGACATGCCAGCTCCAGACCTCAATTAAACTGATTGAAAGATTATGTCTTCAACATATGAAAATCAAGTACAATCCCTCCCGTTAGGGGTTTAGTATCCTACCATCATAAAATATATGAGAACATAACCCGTATCATGCCAACAACTGGTTTTAGAATAAATGTGTTTATTTAGATGCAAAGACCCCATGAGTGAATCAATATTAATACCACTACTACTGAATTACTGGCTACTGACTTGGGAAAGGACATATTGAATGTGGCAGGACTAAACAGACAAATAATGACACATACAATTTTTTGTAGTTGCACAGTGCAGTTTTTTATATCAAATTGTCTAGATATGTAAAGTAGGTTTGTGCTCATAAAGCAAAAAAAAAAATTAAACATCAAAACCTAAAAATAATATTAATTATGAAATATTAAGTCAACAGCTTTAATAGCCTATCCATGTTATAAATTCTGTTAAACAATATTTGTAAATTCTGAATTGTCAAGAATTTTTTGTAACGCCTGATACAGTCTTCTTTTGAAAATGATTTTGACAATATCTTCCACAGTATAAAGGAGTTCTTGATTTTTTCTAATTCTATAGGGATTTGTGTTGAAAGAAAAGCTGACACTGTATTCTCAAAACATAATCATTTATACTTACCTAAGTGTATCCTGTAAGCTATTCTGTTGTGATAAAGCTATAGATCTAAAGAAACCTTGGACTGATGGAACACAATATTTATGCATCTTTGCTGTATTCTGTAAAAAAAAACATGCATAAAATGATAAAATCAAAGAAATAACAAGTTCTTACAAGAACAAGTTTTCTATCATTTTATTTTCAAAGTAAAATTTTTGCCAGTTCATCCCTTTTTTTATATACTTTTTCACATCAGATCTTAATTCAACTTTCATCAAATCAAAATACTTTGTAAACATAACATTTAAAACCAATAATTCTAAGAAGTTCATTTGCTGGACATTTGCCAAAATTAAGGTTTCCCTATTTCTGTATCATTGTCATTTTGCTCAGTTTCTTTTGTTACCTTTTCTATTAAACACCTTAAAATTTCTATTGATTCCTGCTGTGTACCAAGTATGCCATTAAATACTTACAGACTCTGGTCTTGGTGACAGTTCAAACTTGCTGGCAGCACCAATTTCTGCTGGTGTTTGAGGTGCACCTTCTTCTGACTGGTTCATTTGTTTATAAAACAATACTGCTTCATAATTCATTAAAGCCCAAGCATGCCAGGCCTGTAAAATTAAAAAGAACTCTGTTAAAAATCATCAAGAAATTAAAATATTAACTTAGTGAAAAAAAAAAATTATTCTTCAAAAGTGCACAAATGACAAATATATACAACAGAAATATATGGATTCAGAAACAAGGAAAAATATATATAAATTTGTCTCCCTTAATTTTACATTGTTACATTATTTTCATAATTACTCAAGTCAGTTTTATATTCTTGCACCTTGTTTTTATTGCTTAAAATTCTCAATCCATGTTTTAATTGATATTCACATTTATTGCTATTGCTTTGATGTTTTTGTTTGTGATAATTTTCCGTATCACGCTTTTTGAGTGATATCTGTTTTTCTTTTCTTCAGTTGAGAAGAAGGAGAATGTATGACGTCATGTGTATATGTCATTGACGTTGCCTAGGAAAATAGTTATAAACAGACTAATAACCTTTCAAACTCGAGGATGTCACGGCTACATCTTATCTCAGGGATGTCGTCCTTACATGAGATTGTAGCTGGGAAACACCCTCGTTTGAAAAAACATCTATAATCTATAAGTCTCAACCAATCTAATAAAAATATAAATCTATTAAAGAACCTTTGTGAGCACACTCACATACCCCATGTCCCCACATAAGTGCAAAGGGGCATAACTCTTAGAAAAAAAATTGAATCATAATTTCCTGTTGATATGCACATCTACATAATATATCCTTATTATCTATAAAGTTTCATGAAATTCAGTTATGTGGTTTCAGAGGAGTTGCGATGACAAGAACAGGACTGAAGAACAGATGGACAGACTCAAAAACATTATACCTGATGCAAAAATTGCATGGGGTATAATTATATCATACCTTATACCAGTCCTTATCATGTTCAGTAGCCCTATAATAACAGTCCAGTACTTGTGGAATAGACTTCTCATTAATACCCATCAAACTTTCTGCCCAATCACCAAGTTTAAGGAAACATCTACAATAAAAATATATAATTTCTCTGAAACTTGTGCAATGTTTTAATTAAGTATTCAAATTGACTTACAGTGGTGTAAATTATACAGTAACATAAAATTCATTTTTCTCACAATATCTCTAGTTGAAAAGCATCTTCACATAGGACAAATATCAAGAAGGATCTTGTTGCTGTTTTACAGTAGGCACTTTTCATACAAGACACAAAGTGTTTGTGAGAACTAAAGGGTGAAGATTGCTTTTATTATGCAATGTGAACATAGCTTTCAGTAACTGTGCGAGTACTCTTATATCAGTGCTTTGTGACTATTGTTTTTATGTTATTTGTTTTTGTGCTTTGTACCGATCTTGTGAGTTAAACCAATTGCAACAGATTTTTACAGTTTGTTCTTATGTTGTGCTGTTACACCACTGTCCCTGGTAGGGGACGGTTGAGTGCTCACAAACATGTTTGACCCAGCTTGATTTGTCAATATATTGATATTGACATGGCTAGAAAAAGCCTAGAATCTTAAGAATGTGCACCTCACTGTACTATGCTGTTCGAGCTCTTAAAGGTAGAGATGGGACCTGGAAAATATTGCTATCAAACCAGTAACAATAGCATTTTGGTTAAGCAACCTTTACCCAAAAACTACTACTGTATGATAAGCACTGAATACTATATGAGAATTCTATTACCTTGCCAAGAGTTTATTTAGTTCCTGTCTTGGTTGTGAGTCTTCTGGTGATATCAACTGTAAAGCTTTTGTTTGTAATGAATGTTCAACAAAATACTGTAGCTTATTGTAGGCCTCGTTCTAAAAATAAATAAATCAATATTTTTACTACTGTGGATTCATTTCTATTTGTGGGATACCAGTTACTCTGTATTTCTTGGTAAAAGGTAAATCATCAATTTAAACGTTCAACATAGTATAAGTTTTCAATAGCATTGTAAGCAAACTTTTGCAAATCCACAAAATTAAACATCCACAAATATACAATTTTTCATCAATCAATGAAAGAAAATAAATGAATTCACATTACTTCATTTCTTATAATCATTTAAAGTTATGTAGGAGTGTGACTGAACCATGTGACTGAACTATGTGACACTCATCAAACTATTGTGTTTACTTCTCTATTGTCATAATCATATCCCATTTATTAAAAACATCTACAAACTTTCTTAAGTCTTTAGAACAATGTTGCCAACTTAAAAACATTAAAGGCATAACCATAAAAAGAAATTACGCTTATATTAGTACACTCATATTTTAAACATTGTGAATTTTTTTTCACACAAAACTATTTCTCAAAAGAATATAAAGATCAGTAGCTTTCTTCCATATCACAAACAGTAACAGCTAACTAATAAAAGTAAGAATATGTTTTTGGGAGTTCATAACAGAATTGATAAAAGTGTTGTTCAAAAACAAAACTGATCACTTGTCAGTGGCAAAATAGACTTTACTGCAACAAATTTGATTATAAATTCCCAAGTCCTGAAAAAGTGTAAATCCTCAATTCACGCAAAAAAAAAAATCTCAATCCTGACGTCAGGACAACAGTCCTTCCGCTTTGTGCCTACCTTTTGATAATTTCTCCACATGTGTTTCATGTAAGTAAATGTGACTTCAGGACTAACTGTTGGAATATGTTCTATGGGGTACAATCATAACCTACCTTCTGATTATTTCTCCACATGTGTTTCATGTAAGTAAATGTGACTTCAGGACTAACTGTTGGCACTGGTTGATCTGTATTTTTAGTTGGATCAGTTCCTAATAACATCACTAGTGTCTTGTGGGATAAAGCCTGTAAAATGTGTGGAAATAAAATGTATAATTATAATGGTTTCCTATTATATTTCACACTCTTCAAGAGTCAATTCTAATTATGTTTTATTTATCATTCCATGAAATTGACTGTGTTGCACATACATTTAATGTTATACCCTTAATAAAATGCACCAAGTCAGGCTATCTGGACTATGTATTGTTTGTTGTTGTTTTTGTTTTGTATGTGATTTTCTTGAAAGATCTGGTTGATGTCAATGATGATGTGGTCTATTGTGCTATGCAATATTTTGGCAATTCCTGTTTTTAAATGAATTTGTAACCAGCATATTTTTTTTTATTCAGGTAAAATATAAATAGTTGATCCAAAATGTATGCATTTATCATTGCAGATCTTTGACAACTGACAATAATCTGCCATTAATCAATAAAGTAATAGAATATTTCATCTGTCCTGCCACATTTTTTTGCATTATTGATAGTATTACATTAATTTAGGGGAGAATTTTTAATTAGTAGGTTTATGGATCCTCCCACCCAATATATTCAACAAGAACTCACAAGACGTCCACTCTTTCTACATAAACTGCTGTATTTCAGCCATGTTTTCTTGTCCTCAAGTGGCGCCACCACTAATGATCTAACTTGTATGATTTTCTGCCAGTCTTCTACAAGTCTCTGACATCCCTGTAAATAGGAAAACAATATCATAAGTTTTGATAAGAGTTACTAGTAAGATGTGTAAATAGGAGGCAAATTCATGTTCTGAGACTATGATTGTTTGTGCTCGGTAACTATTATAACAAGTTTCTATTTTGCATCAATTCTTTATGAGGGGCTAAAATAACTATTGAAAATGTTATCACTGAAACAGGGCATCTAGTTTTTCAAGAATCTGATCCATTAGTCTGAAAAACTAGATTATAGTAAAAATTCTTTCATTCAAAGTTAGAAACTATAAATATAAAGAGTTTAATACTTCAAAAGTCAATAAAAAAAGTATGATTGCCAATTAGATAATTATCCACCAGAGTTTAAATGACAAAGTGTCAACAATTACAGATCACTGTATGGACTTCATCAATGAGAAAAATCATACTGTATAGCAAGGCTTCCAAAACGGTCATATATTCCGGACATTTGTATAATGTCCGGTAAAAGTCCGGCTGGGCAAAGCACGAAACGGTCATCTACTTTTTATTTTTCAAGGCTTTCTTTAGAGACGTTCATTTTAACATAATTCGCGATCTTTTTGACCCAACCTTTTGCCTTTAACAGCCACACATTTCCGGTCATAAAAGTGACATGATCATTAAGTACTATCAAACTAACCCCTACTTTAATACCTTCTCATTTTAATCAAGGCTAATTAGTTGTCGAACAGCTGAAATTTACCTGTTCAGGTGCCAGGTAAACTATTTTGAACCGGACATTGATCGGTCTATTCAAAGTTATTTTCTTACATTTCACCGGTTTGCATCTAATTAATTTAGTCAAAAAGATTTAAATTATTAGAAATACATTTACAAATAAGATTTGATGAAAAAATTAAAGAGGTGAAAATGAAAAATCGTCATAACCACGTTGTTTGAACCAGAGACATGTCTCTGTTTGAACTAGTACACATGTGCGCATGTGCATGTGCGCAGGTGTAAAATTTAATTATGCATCCTAATTTCTTTAAAAAATGCTTAAATTGTCATTGATACCTTTATCTCACGTTTATTTCGAATATTTTCTTGAAGAAATAACGTAGAATGAGCTACATACACTCATTCATGCTTTGCAAACGTACACGGAATTTACTTATCCTCCTCTGGTCCATGTTTTACCATTGTCAAGATAACATCCGGATTCAGATTTAAAAACGAAAGTAAAGTTTTTGACAACGTTATTTTGCACAAATAAAGAGTCTAAGGCAGATATAAGTACGCTGATGTTGCACACTTCGGATGATGCACTGCCAATTTAACAGTTTACGTCAGAACTTCGAATTTCAATCAAAGAAAGTTTAATATCGTTTTTTTTAAAATATCAATCATTGTGAAGGCCAAAGCGGCAACTGATTACCATAATTGCCTTTTGTTTATTTAGTCTTAAGGGATTAAAATCGGGATAATATATAAAATGTCTGGCTGGCTAAAAATAATTTTGGAAGCCCTGCTGTATAGTCAGCTACAAAAGGCCTCGACAGGAAAAATGAGAAAAAATTCAAAGGAGAACACTGGGAAAGTGGTGTAACAGCACAGCATAAAAACAACTTGTAAAAATTGAACAAAAAACATCTAATATAAAATCAATAACACAAAGCACAGAAATAAGAGAAAACAAGTACACCTTTCACTTTTGTTCTTTGCATATGAAATGATTGAAAACCAAACAAGTTTTCCTTTAAAAAGTCTATGACCTCCGAACAGATTTTATATAAATTACTAAATTGATATAAATATTTACCTGTAACCTGTCCCACCACATGTTTTTAATAGCTTCCCTTCTGTCTGGCATCAACTTGTACTGGATGACCTCTTCTAATTCAGATAACATCTGCACATTAACCATAGCCTGCAAATCAGTCATTCAATTCATATACTCAAACTAGAAAGCTGTGTCATGAGTGTAAGTATTGTGGATTCATTATTTTTTGTGGGATACTAATTTTCGTGGATTTTGTGAGTACAGGTGAACCAAAAATTTAAATGTTCAAATGAAGTACAAAATTTCTATAGGCTTGTATGCAGAATTTTGTAAAAACCATGAAATCAATTATCCACCAAAAAACAAATTTTCCTTAATCCATGAAAATTGGTCCTCAGAAATATAAATGAATCCACAGAAAAGGTACGTATATTACACCCTTCTTAGAGCAATTTTCCTCTATTTCTATTTTTTTTATTTCATCAATTCATTCATTTCCGTTTTTCAGAGATACCTTTCTGAATCAAAGAGTTTGAGTCTTACAGGAATAGTCCAGTTATCACCACTTGTTTTTTCCATTTATTGGCATAGGTTCTGTGCAATTATAAATAGTGCAAAAATCAACAAACACAATATTTTTTGATAAATGTGCCAACTTGTTATAAACTTGAATAAGGCTGTTACTTACTCCATATGCTCTGTTATAACTTTCTCCAACCATAGCTGTTAATTCTGTGTCTAAAATATCCCTTGCTTTATCTATACACTGAAATGTAATAAAGAAAAGCTTCTAAAAACATGAGAAAATATGGTACTTATGAAGTACTGCAAATTCATAATTCAATGCAAAGGCTTAAATTATTGATGGAAATAAAACAAAATGAACATCAAAATCATTAAATATTTGCTAGCAACATTCCTATCACTGCTTTTCAAGAAAAAAATACCCAAGGGTCATAACTCCACTAAATTAGATTTACATTGATGTGGGTCTTTTTATTATTTGTATTTTTCTATAGTAAGGTTTACAGAAAAAAATAATTAAAATCTTGTGGTGGTACACAAAAATAAGAATGGAGACCTTTGTTTTTTTCTGTAACAGCACTCAATACAGTAAGAACTTGAAATCAATTAAAAAATCTTGCAATATTTTTTATTGTCAATGTGTCAAATGTGGCCATAACAAATTCTAATTTCAGTTTGTCACTATTTGCTAAGTACATTTGTACTGCAAATGCAGAATTTAATGTGTGCATTTATTATAATTAATGTCCACAGGACCAAATTCTTTTTATAGAGCAAAGGTTTGTATGAGATTTGTGTGATTATTTTGTTTGACATTAGAAAGCGGTATTTTAATTTTTTTTTCTTTTCTTTTCATCTTACTGGTAAAGCAAACACATCCATACTAGTAGTGTAAATTTCCTGCTGCAATTTTCACAAAAATCTTAAGTTATAATGAAAAGTTCATGATTTCCAAGTATTTTTTGTTGTTAAGATTTTTTGAGAAAATAAATGCTAGTATCATAACTAACCTGTTGTGCTAGCTGGTAATTCTCTGAGTGTAAAGCAAACACAGCCCTATAGAAAGCCCCATCATATGTTGTCCTAGGTATTAGACACATGTACTCCTCCATACTGTCCCATTGTCCTGTATTCATACAAAGATGTTAGTCAAATAATACCATGAAAAGATATCTATTTTGTATTTAAGATCTTTGAGAAATTCCATGAATATAATTAGAAAAGGACAAATACATTTTTATTCATAAAATAAGGACATTTCTCAAATCAATAAAATTAAAGCATCAAATTTGTATCTCAAATCAAAATATAATAAATATTTTTTTAGCATTCTTATGATAATAATAATTTATCTTTTTACTCACCAAGTCCCCATGCAGCAGCAGATGCCATTCTTGCCATGTTTGTTCTTTCTGAATCACTGCATGTTGGCCATTTCTCACAGGCTATCTGGTGCAACTGTCCCCTAAAATATACCAAAAATATATTTATCTGAATTGCACTGGAATTTATTTCTTTTTTTTTTCTCCATTCCATAGGTTAAGTTTTTATTAACAGCAGGTCTTGAAAAAATGTGGATAAAATTTTTGCTGTAAAAAGATACCAAATCATGTCTCAACTACTGTAAATTCAGAAATTATTGCACAGTTTCTATTATTGAGAATAGATTGACTGGGTGAGTATGGCAATAATAAGAACTCACATTCTGATATCTGATACAGATTTTTATGAAATCGCATTAATTAATATTGAATTTTTGTCCATTCTTTAAAAATCACAACAATAAAAGTTCGCAATAATTTCTGAATTTACAGTATTTTAAAGCTCTTCCCATGACCACCTTTACTTCTTTTGCAACAGTAAGGATATGATAGATTTGCTGTACCAATTAAACGTTAACTTACCATTCAGCCAGAGCTTCTAAGCATCTCATCCTCCCTAATGTCAGATTGGTTTCATCAGGATTTTTCTCCTTCAGTTTACTCTCATATGCTGCCAAAGCTTTGTTCCATTCATGTAACTTCTCATACCATCCCTCTTGTACTTTCTGTTATTAACCAGAAAGAACAATATCAACAATAGCATGTTATTAAAAAAATAAATGGGGAATGTGTCCATGAGACACAGATGATGCCCCCGCTTGCATATCATATAAAGTTATAAAGGGACATAACTGAAGAAAGGTAAAAGTGACGCTACCCAAATTTGGTATTGATTTGAGTTTTGTAGTAATAAGTATTGTGTATACGTTTCATAACATTTGGTTGAGGCAAATTTAAGTTTGAGAACAGAAACAAAAAATTTAGCATTTTTTCCTTTTGAAAAGGGGAATAACTCTAGAACAGTAAAAGTGACACCACCAAAAATCAAACTTGATCTGTATTTTGTGGTAATAAGCATTGTGTATAATTTTCATAACATTCAATTGAGGCAAACTTAAGTTAGAGAACGGAAACGAAAAATTCAGCAATTTTTCCTTTTGTAAAGGGGCATAACTCTAAAACGGTTTAAGTGACACCACCAAAATTCAAACTTGATCTGTATTATGTGGTAATAAGCATTGTGTATAAGTTGCATAACATTTGGTTGAGGTAAACTAAAGTTAGAGAACAGAAACGAAAAATTAAGCAATTTTTATGTTTATAAAGGGGAATAACTCAAGAACGGTATAAGAGACGCCACCCATTTTCTAACTCGATCTGTGTCTTGTGGTAATCAGCATTGTGTATAAGTTTCATAACATTTGGTTGAGGCAAACTAAAGTTAGAGAACGGAAACGAAAAATTCAGCAATTTTTCCATTTTTAAAGGGGCATAACTCTACAACGGTTTGATAACATTTGGTTGAGGCAAACTAAAGTTAGAAAACGGAAACCAGCTTTAGGACTTGCGTATGGTACGGACATACAGACAGACAAGGGTAAAACTTAATGCTCCCTCCGCTGCAGCGGGGGCATAAAAAAGATCTAAGGAAAAATACGCAAAATAGTGAAAATTAATGAATAAAGTCGCTAAATAAAATTACAGGTAGCACCTTCCAGGATTAATCAATTCATTTAGGTTTCTAGGTTGAATAATCAGAAATGTTCATTAGTGAAAACTGCACCCTTGCCATAAGAACTGCTTTATCTCTACCATACTACTAAAGAATCTTGTTATTTGACTCCCAAAGCTTCATATTTGGCCAAATCTTGACTGGGATTTACTTTTACCAAATTTGTGGAGAATAATGTTTCCAAAAGTTGCCAGTTATCTGTAAATCTATAATAAATTTGTTAATTTTGTCACTTTTAAATAGAATGATTATAATTACCAAATCTGTTCTATGATGTTTCATAGCATACTCCAAAACACCAGAGGCTGATTCAGACTGTTGTAACTTGTTGTTGATACTGCAATGATAGTGAGTATAGATAATTGACATTGTAAAATATTCGCTGCAAGCCACAATGTGAACCTTTTTGTGAGTCATTGTAGCAAACTTGCAAATAGCTTCACATTGTGTTGAACATCTGAAATTTTACGATACTGTAAATTCAGAAATTATTGTGTGCATTTAGTATTGCAATTTTTGATGAAAAGACAAAAACGTGATGTTAACTATTGTGATTACAGGAAAATCTGCATACTGATATATGTATCTTATATCAGAATGCAAGTTCTTATTATTGCAATACTCACCCAGTCGCATTATTCGCATTAAAAAAAAATTGCAATAATTCTGAATTTACAGTATCTATACGCAGAAAACCCAATTATGAATGTCATTCCCTGAAATTTTAATGCATGGATTTGCATTGGATGGATAAAAATGCTCGATGGCATGACATAAGGATTTAATTTGTGAAATACTCATTTAAAGGATTCTGTGGAACCCTATGTCTAGCCTGCCATTGCTGTAAAAGTGCCAAAAAGTGAGTCCATCATTAAGCGAAATATGGAAAAACAAGAAAAAATCAAACTTTTTTCTTCAGATGTATTTTTTTTATCATGAACAAGCTTCTGTCCAAGTTTCGTAACATATAACATTCTGTGAAGGTATAAAAAAGTTATTGATTCCTAAAACAAGAGTGCACACGCTGAAATGTCTCGCCTTCTTTATTAATCATTGATATTATGTTGATAGTCCTAAATATAAAGCTTTATTACAACTGTCACATAAACTTAACATTAACCAAAAAACTAAACATTGACCAATGAACCATGAAAATGAGGTCAAGGTCTGATGAACCATGCCATGCAGACATGTACAGCTAATAATTCTTCCATACAACAAATATAGTTGACCTATTGCTTATAGTTTAAGAAAAACAGACCACAACACAAAAACTTAACACTGAGCAATGAACCGTAAAAATGAGGTCAAGGTCAAATAAAACCTGTGCGACCGACATATAGATCATAAAATATTTCCATATACCAAATATAGTTGACCTATTGCATATAGTATTAGAAAAAAAGACCAAAACTCAAAAACTTAACTTTGACCACTGAACCATGAAAATGAGGTCAAGGTCAGATGAAACCTGCCAGCTAGACATGTACACCTTACAATCATTCAATACACCAAATATAGTAGACCTATTGCATACAGTATAAGAAAAACAGACCAAAAGACAAAAACTTAACTGTAACCACTGAACCATGAAAATGGGGTCAAGGTCAGATGACACCTGCCAGTTGGACATGTACACCTTACAGTCCTTCCATACACTGAATATACAAGACCTATTGCTTATAGTATCTGAGATATGGACTTGACCACCAAAACTTAACCTTGTTCACTGATCCATGAAATGAGGTCGAGGTCAAGTGAAAACTGTCTGACGGGCATGAGGACCTTGTAAGGTACGCACATACCAAATATAGTTATCCTATTACTTATAATAAGAGAGAATTAAACGTTACAAAAAATCTGAACTTTTTTTTCAAGTAGTCACTGAACCATGAAAATGAGGTCAAGGACATTGGACATGTGACTGACGGAAACTTCGTAACATGAGGCATCTATATACAAAGTATGAAGCATCCAGGTCTTCTAGCTTCTAAAATATAAAGCTTTTAAAAAGTTAGCTAACGCCGCCGCCGCCAGATCACTATCCCTATGTCGAGCTTTCTGCGACAAAAGTCGCAGGCTCGACAAAAATTATCCCCAGCATGTAAGAAATTGACAACATAAAAAATCTATAAATTACTTACTTGATAAGCCAGCATCAACATTTAAGTCTTTTTTTAACATTACCACAACAATGATTACCAAGTGCTGACAATAGACGTATTTACACTTGTATGCAAATTTGTCTGCCATTACATAAAATCACAAAAATTAAAAAAAATTTGACGTCACAAATAAAAAGTGATTGTTGCTTGACGTTTGAAGGTTATTCGGAGCAGATCTAAGGTCATTTGGAGACAAAATTTAGCTAAATACCAAAAGTGTAAATACGTTTATAGGGAGCCTCACCTTATTAGTGCTTCAAGTGTTTCTGTTGTTGGCCCTCTGTTAAATTCTTCCTCTTTATAATGCAAAGCTTTAGCGTAGGCCCTACAGATCATAGCTCTCTGTCCGAGCAGGGAAGAGTCTAGTGGTAGAGGACCCTGAAGAGATCATCAAAATACTGTTGAGATATTTATTTAAAAAATATTCAAACTATAATTTTTGCGAAGTCTTTCAAAATACAATATACATTTGCAAATACATTTCATATCAATAATGTAAATTCAGAAATAATTGCGTGCATTTATTATTGTGATTTTTAAAAAATGGACAAGAATGAGAGTTTAATTATTGCGATTTCAGAAAAATCTACATACAGATCTATGTTTAAGATATCAAAGTGTGAGTTCATATTATTGCGATACTCACCTATTCGCATTAATAAAAACCTTGCAATAATTTCTGAATTTACAGTACATGATTTTGTGGTTTTTGAAACTTCTGCATATAAGACCATAAGATATTTGTATTTCGTTGAACATTTCAATTGGTAGTTAACCTTTACCCACGAAAATAAGTACACCATGAATAATAATGAATTCACAGTAAAGAAGCAAAAACACTGTACGTAAATCAATGTTCTTAGTAATTATTCAAGTTTTGTTTAATTTTTTTCTCTTCAATACCTTGTCACAATGTTCCATAAACTCTGCCAGGTTGAGTAGGGTCTGCGTTATCTCAGGGATTTCCTCTGATTTAAGAGCTTGTTCTAAGTTTTGGATCAACTCGTCCTGTTGAGATTCTGTCAATTCTGTCCAGCAGGATACAAAAGCTGCATTGAACAGGTCTCTGAAATGTTAATTTTTATCCATTTAATAAACAAGAGTGCACACGCTGAAATGTCTCGCCTTCTTTACTAATCATTGATATTATGTTGATAGTCCTAAATATAAAGCTTTATTACAACTGTCACATAAACTTAACATTAACCAAGTAAACTAAACATTGACCAATGAACCATGAAAATGAGGTCAAGGTCAGATGAACCATGCTAGGCAGGCATGTACATCTAACAATTCTTCCATACAACAAATATAGTTGACCTATTGCTTATAGTTTAAGAAAAACAGACCAAAACACAAAAACTTAACACTGAGCAATGAACCTTGAAAATGAGGTCAAGGTCAAATAAAACCTGCGTGACTGACATATAGATCATAAAATATTTCCATACACCAAATATAGTTGAACTATTGCATATAGTATTAGAAAAAAAGACCAAAACTCAAAAACTTAACTTTGACCACTGAACCATGAAAATGAGGTCAAGGTAAGATGACACCTGCCAGCTAGACATGTACACCTTACAATCATTCCATACACCAAATATAGCTGACCTATTGCATGCAGTATTAGAAAAAAAGACCAAAACTCAAAAACTAAACTTTGACCACTGAACCATGAAAATGAGGTCAAGGTCAGATGACACCTGCCAGCTAGACATGTACACCTTACAATCATTCCATACACCAAATATAGTAGACCTATTGCATACAGTATAAGAAAAACAGACCAAATCACAAAAACTTAACTATAACCACTGAACCATGAAAATGAGGTCAAGGTCAGATGACACCTGCCAGTTGGACATGTACACCTTACAGTCCTTCCATACACCGAATATACTAGACCTATTGCTTATAGTATCTGAGATATGGACTTGACCACGAAAACTTAACCTTGTTCACTGATCCATGAAATGAGGTCGAGGTCAAGTGAAAACTGTCTGACGGGCATGAGGACCTTGCAAGGTACGCACATACCAAATATAGTTATCCTATTACTTATAATAAGAGAGAATTTAACATTACAAAAAATCTGAACTTTTTTTTCAAGTAGTCACTGAACCATGAAAATGAGGTCAAGGACATTGGACATGTGACTGACGGAAACTTCGTAACATGAGGCATCCATATACAAAGTATGAAGCATCCAGGTCTTCCATCTTCTAAAATATAAAGCTTTTAAGAAGTTAGCTAACGCCGCCGCCGCCGCCGTAGCCGCCGCCGCCGCCGCCGGATCGCTATCCCTATGTCGAGCTTTCTGCGACAAAAGTCGCAGGCTCGACAAAAAATGAACTGTTGACATAGAGATGTCTCTTTTGTCGGTAGGGCCTCAAAATAGTCATCAAACTGATATGTACTGATAGTAATGCAACTTTATAAAAAATATCATTTATCTACCACAAGTAGTTCCTATCAAACTGACGTAAGCAGAAAATTTAACAATTGTTGCAAAAGCCCCCAAAAAGTAACACCTATGTCTCGCCTTCCATGACTTTCATCACAGGATAATTGATAAACTTTCAATTCTTTCTATAAAGATATAAAGTCAAACAAGGTCAAATTATTCTCAACCATTTCCTGACGAAAACATTTCAACAAAACATTACTGTTTTATAATTTAGAAATTAATGCACAATAGAATTTCAATAAAAATTTAAATGCAAAATAGTCTATATGTAGGTTATATTACAGTTCACAACTTCTATTTGAACTTTCAATTATATTACCAGTGCATCAATGCCAAAGTATCACATTTAATTTCCAACAGGGGAGACACCATTGGTTGTTGATTAAGTGAAAGAACTATCACCTACTTGGCTAGAAGACTGAATATTTGAGGTAACACACAAATATATCTCATTAGCTGGCTAGTAGGTTGTATGTCTGAGCTAACACCAAAATATCACCTACCTAGCTAGAGGGTTGTATGTCTGAGCTAATGCCCAGCACGACCTGAGGGCTGGTGATGGGGACTCTTTCAATAACTCTATACTAAGTCGTCTAATCCATTCCATCCAATCTTCTTTATTCTCACGTCTACCAGAACTCAAAGCCTTCAAAATACAGACTAATATTGTATTTGAAACACAAATTTACCCTATAGCTAGGATTACTTGTCAGCATAATTTACCATTTTGATCATCATGACTTTTTCAAGTTTACAATTTATAGAAGTAAGCACTGTCCACTTTAATATTAAAAGTATGCAGTACCTAGGAGAGACCCTTCCATACATGAGCAATTGTATCAATTTTGCGTACATTTTGGTTCAGAACAGTATTTTCAGGCACATCAAATGGTAAAATATCTGTTGATCCTAGCTAGAAGACATTTAAAAGAGTGATTAAATAATGCTGCATTTTTTTAAGTGTAGAATGCAATTTGTAACATAATTTGATTTCTCAGTGGTAGAATTGAAAAGACTATATGAAGTCAAATGCCTGCTTATTCGTTATACCCTACCACATTTTCATATGCCTGTCCTAATGACACCTTGTCAGTGGTTGTCTTTAGTTATATCCTTATATTCTTCGTTATGTAGAGAATTTGGTTTTGATGACAGATCTTTGTTAGTCTCTATCAAATTTATTTACAACTTTTCTAGACTCTGGAAGATTTAGAACAGGACATTTGGTATAAACACTATTATTTATGTTGTATGTTGACCTCTAGACATTGTTTACTCTCTTTTGTCATTAGGTTGCTGTACCATAAATGTATATTCCAAAATTCCTTTCATTCATATGTTTTCTGTTCTTACCTTCTGTAAGTTAGGGAAGCTAACTGGCAATTTTTTACTTATAATTGTATCTGTACCAGTACTTGAAGCTTCTGTTATCTTTTTACGATCTTTACGATGTTTCATCAATATGGGATCATCTTCTTCTTCTGCAATTGTTGAGCTCTAAAAAAATAAATAAAATTGAATAGAAAACTTCAGGGTATTGTTAAGGACTCTTTTTTGGTTCGTAAATAAAAAATTTTAGAACAAATAATCAATACAGTTATAAATAAGCCACTCTCAAGTGAATTTTGCAGATGTCTAAAACTTTTTATGTTTTTATTTTTGTTTGCTTTGTGCTAAAAATTCTCCTCCATTTGTTTTTGATTTTTTCTTTCTTTCTCTTTATGTTTTCATTATGTTTTTTTAATATTCAAATCAATTATGTAGGATTACAACTGCAGATCACTGATGCCATAACTTCAACGTCCTTTGCAATCAAGAGGTACTGCTGATACAGATGTATGATAACATAAAAAACATCCATGCTGGTTTTTTATTTGTCTCTAGTTTCTATACTAACATAGTTCCTGCTGTTTCCTCAAGTGGTGAATTTTTAAAGAAATGGGTCCTTTATTTTTATATAAAACATTTGAAAGTAATATCTTTAATATATGCAGAAGCATTTGGCATTTATTTTGAACAAGCTATTGTGTGTAAAAAAATGGCCTTTTATTGCTTACTATATGGCCTAGATTTTGCTCCTTGTTGAATGATGTACAGTCCCCTTTAGATGCTTACATTCACATCCTTTCGTCTCTGGTGAATACTGTGGATTCATTTATATTCGTGGGTACCAATTTTCGTGGATTGAGGAAAACTTGCATATTGGTGGATATTTAAATTCGTGGTTTTGGCAAAGTCTGCATGCATTCCTAAAGAAAATTTGTAATTCGTTGAACATTTAAATTCGTGGTTCCCCTGTACCCACGAAATCCACGAATATTAATGAATCCACAGTAGTTGTCTCATTAGCAATCATACCACATCTCTTAATTTTTATAAAATAAACATACTGAAACTGGGTATCAAAAGGTTGCATGGGCATTCAGAGCATCTATATGATGTGAGTACTTAAAATTGCAGATCAATTGTCATCTATCTCATATCCATTTTGAAAATCATATTCTAAATTCTAATAAACAGGGGCAGACAATAGACATAATTACACTTGTATGCAAATTTGTCTGCCATTACTTAAATCCACACAAGTTCCCTCAAACTATTGCATCACAATTTAAAACATATGACCAAAGATTAAATACGTCTATTATACTGACTTTCAATATCCTGCTGACAAGTACAGTGTATTTCTGATGCTGTATTTTCTGCCGGGTCATTACTTTTGTAACCATGGGGATAAAAATGGAGTACTTTTGACCTAGTTGCATTACTAATGAGCACATAACATCCATGGTTGTATTCTGAAGGTCTGGAACAGAGTCTAACGTTCTCACTAACGGGTGGATAATTCTAGAAGCATAGTCTGTTAAGTCTAATGTATCTGAAAATCTGTCTATTGTTTCCAACGCAGCCCTACAATATACAGTTTCAAAATAATTTTTCTTCCATTTTAGGTAAAGTATACATAATTGGGTGGAATTCTAAATTTTTATGAAATTTTTATGCATTTAGAAACTGTTGAACTGCATCTGAATTTAAAAGAAAGATGTATGTAGAATTTACACTTCCCGAGATACAATTTAAAATTTGTGAAATAGATTAATAGATGTATAGAATGCACATAAAAAGTGCAATAAAGAAGAACATTAGTTTTTTTGATGATATATAGTTTTAAGGGTTATATAATTTTTTTTTTTTTAAGTACATGAGCTGAATTTGATTTCAATTTTCCAAATTGGATAATTTTAACTCTACTTTAAATGCTGGTAGTGTATTAAATATTTCAAATACTTTTAAGTTAATTATAAAATCTTACAAAGAAAACAGAACATACCTTCTTACAGCTAGTGGAATATCATGAGAATCAAATAACTTAACAACTGGTGGCAGCAATAGGTGGAGGTAGTCATCTAGATTAGCACCAAACAACTGAAGACATTTCAATAGCTGTAAATACAAATATAAATAACTTAATAGGGGGAGGTAGTCATTTAGAATAGCAGACATTTCAATAGCTGCAAATACAAATAACTTAACAAGCAATGATTGTAACAGGATGCTGTTACGAAGTCTCCCAAACGAAGCTCCCATAATTCGTAATTCCCAGGGTCGCCTGACATTGGGCAACGTCCAGTGAAAATTGGTTTGGTCCAGTAAAGCTATATGCATTAGTGATGCCTGGGGACTAACCTTGTATATCATTCAAATCATCTTGGCATGACAAACCAGAATATATATGGTTTAGGGGTGGGGATCTCAACCATTTACAAGATACTAGAATATTGGGGGTGGGGAGGAACCCCTGAGGACTGGCCCTCTACGTCATTCAAATGTTCATTACATGACGAACAGGAATATATATGGTTTAGGGGTGGCGATCTCAACCATTTACAAGATATTAGAACATTGGGGGTGGGGGGAACCCCTGGGGACTGACCGTATACGTCATTCAAATGTTCGAGACATGACAAATAGGAATATATATGGTTTAGGGGTGGGGATCTCAACCATTTACAAGATATTAGAACTTTCTCAAATGGCAGGGGGTCGGGATGACCCTGGGGACTAACCCTGTCTATCATTCAAACCATCTTTGCATGACAAACCAGAATATATATGGTTTAGGGGTGGGGATCTTGACCACTTAGAAGATATTAGAACTTTCTTAAATGGCAGGGGGTGGGGGTGAGCCCTGGAGACTAACCCTGTATTTCATTTGATGTGCTTTATCATGACAAACCAGAATATATATGGTTTAGGGGTGGGGATCTCGACCATTTACAAGATATTAGAACTTTCTCAAATGGCAAGGGGTGGGGGTGACCGCTGGGGACTAACCCTGTATAACATTTGATGTGCTTTATCATGACAAACCAGAATATATATGGTTTAGGGTAGGGATCTCGACCATTTACAAGATATTAGAACTTTCTCAAATGGCAGGGGGTCGGGATGACCCCTGGGGACTTGCCCTGTATATCATTCAAACCATCTCAGCATGACAAACCAGAATATATATGGTTTAGGGGTGGGGATCTTGACCACTTAGAAGATATTAGAACTTTCTTAAATGGCAGGGGGAGGGGGTGACCCCTGGAGACTAACCTTGTATTTCATTTGATGTGCTTTATCATGACAAACCAGAATATATATATGGTTTAGGGGTGGGGATCTCGACCATTTACAAGATATCAGAACTTTCTCAAATGGCAAGGGGTGGGGGTGAACGCTGGGGACTAACCCTGTATAATATTTGATGTGCTTTATCATGACAAACCAGAATATATATGGTCTAGGGGTGGGGATCTCGACCATTTACAAGATATTAGAACTTTCTCAAATGGCAGGGGGTCGGGATGACCCCTGGGGACTTACCCTGTATATCATTCAAACCATCTCAGCATGACAAACCAGAATATATATGGTTTAGGGGTGGGGATCTTGACCACTTACAAGATATTAGAACTTTCTTAAATGGCAGGGGTTGGGGGTGACCCCTGGGGACTTACCCTGTATAACATTTGATGTGCTTTATCATGACAAACCAGAATATATATGGTTTAGGGGTGGGGAGCTCGACCATTTACAAGATATTAGAACTTTCTTAAATGGCAGGGGGTGGGGGTGACCCCTGGAGACTAACCCTGTATTTCATTTGATGTGCTTTATCATGAAAAACCAGAATATATATGGTTTAGGGGTGGGGATCTCGACCATTTACAAGATATTAGAACTTTCTCAAATGGCAGGGGGTCGGGATGACCCCTGGGGACTTACCCTGTATATCATTCAAACCATCTCAGCATGACAAACCAGAATATATATGGTTTAGGGGTGGGAATCTTGACCACTTACAAGATATTAGAACTTTCTTAAATGGCAGGGGGTGGGGGTGACCCCTGGGGACTTACCCTGTATAACATTTGATGTGCTTTATCATGACAAACCAGAATATATATGGTTTAGGGGTGGGGATCTCGACCATTTACAAGATATTAGAACTTTCTTAAATGGCAGGGGGTGGGGGTGACCCCTGGAGACTAACCCTGTATTTCATTTGATGTGCTTTATCATGACAAACCAGAATATATATGGTTTAGGGGTGGGGATATTGACCATTTACAAGATATTAGAACTTTCTCAAATGGCAGGGGATCGGGATGACCCCTGGGGACTTACCCTGTATATCATTCAAACCATCTCAGCATGACAAACCAGAATATATATGGTTTAGGGGTGGGGATCTTGACCACTTAGAAGATATTAGAACTTTCTTAAATGGCAGGGGGTGGGGGTGACCCCTGGGGACTTACCCTGTATAACATTTGATGTGCTTTATCATGACAAACCAGAATATATATGGTTTAGGGGTGGGGATCTCGACCATTTACAAGATATTAGAACTTTCTAAAATGGCAGGGGGTCAGGATGACCCCTGGGGACTAACCCTGTATATCATTCAAACCATCTTAGCATAACAAACCAGAATATATATGGTTTAGGGGTGGGGATCTTGACCACTTTCAAGATATTAGAACTTTCTTAAATGGCAGGGGGTGGGGTAACCCCTGGGGACTAACCCTGTATTTCATTTGATGTGCTATCATGACAAACCAGAATATATATGGTTTAGGGGTGGGGATCTCAACCATTTACAAGATATTAGAACTTTCTCAAATGGCAGGGGATCGGGATGACCCCTGGGGACTAACCCTGTATATCATTCAAACCATCTTAGCATGACAAACCAGAATATATATGGTTTAGGGGTGGGGATCTTGACAACTTAGAAGATATTAGAACGTTCTTAAATGGCAGGGGGTGGGGTGACCCCTTGGGACTAACCCTGTATTACATTTGATGTGCTTTATCATGACAAACCAGAATATATATGGTTTAGGGGTGGGGATCTCGACCATTTACAAGATATTAGAACTTTCTCAAATGACAGGGGGTGGGGATGACCCCTGGGGACTTACCCTGTATATCATTCAAACCATCTTAGCATGACAAACCAGAATATATATGGTTTAGGGGTGGGGATCTTGACCACTTACAAGGTATTAGAACTTTCTTAAATGGCAGGGGGTGGGGGTGACCCCTGGGGACTAACCCTGTATTTCATTTAATGGGCTTTATCATTTAGAACATTTTCAATTAAAAAGTTTGTGTCTATCACGAACGGTTTTCAATTTATAATCATTTGAAAATTTTAAAAAATAAAATCCCATAGGGTTCTATTGTAAAACCCTCTTTTCTTTTTGCCCCTCAAAGTACCCCTTTATAAACACCATTGCAAAAACAAAACCCTGATTGCACCACTAGACATGTTAGTCTAACATATTGTGAAACCCTAAGTTAATCCGACAAGCGGTTTTGGAGAATGGGTGCGGACAAGTTCAAATTTAAAAGCGGCGGAAGAAGAAGAAGAAGAAGAAGAATAATAAGAACTGAGCAAAAACAATAAGTCTTCCCAAACTTCGTTTGGGGGACTTAATAACTCGTAGTCATCTTATATAGAATCAAACAACTGAAGGCATTTCAATAGCTACAAATACAAATACAAAATACTGAACTACTTCATCCAGCTTTCAAGAAAAAAACAAGTGAAACTGCGAGCTACTGCTCACTGATGATACCCCGCCCAAATACTTGACGGTAAACAGGAAGTTGTTGAGTGATGAATCTGAAAACGCATCACACTGTATAGCTGACTTATATAAAACCTGAAACCAAATTTCAGAAATCTTTGTAATGTAGTTCCTGAGAAAAATGTGACGAAAATTTTCAACTTGGATGTCATGTGTAAAATGATGGTATAAACTCTGAAACCAAATTTCAGAAATCCCAGATTGTAGTTCCAGAGAAAGATGTGACGAAAAATTTTCATGGGATGGACTAACGGACTGACGGATGGACAGACAGACAGACAGACAGACAGACAGAGGTAAAACAGTATACCCCCACTTTTTTAAAGCGGGGGTATAAAAATATATATAGGCTAAAACAAAATTGATGGTTGCATGCTTGGGTCCTTTATATTGTGTTTATAATGTTTATCAATGATTTGTCAATTTTTACTTGAAAATCAACTTCTTTCAATGAAATGTTGGTGACAAAGGCATAAATTGATTGTTTTACATGTACCTGCAAAACAGAGCACTTTGGGTGAGATTTCCAAATTAAAAGAAAATAATACTGGGAGGCTTTTATCTTATCCTTGGAGTGGACACCTATTCTAGGCGCTACATCTTACTATATATGACATAATTTGGACATGTGGAGCAGGATCTGCTTACCCTTCCAGAACACATGAGATCATCCCCAGGTTTTTGGTGGGGTTAGTGTTACCATTGCTCAGTCCTTAGGTTTTTATGTAGTGTTTTTTTATAGAATGCTGCTTGTCTTTTCATACATTTTCATTTTTTTTGTCATTATTTTGTCCGTCTCTTAAGTTTCTTTTTTACCATGAACTTTTTACCTTATCTGTTACAACTCTATTTTGACTAGCATCATGCATGAACACTTTAAGTATCTGTGGCACAATCTGTGGTAGATATATTTTGAATTCCGTCCCCAGTGCAGACACTATCTGTTCTACCAATAAAATGATGGTGCTCTGCATCTGACTGTTAGGGGTCCAGTAATCCTAAAATTATACAAAACAAGAGGTACATAAAACATAATGATGTCTTCATACTAGACTCTGTCATACATAGTAAATATGCTGGAAGCTGATCATTTTCTGAATACTAAAATTAAGAATGGAAATGGGGAATGTGTCAAAGAGACAACAACCCGACCATAGAGCAGACAACAGCCAATTGCTTGCAATTACTGAAATACAAATGTACATGCAACATATTTTTCAAATATGTATAAAAAATTATTATAATCCTCAATCTATGCTGTCTGCCTAATTTGTTTTTCCGTTGTTGCTTGCACAATAAATCAGGCATGGGTTTTTTCTCATTGTTAAAGGCTGTACCATACCATCTAGTAGTTTACATCCTATCCTTCAGGCTATGGTGAATATTTGTCTTATTGGCAATAAATACCACATATTCTTATTTCTATCATCTCAGAAAGTAAAAAAAAAACTAAGAAGTACATTAGATATAAACAAACATACAAATTAAAAACTCTAAAAAGTTGTTTGTAAATGAAGAGAAAGAAGCCTGCAGAAATCAACTATCAGTGTGTACAGTTGCCTTGCTATACCTGATGAGATAAAATGCTCCGCTGGGGCGCAGCTTGATACGACCGCAGAGGTCGAACCCTGAACAGTTGGGGCAAGTATGGACACAACATTCAAGCTTGATACAGCACTGAATTTGGATTGTAATTAAATATTTGACACAGCATAGGTTTCTGACACAGAATAAATGTGGTCTAAGAACTTAAAAATTTTTAATTTATCTATTCAAACCATATCATTATTATTTGCTTTTATATATAAATCAGAAATAACCAATTTAAAATGGAAAATTTTAAAGAAAAAAAGGAAAAAAAAATCCCCCCCCAAAAATTTTTTTTTAACCCCCTTATGATTCATCACCCCCAAACTCAATCCCAGCCTTCCCTTTGTGGTATGGTACCTTGCAGTAAACATACATGTGATGGACTGTGAAACTAAGATCAGGAGTTTTGGAGATTAGGACTCAGATCAGGATGTTTTTAAGTGACATAAATTCTGTCGTAAATGTAACCGTGTGCTGTAGAAATTGTCTGTTAAAGTGTGTTTTCTTCAACTTTCCATCCAAATGTATTATGTTTATAGTACCTTTGTACTTATAAATTTTCTCTATCTTTTTAAACTTTCAACTTGTTCAATCTAACATTCTTCTTTTTCAGTATGTTCTTTAAATTTTTTAGGTCATATCTTTTTTACAATTATTCATTGCAATCAGAACATTTGCTTATCTATCTGCAATAGATCTTTTATTTTTATCTTTATACAAGTAGATTTTTAATGCATGATAAGTAACACATTCAACCTGTAACAAATGGAAGTTTTTAACGACCTTGACTGGCTATACAGCCCTTGCACGGTCGGCCCTGGCTTGCGCCTTTTTGGGCATTAAATAATTTAATTTTTACCATATGGTAATTGATATAATTTAGAATGACAAAAAAATTATTAAAAAATAATATAGAGTAAAAATTTTAATAACTAAATGAACAAGAAATGATTGTAACAGGATGCTGTTACGAAGTCTCCCAAACGAAGCTCCCATAATTCGTAATTCCCAGGGTCGCCTGACATTGGGCAACGTCCAGTGAAAATTGGTTTGGTCCAGTAAAGTTATATGCATTAGTGATGCCTGGGGACTAACCTTGTATATCATTCAAATCATCTTGGCATGACAAACCAGAATATATATGTTTTAGGGGTGGGGATCTCGACCATTTACAAGATACTAGAACATTGGGGGTGGGGAGGAACCCCTGGGGACTGGCCCTATACGTCATTCAAATGTTTATTACATGACGAACAGGAATATATATGGTTTAGGGGTGGGGATCTCAACCATTTACAAGATATTAAAACATTGGGGGTGGGGGGAACCCCTGGGGACTGACCGTATACGTCATTCAAATGTTCGAGACATGACAAATAGGAATATATATGGTTTAGGGGTGGGGATCTCAACCATTTAAAAGATATTAGAACTTTCTCAAATGGCAGGGGGTCGGGATGACCCCTGGGGACTTACCCTGTATATCATTCAAACCATCTTCGCATGACAAACCAGAATATATATGGTTTAGGGGTGGGGATCTTGACCACTTACAAGATATTAGAACTTTCTTAAATGCCAGGGGGTGGGGGTGACCCCTGGGGACTAACCCTGTATTTCATTTGATGTGCTTTATCATGACAAACCAGAATATATATATGGTTTAGGGGTGGGGATCTCGACCATTTACAAGATATTAGAACTTTCTCAAATGGCAGGGGGTCGGGATGACCCCTGGGGACTAACCCTGTATATCATTCAAACCATCTTAGCATGACAAACCAGAATATATATGGTTTAGGGGTGGGGATCTTGACCACTTACAAGATATTAAAACTTTCTTAAATGGCAAGGGGTGGGGGTGACCCCTGGGGACTAACCCTGTATTTCATTTGATGTGCTTTATCATGACAAACCAGAATATATATGGTTTAGGGGTGGGGATCTCGACCATTTACAAGATATTAGAAACTTTCTCAAATGGCAGGGGGTCGGGATGACCCCTGGGGACTAACCCTGTATATCATTCAAACCATCTTAGCATGACAAACCAGAATATATATGGTTAAGGGGTGGGGATCTTGACCACTTACAAGATATTAGAACTTTCTTAAATGGCAGGGGGTGGGGGTGACCCCTGGGGACTAACCCTGTATAACATTTGATGTGCTTTATCATGACAAACCAGAATATATATGGTTTAGGGGTGGGGATCTCGACCATTTACAAGATATTAGAACTTTCTCAAATGGCAGGGGGTCGGGATGACCCCTGGGGACTAACCCTGTATATCATTCAAACCATCTTAGCATGAAAAACCAGAATATATATGGTTTAGGGGTGGGGATCTTGACCACTTACAAGATATTAGAACTTTCTTAAATGGCAGGGGGTGGGGGTGACCCCTGGGGACTAACCCTGTATTACATTTGATGTGCTTTATCATGATAAACCAGAATATATATGGTTTAGGGGTGGGGATCTCGACCATTTACAAGATATAAGAACTTTCTCAAATGGCAGGGGGTCGGGATGACCCCTGGGGACTAACCCTGTATATCATTCAAACCATCTTAGCATGACAAACCAGAATATATATGGTTTAGGGGTGGGGATCTTTACCACTTACAAGGTATTAGAACTTTCTTAAATGGCAGGGGGTGGGGTGACCCCTGGGGACTAACCCTGTATTTCATTTAATGGGCTTTATCATTTAGAACATTTTCAATTAAAAAGATTGTGTCTATCACAAATGGTTTTCAATTTATAATCATTTGAAAATTTAAAAAAATAAAATCCCATAGGGTTCTATAGTAAAACCCTCTTTTCTTTTTGCCCCTCAAAGTACCCCTTTATTAACCCCATTGCACAAACAAAACCCTGATTGCACCACTAGACATGTTAGTCTAACATATTGTGAAACCCTAAGTTAATCTGACAAGCGGTTTTGGAGAACGGGTGCGGACAAGTTCAAATTTAAAAGTGGCGGAAGAAGAAGAAGAAGAAGAAGAAGAAGAAGAAGAAGAAGAAGAAGAAGAAGAAGAAGAAGAAGAAGAAGAATAATAATAAGAACTGAGCAAAAACAATAAGTCTTCCCAAACTTCGTTTGGGAGACTTAATAAATAAATTGATGAATAAGTTAATAAATAAAGAAAAGAAAAGAATATAAAAATAAATAAAATAAACTAATATAAAAATGGAAACATAAAATAAAATAAAAATAAATAAAAAAATATATACGTAAAAATAAATAATTAATAAATACGGAGCCACCAGAAGTAGAAACAGGAGGAAAGCTAGGCCAAGCAAACAGCAGTGAACGGCAGCAACGTTGTCCTGGTACACCAGCAGCCAAGTAAAGAGCGGAAAATTTTGATATGCCAAATTGTGTATGTGAATTTATTTGCCAAATATTTTGTATAAACCGAAAGATGCCATTTGTGTATGCGAGTTTTGCAAAAATAATTAGTAAGATGTTTTGTATGTACTATATAGATTTGACTTGCGGCTTAATGATATGGAAAATTTATATAAGGACCAACAGTAGACACAGTAATTATATAAATTTCAATTTAAGCCTTGAAAGGAAGTATAGAACCCTCAAATAATTTTCAAATTATTATTTTTTTATTTGTCCTAAAACATTTAAAATCATTTAATTACCATCCTTTTATGATTATTTGTTCAATTTATATTTTATTTATATTCTTTTAAAAATTTACATTATTTAAAGGAAAGTAACTTAAAACAGGATAAATCAAGGGAAGTAACCCAACATTCATTTTAAATAAAACAAGTTTTATTGCACAACGGCAGTTAGCCTGAGGTAAAAATCGTTTATTACCAGTATGTTTGACACCCAAGGTGACAAGTGAGGCCATATAACTATGCATGTTAATTGATTTACAGGTAAAATATAACTTCAGTAATGTCAGTTACACCAGATATGTTGGGCTGAAATTTTTCATTCATTCATGAATATTTCATACACGGGATTTGTTTGTCTTCAATGGGAGGTCGGGAGGAGACCCCTGAAAACGGGATTATTGTACTTCCGTCAGGAGGTTCACATGTATGAACTGTACAATTTCAGAGAGATCCATACACTTGAACACAAGTAATTGTCTGGAAACAAGAAAAATGCTTGTTTTTTGGCCCCAAATTCCTAAACATTTAGGGCAATTACCCCCAAACTCAAACCCAGCTTTCCCTTTGTGATATGGAACCTTGCAGTACAATTTCATAAAGATCCATACACTTACACACAAGTTATTGTCGTGAAACTAGAATAAAATGCTCCGCTGGGGCGCAGCTTGATACGACCGCAGAGGTCGAACCCTGAACAGTTGGGGCAAGTATGGACACAACATTCAAGCTTGATACAGCACTGAATTTGGATTGTAATTAAATATTTGACACAGCATAGGTTTCTGACACAGAATGAAAGTGGTCTAAGAACTTAAAAATTTTCAATTTACCTATTCATACATGTGATGGACTGTGAAACTCAGATCAGGAGATTGGGAAATTTTGGTCAGGAGATTTGGACTCAGATCAGGAGGTTTTTAATCGACATTAATTTTGTTGTAAATGTAACCGTGTGCTGTAAAAATGGTCTTTTAAAGTGTGTTTTCTTCAACTTTCCAACCAATTTATTATGTTTATAGTACCCTTGTACTTTTAAAGTTTCTCCATCTTTATATTCTACATGTTCAATCTAACATTGTTTTTTTCCAGTATGTTCTTTAAGTTTTTTACTTCATATTCTATAAAACAATCATTGCAACCAGAACATTTGTTTAGCTGTCTGCAAATAGTTTTTATTTTTTTTTTTTTTCTCTTGCAAATAGTTTTTATTTGCAAACTCAGAAATTCATTCTATCTGTAAAGTTAGGGTCATAGTTATTATATAAATTTCAATTTAAGCCTTAAAAGGAAGTACCGGTATAGAATCCTCAAATAATTTTCAAATTATTATTTTTTTATTTGTCCTAAGACATTTAAAATCATTTAATAACCATCCTTTTATGATTATTTGTTCAATTTATATTTTATTTATATTCTTTTAAAAATTTTCATTATTAAAAGGAAAGTAACTTAAAACAGGATAAATCAAGGGAAGTAACCCAATAAATACACAGTTTTTGTTACACAACGGCAGTTAGCCTGAGGTAAAAATCGTTGCTTACCAGTATGTTTGACACCCAAGCTGACAAGTGAAGCCATATAATTATGCATGTTAATTGATTTACAGGTAAAATATAACTTCAGGTAATGTCAGTTACACCAGATGCCTGAGATGTTATGTTGGGCAGAAATTTTTCATTCATGAAAAATTGCATACACAGGATTTTTTCAACGGGAGGGGGGGAGGAGACCCCTGAAAACGGGATTATTGTACTCCCGTCGGGAGGTTCACATGTATGCCTATTCAAACCATATCATTATTATTTGCTTTTATATATAAATCAGAAATAACCAATTTAAAATGGAAAATGTTAAAGAAAAAAAAGGAAAAAAAAAATCCCCCCCCCAATTTTTTGAACCCCCTTATGATTCATCGCCCCCAAACTCAATCCCAGCTTTCCCTTTGTGGTATGGTACCTTGCAGTACAATTTCAGAGAGATTCATACACTTGAACACAAGTTATTGTCTGGAAACTAGAAAAATGCTTGTTTTTTGGCCCCTTTTTGGCCCCAAATTCCTAAACATTTAGGGCAATTACCCCCAAACTCAATTCCAGCTTTCCCTTTGTGATATGGAACCTTGCAGTACAATTTCATAAAGATCCATACACTTACACACAAGTAATTGTCCTGAAACTAGAAAAATGCATGTTTTTTTTTGCCCTTTTATGGCCCCTAATTACTAAAATTTTGAGGGAAAACCCCCAAAATCAATCCCAGCCTTCCCTTTGTGATATGGAACCTTGTAGTACAATTTCATAAAGATCCATACACTTACAAACAAGTTATTGTCATGAAACTAGAAAAATGCTTGTTTTTTGCCCCTTTTTGGCCCCTAATTCCTAATATTTGGAGGAAATTACCCCAAAAATCAATCCCAGTATTCCCTTTGTGATATGGAACCTTGTAGTACAATTTCATAAAGATCCATACACTTACAAACAAGTTATTGTCATGAAACTAGAAAAATGCTTGTTTTTTGCCCCTTTTTGGCCCCTAATTCCTAAAATTTGGAGACAATTACCCCCAAAAATCAATCCCAGCATTCCCTTTGTGATATGGAACCTTGTGGTACAATGTCAGAGAGATCCATACACTTACACACAAGTTATGTCTGGAAGTTACAAAAATGCTTATTTTTGGCCCCTTTTGGCCCCTAATTCCTTAACTGTTAGTACCATAACCCCCAAAATCAATCCCCACCTTCCTTTTGTGGTATTGAACCTTATGGTAAAATTTCAATGAGATCCATTCGCCTAAACTAAAGTTAGAGTGCGAAAACTAATGTGTATTCGGACGACGACGCCGGACGACGACGACGACGACGACGACGACGACGACGACGACGACGACGACGACGACGACGACGACGCCAACGTCATACCAATATACGACCACAAAAATTTTTTTGCGGTCGTATAAAAATGCTTGTTTTTTTGCCCCTTTATGGCCCCTAATTCCTCAAATTTCTAGGGAATTACCCCCAAAATCAATCCCAGCCTTCCCTTTGTGGTTTGGTACCTTGCAGTACAATTTCAGAGAGATCCATACACTTGAACACAAGTTATTGTCTGGAAACTAGAAAAATGCTTATTTTTGGCCCCTTTATGGCCCCTAATTCCTAAAATTTGGAGGCAATTACCCCCAAAATCAATCCCATCATTCCCTTTGAGATATGGAACCTTATGGTACAATGTCAGAGAGATCCATACACTTACACACAAGTTATTGTCATGAAACTAGAAAAATGCTTGTTTTTTTCCCCTTTTTGGCCCCTAATTCCTAAAATTTGGAGGCAATTACCCCCAAAATCAATCCCAGCATTCCCTTTGTGATATGGAACCTTGTGGTACAATGTCAGAGAGATCCATACACTAACACACAAGTTATGTCTGGAAGTTACAAAATTGCTTATTTTTGGCCCCTAATTCCTTAACTGTTGGTACCATAACCCCCAAAATCAATCCCCACCTTCCTTTTGTGGTATTGAACCTTAAGGTAAAATTTCATTGAGATCCATTCACTTTAACTAAAGTTAGAGTGCGAAAACCAATGTGTCTTCGGACGACGACGACGACGACGACGACGACGACGACGCCAACGTCATACCAATATACGACCACAAAATTTTTTTGCGGTCGTATAAAAAAATAATCATGGTGTATTAATGTAACTGGAGAAAGAAGTTAGAAGGAGATTAAAACAAGTGAAACTGCGAGCTACTGTTCACTGATGATACCCCAGCCCAAATATTTCAGTAAACAGGAAGTTGTTGAGTGATGAATCTGAAAACGCATCACACGGTATAGCTGACTTATATAAACCCTGAAACCAAATTTCAGAAATCCTTGTATTGTAGTTCCTGAGAAAGATGCAACGAAAATATTCATGGGACGGACGGAATGACTGACGGATGGATAGACGGACAGACAGAGGTAAAACAGTATACCCCACTTTTTTAAAGCGGGGGTATAATATAAATGTACAAGATTTAAATATAGGATAACAATAAACTATACAAGTAAAGAATATAGCATTACATTCTGAGTAATAGTTTCTTTCCACTGGGAATTTTTTGAGTAGCAAAGTTCCATTGGAATTATAGAAGGTTCTACTGGAATTATAGAAGGTTTAGTAAAGATTAGATGCATGATTGCCTTAATTCTAATTAATTCATAGTGGCTCTTCCATATATACTTGATTGAATGATCTCAAAATGGGCAGATGCATTCCTTCCACAAGGGTCATTCTCTATGTATATTTGAATTTACTATCAAAAAGATATAACCAAGAAACCACAATTGCATCATGCACCCCCATCCCAATTTTTAAATAAGAAGGGATATGATTCTTGAATGTTGTGCAATTATTCAAAAGATTTGTTTAGCAGTTCTATAAGTATCATCTAGACACTAAAAGTGATAAAGAAAAACAAAATAGTGTACAAATAAACAGATGGACTCATTCAAGACAGGGATATAAAAAAAAAATTCCAGTTATAATGAAAGCACTCATATGCACATGCCAACTCTCAAGGATAGGGTAAGAGGCAGATGCATTCCTTCCACAAGGGTCATTCTCTATGTATATTTGAATTTACTATCAAAAAGATATAACCAAGAAACCACAATTGCATCATGCACCCCCATCCCAATTTTTAAATAAGAAGGGATATGATTCTTGAATGTTGTGCAATTATTCAAAAGATTTGTTTAGCAGTTCTATAAGTATCATCTAGACACTAAAAGTGATAAAGAAAAACAAAATAGTGTACAAATAAACAGATGGACTCATTCAAGACAGGGATATAAAAAAAAAATTCCAGTTATAATGAAAGCACTCATATGCACATGCCAACTCTCAAGGATAGGGTAAGAGCTTATTGGGATGGGAAAATTAATTATCTGATCCAAAACAGGATTTGTAAATGAAGATATGGTCTACATAGAACAATTACTGAAAAAAATTAAGAAGATACACTGTACAACCTTTCTGTCCCCTTATTTCACTATATGAATTGTAATTTGAATAAAGATTGAAATAAAGTTTAGGAAAATGTCAGATTACAGATTTTTTGGAAATTCCAGCTTATACATGGCTACATGTATACCTTATGCATCCAATATTCCTGAAAAATTCAAATAGCTATAAAGATAAACAATTCAGAATAGATATGGGGAACATAATGTGTTCAGAAATTGTCTCAAACTTATAATATGATGTAAAGAAAATTGTGTCCAGCAAATATATACCATTCAGTTTTTTTAGGATTTACTACTGAAGTTGAGCATTCAAATGAAATAAGAGAATAAACTAGAGACCAAGGCTTCCAAAACGGTCATATATTCCGGACATTTGTATAATGTCCGGTAAAAGTCCGGCTGGGCAAAGCACGAAACGGTCATCTACTTTTTAGATTTCAAGGCTTTTTTAGAGACGGTCACAATAATTTTCAATATAATTCGCGATCTTTTTGACCCAACCTTTTGCCTTTAACAGCCACACATTTCCGGTCATAAAAGTGACATGATCATTAAGTACTATCAAAACTACCCCTACTTTAATACCTTCTCATTTTTAATCAAGGCTAATTAGTTGTCGAACAGCTGAAATTGACCTGTTCAGGTGACAGGTAAACTATTTTGAAGCGGACATTGATTTCGTCTATTCAACTTATTTTCTTACATTTCACCAGTTTGCATCTGATTAATTTAGTTAAAAAGATTTAAATTATCAGAAATACATTTACAAATATGATTTGATGAAAAAATTAAAAAGGTGAAAATGAAAAATCGTCATAACCACGTTGTTTGAACCAGACATGTCTCTGTTTGAACTAGTACACGTACGCAGGTGTGAAATTTAATTATGCATCCTAATTTCTTCAAAAAATGCTTAAATTGTCATTGATACCTTTATCTCACGTTTATTTCGAATATTTTCTTGAAGAAATGACGTAGAATGAGCTACTTATACACTCATTCATGCTTTGCAAACGTACACGGAATTTACGTATCCGTCTCTGGTCCATGTTTTACCATTGTCAAGATAACATCCGGTAGATTTAAAAACGAAAGTAAAGTTTTTGACAACGTTATTTTGCACAAATAAAAAGTCTAAGGCAGATATAAGTACGGTGATGTTGCACACTTCGAATGATGCACTGCCAATTTAACAGTTTACGTCAGAACTTCCAATTTGAATCAAAGAAAGTTTAATATCGTTTTTTTTTAATGTCAATCATTGGGATGGCCAACTCGGCAACTGCATGATTACCATAATTGCCTTTTCTTTATTTAGTCTTAAGGGATTAAAATCGGGTTAATATATAAAATGTCCGGCTGGCTAAAAATAATTTTGGAAGCCCTGCTAGAGACTCCCATGGGCCTTAATTGTTCACCACAGACAACTAATGCTTCATAGCTGAAGAGAGAACTAAAATAGCTGCATAGTTCAAATTCACCTATTTTTACATTTTGGGCAACAAATAAATGTGTTAATATTTCTATCTGTAACTCTATTTGTACAACATTTCTTGAGGATAATATATAAAGTTACTATTTCTAATTTTACCTTTATTAAATCAAAGATATCATCCAGGTAATTTCTAATGTGCTGTTTCACAATAGAGATGATCACACCCAACTGTTGGAACAGAAACTGAAATAGAGAGAAATAAGCATTGTGTATATGTTTCATAACATTTGGTTGAGGCAAACTAAAGTTAGAGAATGGAAACCAACTTTGGGAAGTACGGACGGACAAGGGTAAAACTTAATGCCCCCTCCGCTACGGCGGGGGAATAAAAATGACTACTGTATATTCAGAAATTAGTGTGCGGTTTATGTTTATGCAAATAATGCGACTGGATGAGTATCACAATATTAAGAGCTCATGTTCTGATATCAGATACATATAACTCCATCTATATTTTCCTGAAAAGCAATAATTAATCTTGCATTATTGTCAATTCATCAAAAATCACAATAATAACAGCACACATCCATGGAAAAATTGTATTTTTGTGGATCTTTGATTTCATGGTTCTTCATCCAAGCCTAAAGAAAATTGGTACTTCCTCAAACATTGAAATTCGTGGTTCACCTCTAGCTTTACCTACAAAGATTGGTATCCCACTGGTAATAATGAATCCACAGTATCTTGAGCGAGTTATTGTGTTTTGACTTAAATCAATGTGGAACACATTTCAGTGATAATGAATAAGCATAACTTTTTATAGAAAGTCTGGCAATAATTTATGCACTTATCAAAACATTGCTATTGCCATAGCAACCAGTTTAACATATTTTAAGTTTGTTATGACAGTCTTATAACACTCTGTAGAGTAATATAACCTGCCGGAGGTGTAATACCACCATTGATTGTCCCCTATTAGTCTTTGTTAAATTTGCACTTTTCAAAAAATTGTGCAGAATTTATCCTTTGTTTCAAATAAAAGAAATACTTGGCATGAGTAAAGTTTTATCCTGTCCAATACTATAGACAAAATTCCACATAACATTTCATTGCATATAAGAAAATGACCATCACTGGAAGTTAACCAATCAAATTTTCGCCCCTTTTTTTTCCTGTGTACAAGCTTTAGTAACCATGTAACCTCAAGTTTCCAAAATATTCTATAGAAACACCAAATAAAAAAATAAAGGTGCTTTGAAACACCCAAGATATATGTTTATGACTCAGAAATTTTTTACTGCAATGAAATGTATGATTAATTTCCTACAACTGTCAAATTCAAGGCAATATTTTTTTTCGACCCTTTTTCGTACACAACCGGATGTAACGTACTATGATTTGGTGGTATTATACCTGCAAGAGTTACCTTTAACCTCTGATCTTCTAAATATAAGGGTTATTGCCATAGTAACCAGTTTAACATATTTCAAGTTTGTTTTGACAGTCCATATAACATTATATAGAGTAATATGACATGTTGGATGCAAGATTCACCTTTAACCTCTCATCATTCAAATATAAAGGTTATTGCCATAGTAACAAGTCTTACCTCTCTAAAGTTTGTATCAGCAGTTCTGATAACATTCAGATAGGCTGGTATAACCTGTTGGATATAAGGTACACATTTGATGCCAACTGATTTGAATATAAAGGTTATCGCCTGGACAACCATTGTATGGTGCTGAGACAGATTAGGGTCACGTATGATCTTCATTAGCGTTGCTATAGCAATGGCTAAATAAAATTCTTCGAGGGTTGAAGTGGCACTCATGTTTGCTAGCATTTCACTGGTATTCTCTACAAGAAATTTCAAACATATTTAATACTCTAAAAAAAAAAAGGAGATGTAGTATAACTGCCAATGAGACAGCTATTCCTAAAGACAAAGATGTGAACAATTACAGATCACCTTTCAACCTTCAATAATGAGCAAATTCCATACCAAATACAAGGCTATTTTTTTTCATGTCACCAAATTACTTTCAATGACTGATCTATCATGCAAAATGAATATCTCTTTTAGTAGTGAACAGATATTTATACATTTATTCTAAAATCAAGTACTGTGGGTTCATTATTATTTGTGGCCGATACCACTTTTCGTTGATTTTGTTCAACTAAGTACACATTTTCTATAAAAGAACAAACTTCCAATATCCCTTACGTTGCACATATTTTATCTGTCCAAGGACAATAACTAAAAAAAAATGTTTGTTGGTTTTTTAAAACTTTTTAAAATTATCTTAGAGAGTTGAAGACTTTAGCGCAATTTCTGATATAGTTAATATTTCCAAGGGGCACAACTCATTAAAAATATTTGATCGGCAATTATTTTCGACATTGTCCATGACATTGCTGATATTAACCTTTGATATGAATTTGATAAAAATCTGGCAAAAATTGTACACGAGAGCGCTTACAATGCAAATTTCCATAAAATCAATATTTCTTAGGGGCAGAACTCTTTTAAAAATGATTGATCGGCACTGATTTTCAAACTCATCCGAGACATTGCTAATATAAATCTACAATAAAGTTTCATAAAAATCTGGCAAGAATTGTACACATGAGAGCGCTAATGATGCAATTTTCCATATAATTAATGTTTCAAGGGTCATAACTATTTTAAAAATAGTTCATCGGCACTGACTCTCGTCGGAGACATAGCTGATATAAACCTATGATAAAGTTTTATAAAAATCTGGCAAAAATTGTACATGTGAGAGCACTTACAAGACCGGATGGACAGACGCCCAGTATTTCTATGTCCCCAGCAACTTGTCACTCGGGGGACAATAAGCTTGTAAGCAGATTTTAGCAAAACCACGAAATCTAATATCCATGAACAAGCAATATTCCCTCAATCCACAAAAATTGGTACTACCAAAATAAATGAATCCACAGTATCTATAGAGTTTAATAGTTGCATGTATCTATAAATTTTCAGATAACTGTCTTAATAAAGCTGAATTAAACATATCTTCAGTTTCAAGAAGAATTGAGTTATACCTGGTTGTGAAGCATCCTGATTAGCTTTTGGATCAGACATACTAAATACAGCCCCAGCTTCTGTTGTCTGTATTAATCCTAAGTTCATCTTGTGTTTGTGTGGATCTAGAGCACCAAGCAAACCTAGTACACGGATTACCTACAAAACATGTGAATTTAATATACAAGAAGTTCATCCAGTCATTTATTCATTCAATATAGATTTATTTTACTGTGAGAGACTCATCACTGAATTTGTACTTACATGAGCAACACAACAGGTGCCACATGTGGAGCAGAATCTTCTTTCCCTTTCAGGGTACCTGAGATCACCCCCATTTTTGGTGTGGTTCATGTTGCTAAGCATGCTCAGTCTATAGTTATCTGTTAACTCTTTTGTAATTTTATTTTTTTGCCATGGCATGGTCAATTTGTCTTCGACTTATGTGTTTGAGTATTTCAAGTAAAAGGGATAACTCTCCTCTTGATTCTTACCTCTCTCCTGATACCTGGTGACTGTTCCGTCTTAAGGAAAGCTAATAGTATGTCCAGTAATGAGGGGTACTTCCTATAAGGTTCTTACCTCTCTCCTGATACCTGGTGACTGTTCCGTCTTAAGGAAAGCTAATAGAATGTCCAGTAACGAGGGGTACTTCCTATAAGGTTCTGTGACATATCCTGTACTTTCGACCAGCTGTCCTAGTGTCCATAATGCTACCTGTAACAATTAAATACTGGTACATGTATATCAAAATCTACAAGACATAAAAACCTGCGCTGCCACCCAAAACAAGTGAAAAAGGTAAAAAATTATCATATAAGTTTTATCATTTTATGCACATTTATCCAATATCTATATTTTTATTTTTATCAAAAGTCTAAAATGCAGTGAAAAAAAGTGTGATCAAGCTGACTGAGCTGTTCATTCCAATAAATAAACAGAAATAATTTCCTCTTTCAATACTTTCCCTGTTTTAAAGACCTCTGCTGTGTTGCAGCATTATGCTGGGCTGTGAAAAAGATTTGGAAAGTAGAAATTTGTTTGGATTCACCATTTTAAAATAAACCACTTTGTCTCACCCAACTTCACAAATAAAACAGAGATCTGCTGATTTTTTTTTTTGTAATAACTTTGCTGTTAACAACTGCTCCTTAATAAAGTATTACCTCTCTCTTCTGCAAAGATGAAGAATCTTGAAGCATTTCTATAATTATAGGTAGTAATTCATCCATAGATTTCTTCATTTCTATACCACTGACCTGTAATGTAAATAAAACTATACGGAAGAGTACCTGACATCATGTACAATACTGTAAATTCAGAAATTAATGTGTGCTTTTATTATTGCAAATTCAGGCTCTGTAAAAAATGCAAAATCTAGTTAAGGATGTTTGCTACTCTGTTTCAAAATAACAAGCTTTTTAAAAGACTGTTACAAATTGAAAGTACATGAATAAAGGAACTAACAAAGCAGAAAAAAATGAAGGGTCCGTGTGCTTGTTTTCAAAATATAAGCCATTGAAAATTTGGCGGGAAGTGATTCTCTCTAGATTTTTCATACATTTAACATTTGCACCTTTTCTCTTTCAAAAACTATGAAAAAAAAACAAGGATTTTTAAAGATTTTCAAAAATTGCTTTTTAAACTATACATAATTAAAATATGAAAAGAAAAGTAGGGGTTTGGGGCAAAATTTTTAATTGCACTACATCGATAAAACCAGAGGATTCCGAATATCTGGCAAAAATTCAAAAACAAGAGGAGCGAACATCCTTAAAGCAATTGCATGAACTTAATGAAGGAAAATCAATACAGTGAAATTATGAATGCAAGTTTTTATTATTGCTAACTAGATACTATTACATTTTTTGCACACAAAAAAAATTGCAAATATTTTCTGAATATACAGTAATACATTTCTTCATTTCTACTCCACTGATCAGTAATATAGAATCATGAAAATCGACCAAAAAACTTGACATCATGTAAAATAATCAAAATATCTGCGGCTATATAAAATCAGTTATCTGGTTCTAAGATGCTGTCACACTCATGAACAGTCAAGGTTTCAAATTTATTACAGAAAAGAGTTACTGTGCAAATGTTTTTTTTTCATGCAGAACAATGCTTATCAGAGATAAAGAATTTCATATAAAACGACAATATGGATCAGAGATTCATTTCTCAATTAAAGCAAAGGTGCAAACCCCCTTTTGGTGCAATCAGTAAAATGGTACTAAGATTTTGTCAATTTGTGACTTTATTCAGTAATAATATTTTCCTCGTAAATATATTATAATGTTTTGAGTACCTAGACACACAGTGATATGAATGATTGATTATTGGTTGCTAAATGTCCAGTGGCAAATATGTCATGCATGAACAGGAGGAGAACAAATTCACAATAAATATAATAGGTAGGTTCTTTAATTGAGGCTGTTCTGAATGAAATTTAGACTGCCACTGGTAAATGAGGGTATATTAGATATGGAACAGAAATTTCGATTGCAACAGGCCACCTGCGGACCCCTCAAAGAGTTGTTACAAGGGTTCTTAACATACAGATTTCTACACGAGGCATCAGATTTAACATCTGACGTGGGTGTGTACTTGTATATCCTGCACAGCCAAAACAGACGCCACACTTGGACAAGGGTTTTACTGCCAGTTGGAAGAAGACCTGTTGTGACCCTTTTTCTATTTTCCCAGTCACCCTTGGGGGTGGCACTCTGTGACAATTAAATAGTTTCAATTATTAATCCGAACTACGATTTAAAGTTGATGACCAAGTGAAGAACACCAATCATTGCGCTAAATGGAAGTCTTGTTCATAATATATGCAAAAGGCATAATGTTCCGGTTTCCCATTTCGTTGTCCGAGTTTTTCTTTTCTTGCTTCAAAAATCTAATTGTTTCACCAGACATTGTAAATTTGAAAACAAAGACTTGTTTCTTTATTAATTATTCAGAATTGAACATTTGGAGAAATCGTTTTATTCTGGTAAATAGTCCTGAGAAACCAAAAGAAAAATATGAACATTTACACTTTATTTCATTACATTTTTTATTACAAAACATCTACTAAATTCCAAGGACTTTACCTGAGCCTGTTCTCCAATAGCAGCTAATACACTGATGGTCACTGAAGGATTAGGGTCTGGTTCTTTTAATTTGGGTATTAATACCTGAAAAAAATGTATTTTATTTGAATTTAGGGAAAATCTATGACACCTCAAATAATGATCAAACTCCTTATATTTTCATTAGGGCTGTTCCAGATTTAAACACATGGGGGCAGATGGGAGGCACTCAAATTAATAAATTGTTGGTGGGTGCATTTTCAATTTTGAAGAATTATTAGTAAAATGAAAATTTTATATTATTTTTATTTACAAGATAAACAAAAAATAATATATGTTTGTTTAATTAGCAAAAGGACGATATCATAAATAATGTTTTATAACTATGATATACTTTTTAATTGCAAATTTAATGTCTAAGACAAATATCATTATTTATTTAGTATTTTTCATATATTCACAGCAAAAATTTTTCGTCAAAACAATCATTTTATTCAAAATGTCTACTAAAAACAGTATGAAATCACATATCTTTTTTTAAAACTCAGCACAGTATTAGGAATTAATTTCTACAAATAGAAGACATTATATTAGTATCAGCAAAATGCAATGAAGTAATTTTTATTACCTTTAAGACTGGTTCCATGTAAGGTCTAATAAGTCTTGATGCATTGGCAACCAGTAATCCTAACATCCTAGCTGCTTGTTCCTTGTTTCTTCCGACCCCACTGTGTTCTAATTCCGTCAGAATCTATGGAAAAACAAATATATACTCATAGAACAGAGAAAATACTTTTCAAGATTAATTTTTAATTCTGATATAAAATTTGATTAGATTTTTTGTTTTTATTCTTTACTTAAGGTCATTCATCATACATTGTCTAAATGTACTACTTTTAGTTTGTAAAATTCCGCAATTTTTCAGCACATATATTATTTCCATTGTTAAACCATTAACACTAATGCAAGAATGATTACATGGATTTAAGGGATTGCTGCATACCAATAATGCTATCAAAATTTAAAATGCGAGTTTTTTTTGTTTTTTTTTTCTTCATAACTTTTGAAAAAATAAAACATCAACAAATTTCTAGATTTACACCCTTCAAACATTAAATACATTGCATTACTAGTAAACTACTCACACATTCTACAGTTATTGGTGATCTTTATCATACTTGAATCAGAATTGTAAAATGTCTAACAGAGAAAACGAAATAATTAACGGTCTATGTAGATACCAACAGAAAGCCATTGAAAAGAATCTAGAAATTCACTTTTATGTCAGCAATCTTACTAACTTGAATCAATCATAAAGGTAAAATGGTATACATAGTTTTGTTTTCAGAGAATGATTAAAAAATGGTTAACATTTGAGAGGACGATTAAATTAAAGTTTTTGATTGTTTAGTGTATAAATACTGTGGATTCATTATTATTCGTTGGATACCAATTTTCGTGGATTTCGTGGGAACAGGTGAACCACGAAATTAAATGTTCAACTAATAACAAATTTTCTATAGGCTTATATGCAGACTTCGGCAAAACCATGAAATTAAATATCCACGAACATGTAAGTTTTCCTTAATCCATGATAAATTGGTACCCACGAAAATAAATGAATCCACAGTAACCTTTCATGACAAGATATAAGGAGACCCATAAATACCTGAATTAATGTTTTTCTCAATGAAGGCATCACATAAGCAGGATTTTTACTGCTGAGTCGCCCGATCATACAGATTGCCAATTCTCTGATCTCAAACACTTCATCATTCAAGGCAACAAATAAAGCACTCAGATTTTCTGCCTGGGCAAGATGTGGGTCAAATCTGTCATCTAAGGAGGCCAGTACACAAAATCTTATATCAGAATCTGAAAGGATAAATAGAATAAAATTGTAAGGTGTATTGATTGTTGGTGTTTACAGAGGTGGTAGAGAGTTATTTTCGTGCAAAGTGTTTTCAATTTATATTTCACTTGTTTTCATGCTTGAAGCTCATTATTCAGTGTTTCGTGCATTTGGTGGAAAAGCAAGGGGCAAGCTATTTTTTTATTTTTTCGTTCATTGTGAAATGGCCATTTTATTTCCTGTTCATCAATGCACATACCACTTCCCCCTTTACAGCCCACTTTTAATATTCTTATTCTTTTAAACTTTCCTTGCACTTTGACTTAATTGTGTAAATGCACTAGTACTTGAACATGAACTCTAGGAGTAATAAAACTACCACCTTTGTTCAAAACATCTTGAAACAAAATACTGTAAATTCAGAAATAATTGCGTGCATTTATTATTGCAATTTTTGAAGAATGAACAAAAATGCCAGATCAATTATTGTGATTTCAGGAAAATCTGCATACAGTTATATTCAACAGATATCCGAATGCAAGTTCTTATTATTGCGTTACTATTTGCATTATTCACATTAATAAAAACATCGCAATAATTTCTGAATTTACAGTATTCAATATAATTTCAGACCTGTGTCTGTGATTCCAACAACCAGTAACTTGTGTAGGACTTCTGCTACTGTGTTCATGGCTGCCATGCTGACCTGGCCCTGATTGGAAGCTAACAACTGAAATAGGAAGTCAAAAGATAAAAATAATCCTTCAAATAAATTTTATGTTTTTTTCCTTTTGCCTTACTGTAAAACATTTGTCATAAATTATTCACAAATGACCACTAGTAACAGGCAATTAGTGAAACAGACTTATCTTACTTCAAATAAAATAAATGAAACGGACAACTTTTCAAATAACAGTAATATGCATTTGAAAAATGTCTAAAGAATTAGTTTATTACTTACATCTCATATCAGAAACTGAAAATTAAATTTAAATTTCAGTCATAAATTTGCTTCATAATCATGAAAATATGTAGTGAACTTAATGGCAAACACCTTTTTACTTATGTTACACTTCAGTGTTCTCCCCAGGCCAATATGACGCTGCGGTCCCGCAGCGCCTTCAAAATATTTTCGTTGACTCCGCAGCACCTTAAATCACCGCTGTCCTTTAATATTTGATCCCACAGCGTGTTAATTTTCATATACAATTATGAAATGTTTGATAACTTTTGTAAAGTTAAAGATTGCCGCTGAGATGAAAATCAATATGACACCAAATTACGCAATTATTGATTGACTCCATCCTTTACCTGTATTTGCCTTATCAAATCGCGTAATTCTATAGATTATCATCGAATAGATAAATGTTTTTCTTGGATACTTTTTTTCAGTGTTTCAGGGTTAGAATTGAGGGAAAAGATCGAAGTACAAATACAAAACGTCTTTCCGCGTGGCTTTCTTTATAATAATGCCGAATTAAATATCGATTTTTCTCATTGGTCAATAGTAAAAATCTATTTTAATATGACCAATAAAATGCTCCGCAGGGCGCAGCTTGATACGACCGCAGAGGTCGAACCCTGAACAGTTGGGGCAAGTATGGACACAACATTCAAGCTTGATACAGCTTTGCATTTGGATTGTGATTAAATATTTGACACAGCATAGGTTTCTGACACAGAATGAATGTCACGTCTAAGAACTTAAAAATTTTAAATTAGACATTCATCTATTATGGTCCAATATCCAAAATCTAAATACATGGTTAGATTCAGCATATCAAAGAACCCCAAGAATTTAATTTTTGATGAAATCAAACAAAGTTTAATTTTGGACCCTTTTGACCTAAATGTGGACAAAGTTGATAACGGGGCCCAAAAATCAAAAATCTAAATACATGGTTAGATTCAGCATATCAAAGAACCCCATATATTCAATTTTTGTTGAAATCAAACAAAGTTTAATTTTGGACCCCTATTTGGACCAACTTGAAAACTGGGCCCATAATCAAAAATCTAAATACATGTTTAGATTCAGCATATCAAAGAACCCTAAGAATTCAATTTTTGTTTAAATCAAACTAAGTTTAATTTTGGACCCTTTGGACCTTAATGTAGACCAATTTGAAAACGGAACCAAAAATTAAGAATCTAAATACACGGTTAGATTCGGCATATCAAAGAACCCCAATAATTCAATTTTTGATGAAATCAAACAAAGTTTAATTTTGGACCCTTTGGACCTCAATGTGGACCAATTTAAAAATGGGGCCCAAAATCCAAAAACTAAATACACGGTTAGATTCAGCATATTAAAGAACCCCAAAAATTCAGGAATAAAACCCCATTGAAATTGGTCAAGAAATAAGCAATTTATACGAAGTATCTTCTTTTGCACAATACTGTGCAATTAAATATTTCTTGCTATTGCGCAATACTGTACAATTGACAATTTCTTACTATTGCGCAGTATTGTGCTATTGGATATTTCTTGCTATTGTGCAATACTGTGCAATTGAAGATTTCTTGCTATTGCGCAATACTGTGCAATTGAAGATTTCTTGCTATTGTGCAATTGAAAATTTCTTGCTATTGCACAATACTTATTATATAATAATTTACATCCTGTTTGGTGTGTATCTCCTACCATATCATTATTATTTGCTTTTAAATATAAATCAGAAATAACCAACTTAAAATGGAAAATTTTAAAAGAAAAAAAAAAGGAAAAAAAGAAAAAAAAGGAAAAAAAAAAAAATCCCCCCCAAATTTTTTGAACCTCCTTATGATTCATCACCCCCAAACTCAATCCCAGCCTTCCCTTTGTGGTATGGTACCTTGCAGTACAATTTCAGAGAGATCCATACACTTGAACACAAGTTATTGTCTGGAAACTAGAAAAATGCTTATTTTTGGCCCCTTTTTGGCCCCCCAATTCCTAAACGTTTCGGCAATTACCCCAAAACTCAATTCCAGCTTTCCCTTTGTGATATGGAACCTTGTAGTACAATTTCAGAAAGATCCATACACTTACACACAAGTTATTGTCATGAAACTAGAAAAATGCTTGTTTTTTGCCCCTTTTTTGGCCCCTAATTCCTAAAATTTTGAGGCAATTACCCCCAAAATCAATCCCAGCATTCCTTTTGTGATATGGAACCTTGTGGTACAATGTCAGAGAGATCCATACACTAACACACAAGTTATGTCTGGAAGTTACAAAAATGCTTATTTTTGGCCCCTTTTTGGCCCCTAATTCCTTTACTGTTGGTACCATAACCCCCAAAATCAATCCCAACCTTCCTTTTGTGGTATTGAACCTTGTGGTAAAATTTCATAGAGATCCATTCACTTAAACTAAAGTTAGAGTGCGAAAACCAATGTGTCTTCGGACGACGCCGGACGACGACGACGACGACGACGCCAACGTCATACCAATATACGACCACAAAAATTTTTTTGCGGTCGTATAATGAACATGATGACAACACGTGGTAACTTTGCAATACACAACTACAAATATTTATGAATGGAAGGCGTTTTACGTGAAAAAAAAGTAACATAAACCTTTAGTAATATTTATGATAAATTCATAACATGAATCGATAGTTTGAGATAGAATGTAAAATTTTGTTCTTAGCAAAAAAAAATTCTTCTTTAGTTGTCATCTTTTAAAAAAGAAATCAGTTGTGTCTGTCAGTTTGGTCCTTGCACCGGAAAACTATGACAATACACAACTCGATGTCAATGGTTGGGAACTTAAAAGCAAAAGCATATGCAAATTATTTTGTTGGATTTTACTTTGAAGAAATTTGCCAGGTTTCTACCTGCCAAAGAAAAGAGTGTAACAAATACACACGGAAGTGATCTTGAAATGTCAACCTTCAAAATTGATCAGCTGTTCATTTTATCTATTTTTTTTAAAAAAAGTTGTATTCCAAAAATTACAAACTGCTAATAATGCAAAATTTTTAGTAGGAGCAGATGCACCAGATATGGAAATATTTAAAGCTGTACAGCACTTAAAGGCTCAAAGGAACAGGAGATTATTCTCTTAAAATTACTAAATTTGGTCTCTCAAATTAAATTTTAACTCTATATAAAATGGACTGTGATATCAGCATGATCAATGTGTTTTATATGGGTGTAAATTGATTATATTTCATTCAATGATATTTCATAAATAGTGTACATAATTAAACACCTAGACTGTCATGAAGCTTTTAAATTCATTTTGTAGTTCTGAATGATTGTTTCGCGTCACAATAGTTCACTCCAAAAAAAAAGGGTTACACGCTACAAATTTTTGCGCCTTAAACAATGTCTGTGGACAACACTGCACTTGTAAAATCATTTGAGATTTGAGTAATGTATACTGTTTTTTTATCACAGTAATCAAATACAATATGTTGCTTAAAAATGATTTTCCTGCTAAATTCTCAACTTCAATTCTTTTTAAAAGTTCATGCCATAAGCAGGGGAGATAATTCTTTTAAATTTCATATCTTAAGCAGGGGAGATAATTCTTGACAGATTCCCCATTTCCATTTTTAAATTCTATCTAAAATTTCATAGTTTAAACATATCTTATTTGCCTAAATATGCAAAAGGAATGAGACACAAGTTAATCAAACTTATGAAGTCTTCTCTAAAATTTCATACCTTGAGCAGGGGAGATAACAATCTTGCACAAGTTCTAACAGCTTCCATTCTGATCTCTTTATATTCACTAGACAAATAATGTTCTGCACAATGTTTGACAAACTGTGTCAAGGAATGACCTGTAAATAAAACAAAACAAGGACCATAACTCTGCACAAAATCATCAGACCAGAACAAAATTCGAACTTGATCTGTAACTTGTCAATAATACACCAAATATCAAATCAATATCTTCAAGCACGAAGAAAAATAGTGTGGAAAACTGATTTGCCGGACTGAAGGATGGACAGACAGACAGACAGACAGACAGACAGACGGACGGAGTGCAAACTTAAAGACCCCCTCAACTTCTTCGGTAGGGGACTAATAAACACGACAGAGTAACCCAATGTGAATGCACTGAAAAATTTTTGTACAAATTTATTAGCTTTTTCTACTTCCAGATCAGGGCTATTCCAGAGGGTTAGAAGGCACTTGATGGTCATGATTATTTTGGATCTATGGCCTATGGGACTCCACCCTCCCCCTTGTACATTTTTTCCGGACCCGCCTTCATGTATGCAGAAGGAATATAACAAGCCCGAACAGGCACCTTTGGTTGATTTTTAACAGGATTATTAACTGTTTGAGTATAGAATAAATACTGCGTTTCACTGAATGATAAAACGTAAGTTTATCTACATGTAATAAATGTATTTGATTAAGTGCAACATTTTCTGGGATCACAAGAAGATTTTGAATTGTTTCTGAAGTTGCATGCACTAGCAAAACAAGAAGTTATACCCAAACTGTAATGACAACTTTGACCAGAATTCCAAAGGTATAACAAAAATTCAAAATATTGTCAAAACCCTAATTTTGTACATAATTTAAATAGTTCACATCATGATGAACCTGTGAACAAAATTTCAGGTTGATGTGACAACAATTCCTTGGAAAGAATAACAGACAGATAATGGTCAGAGACACAGGCCATAAACATAATACCCCCTACTACCCTGGGTGGGACACAAAATTAATATCGTTACATCTGATGAAAATAAACTGTAATAAAATTTATGTTTGTTCCTGTTAAAAGAATAATTTTGCAGTATGTTATATTCTAGCATTATCAGCTATGAATCTAATGCCATGTGAATTCTAATTTTGTCCAATCATATAAATGTGACAAACATGGGCAAACAAAAAAAGCAGTAAATTTACATATTGAGATATTTAATGAAATATTAAAGTGACAACAAACCTTCAAAATCAAAGCTTCCCAGTGTCCTAAGTGCCAATGTTATACTTGTTGTATCATGGCTGTCTGTGGGCGACAACAGGGCACCTGTTAAAACATAGCAAGAACATAATTTAATCATTATATGCCACTCCTGTGCAATATTTCTTTTTCTAACAATTTTAATGTTTTCTAAAGAATAAAGATGATAATCAACATTTATCTAAGGCTGTTCCATCAAAATAGACATGGAACTCAGTGAAGGCACGTTAAAATCTCCTCTATGAGTGGGGGTTAAAGACTATTTTGTACAGTGAAAATGTAGGAGAAATTCTAAATTTGCCTCTAAAGATGCTTACGCATGTTTTAATGGAACAGCTCTTAATAAATCTACTGTGAAAGTACTTTTATTCGTGGGGTACCAATTTTTGTGGTTTTCGTGGAAGGCTTTATCCACGAATTTAAGTGTCCAGCGAAATATAACAACTGTTGTCCAAATCAAGACTTTGAAAGATCCCCTGTAGTTTTGACTACATGGATACGGGCATATAATCTAGAGAAAACATCGAATATCACCAAACAAATATGAACTATATGCAGTGGCGGAGCACCAGTGTAGCATGAAAAACTTCAAACAGGATTTTAATCTTTAAATAATCTAAGTTGTATGACTATCAAACTTTTAATTCTCATAAAAAAAAGTTTTGAAAGATAAATGACAGACTTCCGGAGAAGATATATGATGATGAAGTGTCATTTTATCTCCTCATAATTCTCTCACGAAAAATAATATTAATTTCATATTGGGCTTGCTTTTTTATTTTGAAAGTATTAATTCAAAGTACAATTGTAGCATTTTTTATGCAACCTTTTTCTTTAAATGACATGTTTATGGACCTATTTACACCTTTGATGATCATTAATCTGTTGATCATTCTATCTCGGGTTAATTAGTGTCACCACTTCTGATTACACGTGTGCAACAATTAAAATGTTTACTTTGCAATTTCCTTCAATGAGACAATTTGTATTCAGAAATGAATCAGCTTATTTCTGAAAGCAATTACCTTTTAAAGAAATTTGATGAATGTTGTCAAAAATGAAAGACGAACATGTAAGTGAAAATGAACACCATATGATTATATTAAAGAATCTTCGTTTCTGATGGGTTCAAATTCTTCTCCCGATTTTTTTTCAGAAAAATAAAATCCATGAATTTAAGAACCCACGAACATGTAACTTTTGCTCAATCCACGAAAAATTGATACCAACGAATAAAAGTACTTTCACAGTATTTGAAACACCAAACAATAAAAGCATTTTTTTTTTTAATTGTGGAAAACTGGATGGAATTACTTTTGTATTTTACAGTGATGCATAATTGAAAGATTATGGTTTACTAAGAATAAAATCATCATGAGGAATATTTTGTAAAAAGACTATGAAGGGGTGACAATGGGGTGCTCATTTCCGAAGTCCAGCTATGTTTAGTAATTTTTTTCTTACTTCCAACTTCTTTTTATCCAGATCCCATAATTATTTTTCCCTATTCTCCACATCACCACTTTTTTACCCCATATATCCCACATCCACACTTTTAATAGCCCCTATATCCCACATCAATAGTGTATCCTTCTCCTCAACTATTATGCTTACAACAACTGAAATTGTGTCTAGAGTTCAGGTTTTACGTAAGCTGGGTGAAAAACTTTTGAATATCTACAAAAATATACCTGCTATAGGAAGCGGAGACAGTGGACTTTTGGGAGCACCTGGGTGTTTCAATGGTCGACCAATCAGAACAAGAGACAAAATTTTCAAGAGTCCATCTTGAATATCTTTCTTCAACTGCGGTATCTGAGTGGCTAAATCTCTCAATGCAGCTGTTAAGGCTGGACTGTTGCAATAAAATAAATCAACAATGATGAAAATGTTATCACAATATAAAACTCCATACATCTGAGAAATCTTAAATTAAAGCATAATATTTAATGAGCATATCAAATTTTCTTGCTAAAGTTGATTGTAAGTGTTCTGCTTCCAACTGCTTTAAATTGGACATCAGTAAATGTGTACATTGTGATGAGAATCTATACGATACACAAAATTATACATTTTTTCTTTCCAACTATTTCACAAATTTTAAATTGAGCCCTATTGTACATATCTCACAGTGTCATGATAGATTGCTGTCTGCATGCATTTAAGCATAAAGGATAATTTTGATCTAACAGATACTTTAAATCAGATAAAAAAGCAAGAATGTGCATTAATGAAGAATGGAAACGAACATCTGATCAGTTCAAAATATTTGCAAAATTCTAAATCAAACTAAAATTTGAAATCTAAAAAAATCTTCTTTAATGAAACAACTTTTTGAAATGTTTCTGTTTTCCATTTGAAAAATCATATTTTTAATGTACAAAATTTTGCTTTGTACAATTGATTACCTAAGTCCTGTTGCCAGCATAGAATCTAAGAGTTCTCTGACATCTTTCATCATAATATTGCCAACAGCTCTGGACAACATACTGATACATGTAAATACAGCAGGGTCAACTACAAAACTCTTGTACTTCCTACAAGATAAATCATGCCATCATGAATAAAAGGAGATACAGGGTCTTCATCAATGTGACTGCAACCAAACAAGAATAACCAAAAAAATTTTAGAAACATACAGATGTCTTTACAATATATAAAGCTCTTTATAAGTTGTGAATAAATAAAACAGGAACTACAAAAAAAACACAAAAATTTTGATAGTTTCTGCGCAAAAGTAATTCATAATTTGTCTAAACTTGTGGTGATAAAAAGAAAATTCTATATGCTTTTCAAAAATATTTCCATGAAAAAGGTTAAGTGATTCGCTTTTTAAGCAATGTTGAATCAAGAAACATTTACATCACATTTAAGTAGACAGGACAAAAATCAATGCACTGTTTCAAATTCTCATTTCTTTAAATTGATGTGTAAAAATATGTAAAGGTTCCGCGGAACCCAGTGTCTCGCCTACTTTTGCTGTTGTCTATGTCTTCAGTGTGATAGGGGATTAAACATAATAGATTTACAGTTAATGAAATAAAACGTTTGAAATGTATGAAAAAAGTTATGCTTGTAAAAAATGAATACAGTATGCAATCAAATCTATAGATTTATAAAAGAGTTGAAACATAAATTTATTGAATGAACAAATGATAAAGAAGATAATTTTTACATTTTCCTCTAGATACTATCTTTTGATTGTAAGAAGCTTCTGTCCAAGTAAAAATCAAGGATGGTTTATGAATCTAATAAATGTTTTAATAAAATGCTCCGCTGGGTTGCAGCTTGATACGACCGCAGAGGTCGAACCCTGAACAGTTGGGGCAAGTATGGACACAACATTCAAGCTTGATACAGCTCTGAATTTGGATTGTGATTAAATATTTGACACAGCATAGGTTTCTGACACAGAATGAATGTGGTCTAAGAACTTAAATTTTTTTAATTTCCCTATTATGGTCCAATATCCAAAATCTAAATACATATACGGTTAGATTCAGCATATCAAAGAACCCCAATATTTCAATTTTTGATGAAATCAAACCATATCATTATTATTTGCTTTCATATATAAATAAAAAATAACCAACTTAAAATGGAAAATTTTAAAGACAAAAAAAAGGAAAAAAAGGGGAAAAAAATACCCCCCCCCCCCCCCCAATTTTTTGAACCCCCTTATGATTCATCACCCCAAACTCAATCCCAGCCTTCCCTTTGCGGTATGGTACCTTGCAGTACAATTTCAGAGAGATCCAAACACTTGAACACAAGTTATTGTCTGGAAACTAGAAAAATGCTTGTTTTTGGCCCCTTTTTGGCCCCAAATTCCTAAAATTTTGAGGCAATTACCCCCAAAATCAATCCCATCATTCCCTTTGTGATATGAAACCTTGTGGTAAAATGTCAAAAAGATCCATACACTAACACACAAGTTATGTCTGGAAGTTACAAAAATGCTTATTTTTGGCCCCTTTTTGGCCCCTAATTCCTTAACTGTTGGTACCATAACCCCCAAAATCAATCCCCACTTTCCTTTTGTAATATTGAACCTTATTGTAAAATTTCAAAGAGATCCATTCTCTACAACTAAAGATATTGTGCGGAAACAAATGTGTCTTCTGACGACGACGACGACGCCAACGTCATACCAATATACGACCTTTGCGGTCGTATAAAAACTTTAACTGCAGACTGTATGTTATGTTAACTGGAAGAAAAACTAAGTCCATTTATAAGTAATATACAGAAAAAAAGGAAATAAATTTTTACAAAATTTCCTTCTAGATACTAGCTTTTGATCATAAACAAGCTTCTGTCCAAGTTTGGTACAAAGAAAGTTATTAAAATTTTTAAAACTTTAACCACAGAGTGAATGTAATGTTAACTGGCAGAAAAACTAAGTCAATTTATAAGTAATTAACAGATAAACAGGATTTTTTTTTTTTACAAAATTTACTTCTGGATACTATCTTATGATCATAAACAAGCTTCTGTCCAAGTTTAGTAGAAGTCCAGGATAGTTTAAGAAAGTTATTAAAATTTCAAAAACTTTAACCACAGAGTGAATATTTGTGGACGTCGCCAAAGACGACGGAATGTAGGATCGCTATGTCTTGCTTTTGCGACAAAAGTTGCAGGCTCGACAAAAATGTATTATATCTATTTGACTTAAGTAGCAGTCTCGCTAAGAGTCATGTAAAATGATGAAATAGTGATACACAGAAATTTACAATGAAATGCTCTATCATTTTCACTGATGAGCTGTTTCCATGTCAAACATTTTTAGATTTACCCTGTACAAAGTGTAAAATGTTTGTGTTTGAGCATTAAGAAAAGCGCTTTGGACACACAAAATTATTATAGTATTATTTTCATTTAAAAATATTCCGTATTAAACTGACTTGAGTGGCAGGTCCTTTGGAGGCAAAGAACTTCTAATAACTTCCATAATCCTTGCCAGATGTTTGGATATATTCTCCTGTACTGATATGGCCATCAGACCTATAGCCTGGAATCCAGCTGTTTTGTCTTTAGGATTCTTCAATGTACCCAGCAGGAAATTAATTGATTCTTCTAGATATCTACAATGTATTAATATTAGAAAATAAATTTAAATAGAATGAACTTTCGTCATAGAAGACTCACAAAATTCCTAGTTTTAATATATAGAAGAGTTATTCACAAAAATTATATCTGCTTAAAAATGACTTTCTATGGCCAAAAACAATAACAACATATGATTTACCCATAACAACATCAATTGTGTTTTTTTTTTCTTTCTAGCTATGATGTCACTTGTAGTTAAACCTTTGTATTATAAAGTCTTGTTCGAAACATTTTTACCCATTTGGCGGTCTACTGGTTGTGTGCTAACCTCAAATGCTGGAGTTCATGAGATGTTACAGTCTGAACAAACCAAAGACTTCAAAATTGGTATTTGCTGAATCTTGCAACCCAAGAAAGTTGACTTACAATGGTAGTATGACTTATAATACTTACACTCTAGAAAACACTTGAGGACTGAATCCTGCCACCCTTGGAAAGATGACTAGCAGTGTTTGTTGTACATATGTATTCTTACTAGTTCTGTGTCTCAATATCAAACTGCATATCTGAAAACCAAACATAATGTCACGAAGCTGTTGTTTTGTTGTAAATGATTAAAACGGGTCAATAATATTTACGAGTTATCAAACTATATGTTGTCTTGGTAATTAACTTCAACACAGAAATTTAAGTTATTCAAGAATGAAATGTACATGTATGTCATTATGATTTAGAATTATTAAATAGTGTTACTGAGGCAAAATGAATGCGATTGTGAATTTATTAGACAACATGGAAGAGGGTAGGAATGCCCTTTACCGTCAGCCGTCAAACGGTCATTTTCGGCTACTGTTAGCGTCAAATTGGTTAAAATTTTACCGTGATTCGTCAAAATATCTTTATAGTGATTCTTCAGAGGTCTTAAATAATTATCCTTACCGTTATTTTTGGAAAAAAATTAACGTGATTCGTCAAAGTCAGTCGATTTTTTTTTATCGTCTAAAAGAAAGTGTACATTTTATTGTCATGCACCAAAAATTACCGCTAACATTTTTGGCAAGAATTTTTACCGTAATTCGTCATGAAGGTACCCCCATTACGACCCTCATGGAACCTATTAACTGAAAAAATAGAATTGGGAAATCAATATACACAAAAAACATTTACTATAGTATAGAACATATAAAATGTATAGAAAAATATAGTATTTAGATGAAAAAAAGTTCAATCACAATTATTCTGGCTTTTAATTTGTAATGGCATACAACATTAATTTAAGTTGAGTTTATTGATTCATTGTTATTAATGGGATACTAATTTTCGTGGGTTTAGCTGAACAAAGAATTTAAGAGTTCAATGTACAAAATTTCTATGGGCTTTATATGCAACTAGGGCAAAACCACAAAATCAAGTATCTTTGAATATACAAGTTTTCCTCAATCCGCGACAATTGGTACCCACGAAAAATAAATGAATCCACAGTAATATTTTCTATAACAGAAGAAAAATCAATACACTTTACCTTTTCATAATTCTTAGTGATAAGTTCTTTGCAAGATCTACTTTCATATAGGATATTTTTGTGTGCCATTTGATTATGTCCTAGACCAAAGCTGGTCAGGGGAGAGGACTTGTTCTGAAGCTGCTGTAAGGCCATCACACTACCCATAGACTTATGTCGATGCATCTCCTAGAACAAATTATATAAGCAATATAAAATTAATTACTGTAAACATATTTATTCTAACAGCACAATAGGAGTAGGGAAATGAAGCATAAAGTATACCTGAACTATAGTTTTTATCACAAAGCATGATTGTTCCAATTTTTTGCAAGGTTTGTGTTTTAAGTGCATTTTAAAGATGATTCAGGAAAACATTGGCCTTATCTTTCAACCAAGATAATTTTGCCAAACAAAGATGTTTATTCTAAGAGTCCATTAATATTTTTTTAAATGTGATAAGACATCTGCGACAACCCCTTTGTTTTTGTATTTTTAACTTTGATACAGTATTTGGTAAAAAGTATTTCACTACTTTGAAATTTCCCGATATATTTCATATATTAAAAACATTTATTTTTTTAAAACATTGTCAAACACTAACTTCTGGTCTGATTTTGATGAAACTTTCTTTCACTGTTAAACTCATAAAGATGTACAGTGTTGTAAGGTCATAGTGAAATATTTGTATGACATGTCATTACTGAGAAATCATTATAACTAAATATTGAAATCAAGTGCATGCATACCCATATAATTTTTTTCCTGCAGAAATTCATATTTGTCTTTAAACAGTGAATTTCTTAAAAGTAGAAATAATAAATTTATTTCATAATAGTTGCAGGAAACTCATTCAATTCGGACAAAAAATAACTTGGGATGATTTTTATTAAAAATATGTATTTTATATAAAATATATAGTGGTATTTTCAAATGGTGAAACACTTTTGACTGTAGTATGCATGTTTGGTATTCTACCTTGACTGTTTTCTCATGTAGATACTGTTGATTGGTAATTTCCTCCATCTCAATATGCTGTCTCTGAAAAATAAAACCAGATCTCTGATTACCATTTTCACTAACTGATAAATTGAAGTTGTTTCATCCTCAATAACCAAAACAGATACACATTATAGAATTCAGCAAATTTAGAGATACACATATAAATTTGGACTTTTGTCTGATCTATAATGATATATAACTTGTGATATTCTTTAAACTTTGGTTAAAACAAGATTCCTGAGCTATAGTGAAAATTCCCAAATGGTTTTATAAATCTCACGAGTAGACTGCTAAACAATGGCTGAACGCAATACATAACAAAGTCATTTATATTTTTGACAAAAATACTTTTATCAACATTTATCTGAGTTTGTAATATAACAAAGCCAGATTATAACTTACGTCCATAAAAAAAGTGGTACACATTGAGACTGATATCATGCTATATTAAATATTCTTTCAATAAAAACTTGCAATTTTTTCCTTCAAATCTATTTTTGTTGTTGTCTCTGTAAGATCTATCTATTCTATATCACAATGTTGTAAAGCTGCTTACATTGTAATTGATAAACTTTACTCGACCTTAATCAGTTGTTAATAACCAATCATAACATTGCACATGAAAATACTTTTAAAATCCCTTTATTTACATGAAGGGAAATACTACCTCATATCAAATTCTGTGGCCTGACAAGGAATATGTTGCAAAGGAAAATGAGGATAAATTAAAAAAATATTGTGGTAAAACATATTTTCAAATGTGTGAGGGATGACAGGGAAGGTCTCACTATTTTTCCGCCATTACAAACCATCACATACGTTTCTGTCAAATTTTGACATCATAAGAGAAAATATCTGACAAAATTTGACAGGAACGTATACCGTATGTGATTACACAATGTAAAAGTGGTTGTTGTACGACGTCAATAGTTCAACTGTTGAAAGATCTCAGGTCAAGTGTCACAGATTCAGAAATAGCAATAAGGTCTATAGGGACATAACAAAATTCAAAATTTTCTTCCATAATAATGTCTTGTTAGTTATAAAGACCAATGAAAATATTTCTACTGCTTTTAAGTATGTTATTAACATAAATGAAGAAAAAAGAAGAAAAATTGAGAATAGATAAAAGTAAACCATAACATTATCTTTAGAGTTTAAAGTTTAAAAATCAAACACATTCCCTGTTTAAAAAAAGATTGGCAGGCATGGATTAAAAGACTTTTGCCAAAGTGAAAAATATCAAGTACTTACTTTCCACTCAACGTTTATTCCCTGTTAAATTAATTCATTTGAATAACCGATTACATATATAAATTCAACTATTTTTTTTAAATACAGGCATCTATCCATCTATCTTAGGAATTATTTTTCATGATTTTCTAGTAAAGAAATATATTTCAAACTTGATGATTGCATACTGTGGATTCGTTTATTTTTCTTGGTTACCAATTTTCGTGGATTTGTATTTTTGTTGATATATAGGTGTAATACCACCAAATCATAGTACGTCACATCCGGTTGCATACGAAAAAGGGTCGAAAAATTTTCCCTTGAATTTGACAGTTGTAGGAAATCAATCCTACTTTTCATTGCAGTAACAAATTTCTGAGTCATAAATATATATCTTGGGTGTTTCAAAGCACCATTCTTTTTTTGTTTGGTGTTTCTATAGAATATTTTGGAATCTTGAGGTTACACAGTTACTAAAGCTGTTACACAGAAAAAAAAGGGGTGAAAATTTGATTGGTTAACTTCCAGTGATGGTTATTATCTTATATGCAATGAAATGTTATGTGAAATTTTGTCTGTAGTACTGGACAGGATAAAAATTTCTTTATTTGAAACAAAGATAAATTCTGCACAATTTTTTGAATGAAAAGTGCAAATTTAACAAAGACTAATAGGGGAAAAACAATGGTGGTATTACACCTATATGACTTCGTTGATTTGCTTAACTCTGCGTTCAAGCACTTAGAAAAGTTGTAATTTGTCGATTATTTAAATTCATGGTTCACCTATACCCACAAAACCAATGAAAACTGGTACCCCACAAAACCAATGAAAACTGGTACCCCACAAATATTAATGAATCCACAGCGCAGAATATCTGTCCATCTACCTATCTTAGGAATTTTAATTCAGGATTTTCAAGAAAAGAATATATTTCAAGCTTCATAATTGCATAGATGGTTATTTTTATGGTAATGTTAGATGTTATTTTCTCTAATTTTGTCACTTTTTTCACATTTCCCAACCGATTGTGAAAAAATTGTTCTCCTCACTAGTGAAATATCTGTTCTCGGCAAATGATTGGTCGAAATTTAATTATGACGTAAATTTTCTTGGTTTCTTCTGAATTCCCGATTGTGATGTCATGAGAATAGGCGACCATACCTGATGACGTCACATATAAAGAACACAACTTTCTGCAAATCTTTGAAAAGGAAGGATAAAAATCATTAGAGAAACAGATTCCACCACTATAACTCGTGTATTACGATATTTCTCCACTCTCAACAGTTAAATTTTAATATTTAACTGTCTCGAGTGGAGAAATATCGTAACACACTTGTTGCAATGGTGGAATCTATATTTCCTGAATTGATGACATACTGTTGATGATAGTTTGATGATCATTTAGAACTTTTTCAAGGTCTGACATGTATCCTTTCACATTGTTCTGTCACTATTATATAAGTCCATACATAACATATAATATATAACCTTGACTTACCTCCCCTTCCATATTGCTGCACCGTAGCAATTCATTGATAACCAGAAGTGAGCCATGTGCCCAATCATCTTTTGCAAGTTTCTTGTCTCGTCCAGTTGTCTCATCATAAGGTTTAACAGCTTCATCAAAACAATGCTACAGCACAAATATTATAATTACTTACACATGATTACTAAAGACTCTCTTCATAGTAAATAAAAGAAAATTATGTTTCCAGTTGTTTTCTTAAATTTTCATCTTTTTAATTTCTATTACTTATCCATCCTGTTAGCTATTGCTTTATGAAATATTTACAACTTTAAAAAAATTCTATAGTTTATTTTCAGTTGAACAGTTCGGTGATGGCACTTATATGTGAAGCTAAATACAAAATTTGTAAACTCGTCATCTATATTTTCTAAGACAGTCTTGTTTCAACAGGGAGTTTTTCAATGGTTGCACTTTTTGTTTTTTTGCACTGATTTTGTCGGTCTTGCTTTAACTTGTGAGTATTGATACTCCCTTTGGTATCTTCATTTCTGTTTTAGAATGTTGCCGTGATTGATTGCTTACTAAGATCATGCTAAGGGCTATTCCATTAAAATGTACGTGGGAGGGTAGGAAGGGAATTTTAATAATTGAATGTGGGTCATGGGTCTTTTATCAGTATGCGTCTATTACCATTATGCAAAATTATCTAAAAAATAGTTCTTGGCTGTAGGGATATTTTGAAAGTCCCTTCCTACCCTCCCACATACATTTTAATGGAATAGCCCTAATTAGGCCACTTATAATTTGCTGTGCATTTCTATAAATTAAAAGCAAACAATAATTAAAATTCTTATTGCTAGCATAGCTATGCACAAGCACTTTTAAATCATGCTAGTTCTTAAGAGATGTGGTCTACTGGGTCCCTGATAATTTCCATTTATGTAAATGGCTCACCTTATACCACTGTGATTTCTGTACTGCCTTAGATTCTCTTTGTGAAGTCACAACCAAAGCGGCTCTCATTGCAGCAACAGCTCCCTCTCTTATCACAGGCTGAAATTAGAAGCTGATATGTTCACCACCGTGTCACTTAACCCCACATATCTCATTAGATAAACAATTGTGAATAGCCGTTATTCTGAACTTGTCTAGACATTAAACAATTGCGAATAGCTGTTATTCTGAACTTGTCTAGACATTAAACAATTGTGAATAGCTGTTATTCTGAACTTGTCTAGACATTAAACAATTGTAAATAGCTATTATTCTGAACTTGTCTAGACATTTAACAATTGTAAATAGCTGTTATTCTGAACTTGTCTAAACATTAAACAATTGTAAATAGCTGTTATTCTGAACTTGTCTAGACATAAAACAATTGTGAATAGCTGTTATTCTAAACTTGTCTAGACATTAGACAATTTAGAGCTTGACAATATGCTATCAACATATTGAACACTTGTCTATTATATAAAACTGTTTGTTGATCTCTAAATATCTTCTTTTTTTTGTTGCTTCTTCATTGACATATACACCACATCTTCTTTAAATATGCAAGATTTGACTTAAATTTATTTTTTTCCAAATTTTGTTGTAAACGTATGAATCAACAAAACCCAAGTGGTTTTTCATCATTCCTTTTTTACTCAATTAAATTTGAATGTCCTATAGATGTTTTTAGTTATTTTTGTCATTGGTTGCTGTCATTGATGCATACACAATATCTACTTTCATTCATATATAAAAAACATCATATATATTACAAATTCGTTGAGGTTGTTATTGGAAAAATCATAATTTTCCAATGTTATTTTACCTTTGGGTCTCTAACTGCAGCAAAGATAACATCAAAGAACTGCTGAACTTGTTGAAAGAAGAAAGTAGGTGTACATGTGGCTAACTCTCTCAAAACAAGCACCTGTCAAAATTAAATAATGTGGTTTAAATTTCTGTATATAATTTATGTCCAGTAAAAACCCATGGTAAGACATAGAAAAAAAAATCAACCTATTCCGTTTTACAATTGGTTGATTGAATGATTGTTGTTTGCTTAGAGCTATTTTCCTAATGCTTGTAGTTTAAAGGTTTGGTTGGCTTGCTTGCTTTGTTTGTATAAATGTTTGCTCAAGCATTGTAATTAGGTCTTTCCACTTTTCTGTGGAAAGACCTATTGTATTTTTTCTGATTATTATTTTTTTTTTCTTCCTCCAAATTTTGTCATCGTGTAAATTTTTTGTTTCACAATATGTCGCTAAGATATTTCTTATATAGTATCATACAGTTTATGCGCTTTTTATTTTCACCCATTCTACGCCGAACAATTTTCTTTGTAAGAGTTATCTCCCTATTCACTGTTTATCAAGTATGTGCATCTCTTTCGTAACAAAAAAAAATATCGACAGAATTCTTTTTACAAATTGTTTGTTACATCCTCATGAATTTTTGGCTTATTTGGATCGAAGCGATTTGATGAAATTTTAAAGGAGTATCTACCTTTACCAAATAAATTTGTCGGTATGTTTTTTTAACTCATAAACCGTTAACTGTATTACCCTGGAATCTTTTTATTTTAGGTCTCTAGGTCCTAACTTAGAAAATGAGGTCAAGGTCAAAGGTCAAGTTCTAGTTCTCAATTTTGACTTTTCCTTTTTTTGCATTTTCTCAAACACTTTTTAAGATATATATGAAACAACAAGTGCAAAATGTTTGCTTTATTGTAATGAAGATATGTTACATTTGGTCTGAAACAATCCAATGGCATCTTATAGGAGTAAGTGCCCCTGAAATGTCCAATTATAAGGTTAATTGATTATTACTTCAACTTGGTTTATTATAAAGCGATATGACCTTTTACAAAAGGTTGGATGACATATGACCTTGAAGAATGACAACCGAAAGTGACCTTGAGAAAACCGGAAGTAGCCATTTTTGCACTTTCTTCATGGAAAAGTACTTGGAATCCATATATTTTGTAATTTTAATACATTAACTTATCACTGAAGACTAGATATGACTTTCGATAAACCAGAAGTGGCCAATTATCTCCTGGTTTACAAGCAAAAGTATATAGAAACTATATATTTTTGGAATCAGTGTGAAAGAAACTATTATGTGAGACCGGAAGTGACATTTACTTCACCGGAAGTAGCTAATTATCTCCCTTATTTCACTCAGAAGTATATAGAAACCACTTATTTATCGCATCAGTATGAAGAAACTGATGATAAGATGCCAATTTTAACTTTGAGTAAACACGAACTAGCTTCTTTTCAATAAATTTAAAAATTGCTGTGGAAAGACCTTCAATTGTTCTCTGAACAATTGGTTTTTAATTAAGATTGACATCTGCAATCCATAGATAGGCCAGGCTTGTATACATTATACTTAAATGTACAAGCTGAAGCCCCGCCTATTAATTGATTGCAGATGTCAATCTTAATTACAATGCTTGAGCAAATATTTATACAAACAAAGCAAGCAAGCCAACCAAACCTTTAAACTACAATCATTAGGAAAATAGCTCTAACATTCAGTGGCAAATGTCTAATGCATATTAAGGACAATTTTACAATTGGTTAAATATCTTACTTTTATGCATAATTGATATAAATCATAAATTATTGTTGTGACACAAAAAATCATGCACTGCATTCATTAGTCAACTGAAAATTCATTCAGCCTAAGAATGCAAAAAATGTACCACTCAGTTTTGGAGTGTGTCAAATTTCAGTGGTTGACATTTTACCAAGAAATCAACTTTAAATGAACATCTCATTTAATTGAATTTTACGCAACTATGAAACATGAATAATGGACACAGCAACAATTCAACTGTCCCTTCTAAGACATTAACCACAAAACCTAAAAGGTAAATAACCCAATATATAGTAAATATTTACAGCAGCATGTCTTTTGCCTTCATTTCTCTCACCAGTCAGCCACTCAATTGATCTTTTAACTTCATAATCCACATGCTCTGCAGCATATGTCCCGGACGACAATGCTAAAATACCAACAGCCTTGGCAGCCATCTCCATAATGCTGACATCCGAAGATGGAAGAAGGTTACGCAAGTAATTGGCAAATCTACTCACTTTGGCAGTCTTGTTTCCAACATCAACTCCAATTAAACTCACTGAGAAAAAAGTGAAAACATATGAATGGAATTCTGTAACTAAGAAATATTTACAAAAAAACTACACACACAAAAAATAGAACATTTTGAAGGTATGGGACTAAAGGCTATTGTATTCTTCTATTTTCAAATGTTGTACATTTTCTGTAATAAGCATCTATCCAATAAAGTATAGACTAAGTCCAATCCTAACTAAAGGTAAAAGATATGTTTGAATTCATTCAAAACTATTGTATAGACTATAGACAGGGATCACCACAGAAAAATTGCTCACGAGTGGAGCTTATAAAATTATTATTTAACAGGAGAAAAATATTTATATTTATTTTTTTTACATTTGCAAATATATGTATGTACTAAAAATGTATGTATCTATATTTTATGACAAAATAAATTATTCTTTCAGTTTATTCTATTAGAAAATCCAAGATTGATGCTGGAAATCCATGGGGGGTGCTAAAAATTCAAGAGTGGAGGAGTCCAACCTTAAATAGCCTCTGGTGATCCCTGAGAGTAACATATTGACTATAAAATATATGTAGGTGCTCGGCTTTCATTGATGAATATATGGTGGCCTAAAATACATAATGCATTTTTGGTGATCTTGCTTTGTTAGATGCTACATTTTGTACCTTTAAGTCCCCCCTGTACCAAGCAAGGGATGTGACAGCTGTTTTCCACTCGTTCTGTTGGTTGATAACATTTGATTTTGTCACTTTTTATGGACTTCCCCTGTTTGAATTTACCTTGGAGATCAATATTTTTGTTATACTTTTTAATCAAATAGAATTTTTGATAAATATTCAATTATCATTGAATTTATAATTTCATTTTTACCTATTGCTAAGATGCCTCCTTTCTTCTCATTCAGATCAGAACTTGATACCAACTCAAATATCTGATGATAAAACTTGTCCATGAAGGCTGTATGTTCTTCAAACGGCATTTCCCGTAATTCTGTACTGACAAACCGATGAAGGTCATTTGCTGTCTTGATCCGGGTTTCTTCATTTCTGTTCTTAAGCCCAGCAATAAACTGGGGCATAAGAGACAGTGAAGACATCTTTACTTTGTATTGGTTGTTGCTACTTCATTATTTCCATCCTATCAATATTTCAATTGACAAAATAAATGATTATTTTTCTATTACAAAACATTATTTTGCCAGCTAATACAATGTCAATTTTTCTGTTGTGAGTTTTGAAGAATAGAAGAATACTAGAATACTGATTGTGTGTTAATGAATAGTGATAGTCCTCTGTGACTAAGTGGTATTTATCACTAGCCTGTCAACATTAAGATTGGCAGTTTGAACCCAATTAGTGGAAAGGTGCATTTTTGTTGACTTAATTAACAAGGGTTTATAAAAAAAAAAATTCCTGAAAATTAAAGAATGTGTCCATTTGTTAACATTGATAATGACATCATGAATAAAATGTCTAATAGCATGACCAACATCAGGGAGGTTTCCATATTTCATTTTATTATTTTTAATAAACCCGGAAATTTATTGTTCAGGCCTCATCTTGCAGCCATTGAATGTTGCAATGTTTGTATTTCCATTTACCAGTTTACATATGTAATAATTTTTTGTAATGTTATAATATATCATAAAAAAATGGTAATAGTAGTAAGATTCAAAATAATTTTGAAAGGGGGTGTAATTCAAAATAATTGAATTTATTCTGCCAAATGGAACAATGCAACAAAATTTTTTTGGTCAATTCAATTCTAAAAATTTATATATAAAGTAGTGTCCGGTAATTTTGCCTGTCAGGTAAACCCACCCACTCCCATTTACTTCCATAATTGTCACTTCTGTGAATATTTCGTCTGCTATTTTATTCATAGGAACTGTACTTATCATCACTGCATGTCAAATTTTAAAGAAAAATCTTTTATTACGAAAATATCTAGTGATATATATATATATATATATATAATACAGTTCCTAAAGCTAATGACAATCATATTATTGCTTACAAAACTCATTTCTGACTTCAAAATTTTTTTTTTTTGGGATTATCTGGAATCCCTTTATAAGTGGTCTATTACTTGATCACCTTTTCCTTTCATACATATGTGATGAACTGGCCCTCCATACATATTTACTGCGCATGGGCGGATTTATCAGACAAACACATTTCCGATAAAAACACTGATGACCCACTTGTCTTGTTGATTTTAAAATTTATTTCTGATATTTTTGGGGAAATAAGATAAATACTCAAAAATGATTTGTCAGTGAATAGATTTATATTAAATTTGATACAATTTTTATATGAATAAGCAGAAATACATACGAGTCGATCAAAAGGCTTATCATGCTTATGTTGGCAGATTTAACGGACTGCACCATATCATTAAAAACATGAGATATACAAAAGAAATTGGCCATCAAAGGCCAGCATACGCCCTATACGACCACCCCATCCTGGATCCACCACAGGGGTAACACTTATGGATTTATCAACTACTATTATATTATTAGTACTAAATATGACTAAATACACACAATTTTAAAACTTCAACTCTAGACCTGTATGTACAATCAAAAGGTATGTACCAACATGACAACTGTTTGAATATAAAATTGGCATTTTACGATTCTCTGATTGCTTTTGAAATTTCTTTAATAGTTGATCTGTTGAAAAAGGAAAACAATTTCTTTAAGTTTAAAACTTTAACTGTTTAACTGGCAAACAAATATAAATAGGTTGACAAGACATTTATTTGCCCTTAATGGCAATCATTATAAGAATAAATAGTGTAAGTAAATTGAGAAATTATGGAATGACAACAAGAAAATGATTAAGAAAGGTGTACTTTTTCAGCAGGTTCTTGAAATTTGTTTGCAGTGCTTGTTTTTTTTTTATCACCGGAAGTGTATTTCTCATAGTCTCTAAAAAGTCAATTTGTACATTACTGAACCGATTGGTTTATATCGATCAATATAAATTCAAAAGTACTTGAATGATATAATGCACTAAAATATAACACCACGTTTTATTCAATTTTAGTGACTTTGTCTTTGTTTAGAGAGCTTTGAAATCATTCAAGCGCTTATAGAAAGGAAAACGAAAGTAGCATGCGGAGGTCAAAAATGACTTTGATGAAATAATAAATCAGTGTTTGAACTACACATTTCATGAGAAAATTTCTCGCAAGAATATAATGAAAACCAAAGAAAACGAAGCTAATGGAGCGATTTCCTATTCCGGTGATAAAGAACGACGGACATTGTTTTCTAAACAAAATTTAATACTGGAATGTAAAAAATATGTTGCAGCCTTAAGACCATGGTCTTTCACTGCAAGTTTTACACCGGTAGCATTGGGAAGTACACTGGCATATAAATCTACTGGAGACTTTAGTTTCATCTCATTTATTATAGCATGTCTAACTGCTTTGTCAATACACGCTGCAGGAAACCTGGTAAACACCTATTATGATTTCATCCAAGGTATAGACACAAAGTCATCAGATGATCGGACACTTGTTGATATGATTTTGTCGCCACAAGATGTTGCCAGGCTAGGAGCTATATTTTATTTATTCGGTTGTATAGGGTTTCTCATTCTTACTCTTACAACATCAGCTCGCATGGAGCATTTGGCGCTTGTGTACTTTGGGGGACTTTCCAGTAGTTTTTTGTATACTGGAGGATTTGGATTGAAATATATTGCTCTTGGAGACATACTAATTATATTTACATTTGGACCACTTTCTGTGCTTTTTGCCTATTTATCACAGTGTGGTCATTTATCATTAGTGCCAATGTTATATGCTATACCTTTAGCTTTGAACACAGAGGCAATTTTACATTCAAACAATGTGAGAGATATGGAATCAGATCATCGTGCGGGAATAGTGACTCTTGCAATCCTACTCGGAAAGACTGGATCATATCTGCTATTTACAGCTTTACTTTTCATTCCATTTATCATAATTGCTGTGATGGGAATGAACATTTCTAAATGGATGTTCTTGCCATTACTATGTATATTTCAAGCTTTTAACCTTGAAAGAGAATATATGAAAGGAAATCTCCAAAGACTGCCACATGATGTTGCCAAGCTTAACTTGTTGATGGGAATGCTTTTTATATTGGGCATTGCTTTAGCAGATAGATCTGTGTTTCAAAACCTGTAGATTTATATAATCAAGCAATTAGGAAATGTAATTTTTTGATGTCATAAATTTATGGAATTATACTGTACAATTCATGTACACCTTCAAATGTATAAGCTTTATCATAACATTCATTCTACAATCTACTTTGCTTCTTCAAAATATCAGCAACATTATATGTTCAACAATACTGACAGTCTTCAAATTTAGCACAGGACCGACAGCCCCTGGCCTGTGAAAATCTGTTCGGTCCTGTTGATTTTTTAGAATTTTGTAGTACAATCTTAATTAAAATTTGAAGAATAATGAATTTGGTCTTGTAAATGCCAAACCTCAATTTCTATGACTGTACTGATTATGATACATTGTATGTCTTAACAACTTCAATTTCCAATATGTAGACTGATAGAAGAAAGTAAAATTGGTGTACATTTGTAGGTTGATGCTAATGATTTAAGAAACTTACATTTAGATAAGCTACTATTTGTACAATGTAAAGTTTACACAATGTTTATAAGCTTATTGTATGCATGCTTATTATGGAACTGTTTTAAAATATCAGTTCAGAAGAGTTAAAACCAGATTGTTATTAGGAAGTACATGTACAAAAATGTACATTGTACATGTATAAGAGTGTACATGTGTGTGAACATACACATGTAGAAAAGATATCCAGGCATGACTTAAATTCAAAGATGGGGGACCTCATTTTAGCTATAGGCTGTGGTGATTTTTGTATACTTTATTTTCACTACATGTAAATGTATGCCCAATTCAATACAAATCTGTATACATTGTTTGAATATGATAACATGTATGATATTTAAACTGAGAGTTGAAAATGAAACTGCAGATATGTAGTTCTTAAAATTTAATCCATATTATCATGATTATTAAACTATTCTTTTTGTTAAATTTGTACATTGTACAATGTACATGTGTAAAAAATGAAAACAACACGTTTACACAAATTTATTGCCTCCGAAGAGCTTTTCTGGATTTACCTTCATCAGGAACACTCAAAGCCGAATATTTGAAAGCCAAGGATGTATAAAACCGAAACAGTTGAAGAGCTATATAATAAAAAATGACCTAAAATAATAGCCAAATCCTTCTAAGGCCAACTTTGCATGAGGGAGTTCAAACCTTAGCATGCTTAGTTTCTTTTAATTTCACAATTTATTAAGGGGCAAATTAAGGAAAGTTTGTTATCAACCTTAATGGATCTTATTCTCAATATTCATGTAGGTATCAAAATATATTGTACATATGTAAATGAATCTTATTTTCAATGTATCATATTGTATTTTTATTTTTATTCATACATCATGTACATGTATATGATTCAATAGATGATCTGATACATTGTACATGTATATATTTGATAGAATTATTTTATTTCAATTACCTTGCTCATAAAGTTTACAGTGCTTGAAATGCTATTTTATTTGTTGCCAAGACACATGTAGGGGGCTCCAGTAGTATACCCCTTAGGTCCCAATTAAGGTGGCTTTTGAAATGCCTCATGTCACTTTTAGACATTCAAATAAGATTCCAAGTAAGGTTTTTAACAGTTTTAAAGATCACAGGTCATTTTAAATGAGACTTTAGGTTGCCTGCCATACCTCCAAGGTTGCAGGTCAGATTTGACCATGTTCATGATGTTGGAACCACATGTTGTTAAATCATCAATTTGATTTACCACAAATTACATGTTAATTAGCAAGGGTAACAGAGTTCTTAAATAATCATGTTAAGGCCATGCAAAAATGATTGTTTGTAACACAATACACTACAAACAGCTCAGAGTCTGAAAAGAGATTGTCTCGACAGTACTTAACTATACTTAACTGTACTCGACTTTGGTCTTGACTTTACTTAATAAGTCTGATTCAGTACTTGATGATCTTGTTTTAGTCTAAAATGGTCTCGACCAAGGCTCGACCTGTCTTGACTAGTCTTGACCTTCAGATTTAGTCTTGAATGGTCTGAACCAACTGTTCAGGGTTCGACCTCTGCGGTCGTATCAAGCTGCGCCCCAGCGGAGCATTTTATTGTAATTCTTATATGCCTTCACTGGGAGTCGAACCCCTCCTTGAAATCTGTTATGTGTGACTGACATCAACACATCGACGAAACCTCTCAGCTACCAATGGGTTGCAATTTAGATGTCTATTTTATATACATAAATGAACATATGATACACATCGGTACAACAGACACACAGGGCATGTACCTTTATATATACATAATAGGCAATCATATAGTATTAGTTGGTATCCCCGAGGTTAACATGGTTAAGACCAATGAGATAAAGAGTCAAGTTGAAGGTAGAGACTTGTCGGTTTAGGTTTGAATCCCTGTATTCTCGTTGTTGTCTCTATTCTTTATTTTTTCTGTTTTTCTTATTTTGTATGTTATTGTGGATATGTTTATAACAGCAGGTTTGCTCGTTGTTTTTTTTTCTGATTATCATTGGCTATTTCACATATTTGAAAAGAAAATGATTACATCAATTTGTCCATTTTTGTCTTGCCTTGACCGAGTCAAAAAGCGAGACATAGATATGCTGTTGTCGGCGACGTCAACAATGTAATAGTTTGTGATTAGGTCTAGTTCATGGGGAACCACTAGTGGTAGGTCAATGATTTTTGGTATGCAGGTGTATTAGCATTGGCACATCTCATTTCCATGGAGATTATTTGGCCCTGCCCCCTCAGTCATGGTCTATTGACTTTGAAACTTTTGCTTAGTTTACATGTATAAGTTTGTGATTAGATCAGTTTAAGATGAACCACTAATGTTAAGTCAATGATATGTGGTATGCAAATGGAAATTATATAGCCCCACCCCCTCATCATGGTTCATTGACTTTGAAACTTTTACATAGTTTACAAGTTAATGTTTGTGTTTAGGTTTGTTTAAAGGGAACGACTTTTGATAAGTCAATGGTATTTGGTATGCAGTTGTATTAGCATTGGCACATCTCATTTCCATGGAGATTGTTTATCCATGTACTTTCAGTCATGGTTCATTGACTTTGAATCCTTTCATAACTTACATGTTAAAGTATTGCTATTTTAATTTCAACATTTGCATTATCAAAATCACAAAATGGAGAGACATATCTCTGTGTTAACAGTTTATTGTTTTATGAATATAGTAAGATTCCATTTGTTTTACAACATATCTTCACAAATGTTTATTCGCAAATCCCTAGGCGAGTAAATCGTGCTGTGCCTAGAATTAGACTTCTTGCTAGAAATTTTGGTACCATACTTATCATATATACTTAGAAATAAGTTCGAATATGTCGACGTCTTATTTTGTAAATTAAGGATAATATTCAGATGCCTGCTAATTTAAAGACAGACGTGTTATGTTATATTTGCATTTCTCTAACCAATTAATTGTGAACTTAGATTTATTAATGCATTGTTGAACATGATAACATGGTTATTTAAACTCACTTACAATACCTTCTTATTTAGAAAAGGTCTTAATTTTGAAAAGACATCAACACAATTGTTTAAGTTAGAGATACAATGAATAAGCGTTGATTCATTGTATCTATAATACATAATGCATTCATGACACAAAATCACAAGCACTTGCATTGACAAAACCCTAATCAAAGGAATTGCTTTTAATGCTATTCTTTACCTTTATGGAGCATTAGCTCTAAAATTCATGTTCTTCAATTTGGCTTTTTGATTTATAACATACATGTACTATCGCTAAAACTTTTATTCAAAGTCCAAAAAGTTTGAAAAAAAATGTAAACAGTGCATGGACTCGTTTTAATGTATCAGCATTTCATGCGTATTTTGGAGAAGAAGCCATCTTATTAACTATCGAGATGATCTACAAAAATTGTGGATGGCCAATGACCTGATCTAAACATAAACATAAATGTAAATAGACAGACATGACAGACAAGCATGTGCAATTTTATAGAAGATTTTTTAAATTTAAATCAAGTATAGGGATTGATAATTGTTCAGGTTTAAAACTTATTCTTTTATGAAAACAATACATATATGTACATGTACAATTTATGTATGATGAAACTATATTTCAATATTTTATGTGTATTACCATGATTATGATTATTAATTATAAGTATTATTGATTTTGTGGTTTACATGTATGAATTTAACTGTATACAGTACTCTTTAATGTTTGTATTTTCCTTTGCTTTAAAAAAAAATGTTTATGCTTACAATCATTCGACAATGTACCTTTAATTTGAAATATGTACATTGTATATATATACATGTAGATATACTTGTACTGTACTTCTAAAAATATATATACAGTGTATACATGTATATATAAGTAAACTAATTAGTGATCTCAATTTTGTCCAAGCATGCATATGAATATGAACATATTATAAGAAGTAATTTTATTCATTTACAACAAATGATTTCTATCTGTTTGTGAACTTTAGCTTTATTTTTATCTCTGAATGTCCTTCCAAAATTAATAATTACTGTAATAAGTAAAATTGATAATATTACACATAGAACATTAGACATGGTAGATCTACTCATGCTATGTACTGTGCTGGCAAAAACATCTCCATTCTGTCATGAAGGGGATGGATTAGGGCAGTCTGTCATTTTCTGTTTCAATTTTGGAATTGGACCAAAAGAGATTAAATGAACAAGTCATCTGTCTCACCAGTTCAGACCCTACACTGTATCTTGACTAGAACTTAAAACTATTTAAGGGTCATATATATATATAATTTTTATATAGGATTGTCTTAAAATTTAAGCACACTTTATGGGTTATTGTATCCTTGTTAAAATTAAAAGATATGATTAAGAGAGAAAAAAATTATGGTATGTTCATATTTTTATTTCAATCTCACTTGTTCATGATATCAGTGTCAAGGTGGGAATGCATTTTTTAATTATTTATCATGGAACGTCTTTGGAAATGTTCTGTACTTTTAACAGTTCTTGACAAAATTCTCTGGACATAAGATGTATAACTTATAATTTATATAAAATAGTTAGGGTAGGCATAAAAGAGCCTCCTCATGGGGTTTTTGATTATGTGATTACTTGGCCGCTTTTATAGTGATTATTTGATTACCAGACCAAATATTTCATGATTATGTGATTATATTGGCAAAAAATTTGTGATTATATGATTACTTGGACATCCCCATAAGGGGCCTCATAAAAATTAGGGGTAGAAATGGAGGAAGGTGACATTTACACAACTATATTTGCTTTTTGGCCTAACAGATTATATGACCATTTTATTTCATGATTTATAAATTTACTGAGAATTTATTTTTATGTAATGTTTTTTATGTGCTGTGTTCCCAGAACTGATTTTCATTGTTTACTGATCATGCTGAATGTAATGTTTAATTTATTAAAAAATTATGAGCTTTTGTACTTTTTTTAAAAATTCTGTATGGACAGATGAATATAAAAATAAGGAGATGTGGTATGATTGCCAATCAAAGTTCAAATGAAGTGGATGTGAGCAATTATAAGTGACTGTACAGCCTTCAACAATGAGAAAAGTTGCTTTCTTTAAAAAAAGAAATGCAATATGTGAACCCTAAAAGCTGTTTTTGTCGAGCCTGCGACTTTTGTCGCAGAAAGCTCGACATAGGGATAGTGATCCGGCAGCGGCGGCGTTAGCTAACTTCTTAAAAGCTTTATATTTTAGAAGGTGGAAAGTCTGGATGCTTCATACTTTGTATATGGATGCCTCATGTTACGAAGTTTCCTTCAGTCACATGTTCAATGTCCTTGACCTCATTTTCATGGTTCAGTGACTACTTGAAAAAAAAGTAAGATTTTTTGTAATGTTAAATTCTCTCTTATTATAAGTAATAGGATAACTATATTTGGTATGTGCGTACCTTGCAAGGTCCTCATGCCCGTCAGACAGTTTTCACTTGACCTCGACTTCATTTCATGGATCAGTGAACAAGGTTAAGTTTTGGTGGTCAAGTCCATATCTCAGATACTATAAGCAATAGGTCTAGTATATTCGGTGTATGGAAGGACTGTAAGGTGTACATGTCCAACTGGCAGGTGTCATCTGACCTTGACCTAATTTTCATGGTTCAGTGGTCAAAGTTAAGTTTTTGAGTTTTGGTCTTTTTTTCTAATACTATATGCAATAGTTCAACTATATTTGGTGTATGGAAATATTTTATGATCTATTTGTCAGTCACACAGGTTTTTCTTTTACCTTGACCTCATTTTCAAGGTTCATTGCTCAGTGTTAAGTTTTTGTGTTTTGGTCTGTTTTTCTTAAACTATAAGCAATAGGTCAACTATATTTGTTGTATGGAAGAATTGTTAGCTGTACATGCCTGCCTAGCATGAGGCCCGAGAACACAGTTATTTCTTAGTGCATTTCTTTTAGACAATAAATTCAAATTAAAAAAATCGCACCTGCTCTATCTCAAAAAGATTTTTACAGTGTAGTGTACTACTATTGATACAAATAATATCAAAATTATAGAAACTTCTACCAGCTCTAACTCAAAATATTGACAATTCTGTGTTAAGAGGGGCTTAAATTCAGTTTGACAGCTTCAGACATTCTAATTTTTGACCTTTTTTAACTGGACCAAATCACTACTTATATAACATAAAGATTCAGCACCCAAATTTTTTTAACAAGTAATTTCATCCCCTTACTAAATATTTTATGCATAAAATATCAAGAAATAAATTGGGAAAGTGTATCAAAAAAAAATGCAAGTTATACACTGTTCACACTAGGGACTATATTCGTAGACAACGAAAAACCAAAGGACGATAACTGTGTCCTTGGACCATGATTCATCTGACCTTGACCTCATTTTCATTGTTCATTGGTCAATGTTTAGTTTACTTGGTTAATGTTTAGTTTATGTGACAGTTGTAATAAAGCTTTATATTTAGGACTATCAACATAATATCAATGATTAGTAAAGAAGGCAAGACATTTCAGCGTGTGCACTCTTGTTATTGAAATTTGAGATATGTTCATTGTTATATGAACACTGGCTTGATTTTGATCATTGTTAAAAGCTTTATGCCTGCTCTGCAAGGTTTTTGTGATGCTTAGAGTAGTAAGTATTGGCATTTTTAAGTTGTGTGCTTCGTGCTCTTAAAGTTTAAAATGACAAACCTCTTTTAATAAAAACAAATACTTTTTAAAACCTTTTACACATTTTGAGGATATCGCTGAACTTTTTCTGAATGATCCAAAATATTTGTTTCGGAATAATCTTTAAACGCTAGTCACTTTTTATTTTGATGTCATATATTTTAATTTGTGTGTCATGAAAATGGCCTGCAAACATAATTGTAAATATATCTAATTTAAATTGCACTGTTTCCTCTTCACCTTCATGACCAAAACCAATTCATAAAGAAAGCTACTAATAGCCCAGGCAAAACAGTTTACACCTAGTACTTGAAAATAAACAAATAAAAATGATAACAAAAAAAAAACCAAACATGGTCAAGCATGAAAATACGACTGAATACCCATCTCCTAAATATTAGTTTGATTAAGGGCCACATTTATGAAGTGTTGTAAGATGTTCCTGTTTTATCTGAACATGACTTTTTCATTAATTTTTAAAGGGTGTCTTTTAAGTGCTAATGTTGCACTACTGTCTTAAGGTTAGCATGTAAAAACATTTAAACCAGCTGCATTTATATGCACCTGTCCTAAGTCAGAAGCATGTTGTTTAGTGGTTGTAGTTTTTTTGGTGCAGTTCATATGTGCTTAATGTTTCTCGTTTGTAGTTAAATTAGACTGTTGTTTTTTCCTGTTTGAATTGTTTTATAATGGTCTTTTTTGGGGCCCTTAATAGCTTGCTGTTCGATGTGAGCCAAGGCTGTAGGTGTAGTTCATAGGTGCTTTTCGTTTCTCGTTTTGTATTTAAATTAGACTGATTTTTTAACCGGATTTTCGAAGGAAATATCGGTTATTAAATTGGGAATGTACGGCGGGCGGCTGCCAAGCAGTGTCTCCACAATAACATAAAAAACGCTTTAACAAATTTTTTTCAAATTTAAATATGCAGTTTCCTGGGACTTAATGAAGGTCTAGTTCAATTTTCAAGATTTTAGTATTTCTCCTTTTTGAGTTGTCGCCAATATTTGGTATTTTTAAATATTTTTCTCTCTTGTCATATTATGACTAAGCATAATGTCTTATCTTACAATAAAAATTGGAGTGACAGATTTATTTCAAAATTTTCTATTTCCTCAGTGGTGATGATTATAAGCTATATTATTAGACATTTTGAAGTTAATTACATTATTAATTATTAATTAGATCTGGGTTATTTCTTAGCATATGATAATCATTGGAGTGACAGATTTATTTGAAAATTTCCTGTTTCCTGATAAGATCTGTAGGACTGTATATATAAAGTTTGAAATTTACTAGTAGGACTGTATAAATGAAGTTTGAAATTAACTGTTCATTATTAGACATTTTGTAGATAATTAATTCTCCCTAAACCATATATATTCTTACCCCCACCCCCCTTCAATTTGAGAGTGTGCTTTTATCTTGTAAACGGTCGAGATCCCTACCCCTAAACCATATATATTCTTGTATAGGACAAGAAAACAAATTAATTGAAATATTGGGGGAGTCCCAGGGTTCACCCCTACCCCCTTCTTTTTGAAAACTTGTAAACGGTCAAAATCCCCACCATGAAATCATATATACTCTTGTATGGGACAATAAAACTAATCAAATGAAATAAAAGGCGAGTCCCCTGGGGTCACCCCGACCCCCTTCTGTTTGAGAACTTGTAAACGGTCGAGATCCCCACCTCTAAACTGTATATATTCTTGTTTGGGACAATAACACAAATCAAAGAAATATAGGGGAAGTCCAGGGGGTGTGGATGCGGGGGGGGGGGGGGGGGGGTAACCCCCACTCCCCTTCTTTTTGATAACTTGTAAACAGTCAAGATCCCCACCCTGAAACCATATATATTCTTGTATGGGACAATAAAACAAATCAAATGAAATATTAGGCGAATCCCCTGGGGTCACCCCCTCCTGTTTGAGAACTTGTAAACGGTTGACATCCCCACCCCTCAACCATATATATATTCTTGTATGGGACAATAAAACAAATCAAATGAAATATAGGGGAGGTCCATGGGGGTAACCCCCACCCCCTTTTTTTTTATAACTTGTAAACAGTCGAGATCCCCACCCCTAAACCATATATATTCTTGAATGGGACAATAAAACAAATCAAATGAAACTGAAGGGAAGTCCCCTGGGGTAAACCCCACTCCCTTCTTTTTGGAAACTTGTAAACAGTCAAGATCCATACCCCGAAACCATATATATTCTTGTATGGGACAATAAAACAAATCAAATGAAATTTAAGGCGAGTCCCCTGGGGTAACCCCCCACCCCCCTCCTGTTAAAGAACTTGTAAACAGTCAAGATCCCCACCCCTAAACCATATATATTCTTGTATGGGACAATAACACAAATCAAATGAAATATAGGGGAAGTCCATGGTGGTAACCCCCACCCCCCTTCTTTTTGATAACTTGTAAACGGTCGAGATCCTCACCCCTTAACCATATATATTCTTGAATGGGACAATAAAACAAATCAAATGAAATTGAGAGGAAGTCCTTTAAGAACTTGTAAACGGTTGAGATCACCATCCCTAAACCATATATATTCATGTATGGGACAAAAAAACAAATCATATGAAATAAAGGGCGAGTCCCTTGGGGATCACACACCTCCCCCCTCGTTTGAGAACTTGTAAACGGTCGAGATCTCCACCCCAAAACCATATATATTCCTGTTCGTAATTTCAAGAAGATTTGAATGACATAAATTGTTTGTTTTGTGGCAAGTTTGTTTGTTATTCTGAATGCTATATATTTTTTTTTTGATGAAGTGAACTCCTTTAAAAACTAAGTTTATATTGTCTATTAATAAACATATATTTAGATTTCTGATTTTGGGCCCAGTTTTCAAGTTGGTCCAAATCGGGGTCCAAAATTAAACTGTGTTTGATTTCAACATAAATTGAATATATATAGGGTAATTGAATATATATAGGGTTCTTTGAAATGCTTAATCTAAACCTGTATTTCTTTTCATTATTAATAAGATAATACCACATTGAGGTCCAAAGGGTCCTAAATTAAACTTTTGCTTAATTTCATCAAAAATTGAATTCTTTGGTTCTTTGATATACTGATTCTAACAATGTTTGAGTGTTAAATCATATCTAATTTTAGAGAACTTAGTCATCACTGGTTGTTGTTATTATATTACATATTATAATTTGAAAAATTGCATCATATCTTATTTTAGAGAACTATTTATCCAGTTTGAGTTAGTTCCCTTTGCACAGAAAATATTATGGATAAAATTA